AATTATATGATTTTTTGGGATATTATAATATTATAAAAAATTCATTCAGTGGTGAAAAAATTTCTAACCAAGAAATATACTGTGATTATATAAATTATGGTTTTCGTTTATATGAAAATATGTATAAAGATTATAATGCCTTATATTCAGGATACTACGATGAAGATATAGAGCGATTTAAATCTACATTTGAAAATGTAAATTCTGAAATGGAATTTTTAAATCAAAAGTGTCCTCGTGTCAAGGTAGACACAGTATTGGATAAGGAAAAAAATAATATAAAACAAATAAAGCACATTGTATATAAGGACTTCATTGGGGAGAAATTATATCATATTAATAACATAATAAAAGTAAAATACATCTAAATACACAAAGAAATTACGAATGTGTTTTACTTAGGATGTTTACTTAAATAATATTTATATAATTTTATTTGCATATTTTATCTTCAGTAAAACCTAATTAAAATGTTTTACTGCTCAGTAAATATTTATTAAATTTATATATCTTCTTTTGCTTTTTAACATTAGGAAGTAATGTCACTTTCATCTTTATACGAACTTTATTCAACATTAGATAAGCTTTATGACCATGTCCCTAGCACAACGCCTTCAGTGAAACCAGAAGAAACAAATTACATTAACAGAAATATAAACTTTTTAAAACTTTGGAATATAGTTAATAATCCTTTAGAAAAATTGGAATATCCTATTTATAAAAAAGATAAATTAGATAGTAATAAATGGTGTGAATATTTCGATTATTGGTTATTGGACAAACTAAAAGACAACTCTGATCCAGGAAATATTATTACATTTCTGAACGATACAAGGAAATTCTTTTATAATAAAGAAAAATGCAAGTTGAAAAAATATGAGTTCCATGTAGATCAAATAGAAAATAAGAAAAATTTACATGATTTTGTAGAAAGTTATAATGTTATAAGAAATAAATTGATTAGTGAAAATAAGGATAACAAGAAGAAATATTGCAATTATGTAAAGGTTTTTTTTGATTTATACAAAGAAATGGAACAAGAAAAAAGTGGATTTCCAGGATATAGCGACGAAATACACCATTTTAAAAATCTTTTTGATAAAAATATTAGTGAGTTAAATTTTTTAAATAGTCATTGCCCTGGAAAGTGCCTAAGACATATATTTACTGATAATTATAATAAATTCTGTATATCACAAGAAGAAAAAACATATGTAGGAAAACTTAGTCAGAGTGAAACCTGTCCTCCTAAGAATAGTTTTATTGCACATTATAGTAAAAATGAAAATGTAAATTATATTTTACAAATATAATAAGCATAGTTGCAAGGAGACCATAATACTTTTTATATAATGTAACCTTTTTAAAGACTTAATTTTTAAACTAATTGCTTTTTGTGTCCATTTTCAGGTATTAATTTCAGAATATTTAGGTAAACTTGATATATATAATGGATTTGATGAGGATGATATTAATGAATATTATAAAAAATATTGTACAGGATTAAAAAGTTTTGAATGCAATCATAATGATGTTTGTAAACTTTGTCATAAACTTGTCAGGAATTTAACACATTTATATGATATGCCACAAAGTAAAAAACGTGATGACCGTTGTCATGCATTGAAACACTGGTTACATGAAGAAATAAGGAAAATATTCAGTGTTAATTCTAATGATGTTAGCAAAGAGCCTGTCATTCATAAACTAAAAGAAGTTGTTTTCAGTATTAATCATAATTATTTATATGGAAAGCCTTGCTACATCGATTTCGTTGGTACTTTGGACGAATGGAAACATGAGAAAGAACTACATGATTATTTTCAAAGTTATGATAAAATTAAAAGTAGCATTAAATCATATAATAATAACTGCGAAAAATATATAGATAGTCTATCTTCAATTAATAAACTATATGAGAAATATATAGGGAACTGTTGCCATTATTATAATTCTGGTGATTTTGAGGAAACCTGTCCAGATTATTTCAAATGTGATGAAAAATTTAACCCATATAATATTTTTTTAATATTAGGTTGTAAAGAAGAAGACAGTAAAAATTTTAAGCGTATTAATAAGCCACCTGCTGTTGATTATTTTGTTAAAACTAGGACGCACAACTCTTTTTTATTCGCATCTAATAGAACAAAATTCGATACATTCTATATTGTCACATTACTTTTTTTAGGGTTATTAGGAATATTTATGATACATTTCATTTTTTATAAGGTAAATTAATACAAAGCTATAAAGATTATATATTGGCTTTTTTAAATAAGTATCTTTAAAATATGTATTTTTGTAATAATTATAATGCTTGTTTTACACGGATTTGTGTACATTTTTTGTGTCATAGTTTACCCCATATGGATCATACATAAACAGAAAAGTTTTTAATAATAAAAATAATATGATTAATATGCGTGAGCAAGGCCAGAAAAAAATAGAACAGAATAGATTAAAACATAGAAATACAAGTAGGAAATCCAAAACAATTCATTTTAGCTACCAGAATGCATAAAAATTCTCAAAACCGTTGTAAATATAATATCAAAACAGTTAAAATTTTTACATTTGAATAAGGCTTTTTCATATATCATGTGTAATACTGATAAAAATAAAAAAGACATAAATTAAAATAAAAATATATGTTTATTTTTTAAAACTCAGTTCATATTGGCATTTTTTGATTTTGTAGTTTCACAATAATTCAAATATATCTTTAATATTTCTGTTTATGTGTTTTCTCTATTTTAGTTATTTTTTTTTTTTTTTTTTGCACATTTATATTTGGAAATATTTTTCTACACATTTTAATATCTAATAATTTTTTTTGATCGTTATAAAAAATTATGATTTTTCAATGTTCAATAGATATCACACCATAAAAATTTAAGCATTAATTATTTTTCACATATTTTATAAAATTTGTTGAATTCTTCATTGATGTTTTATATATTTCTTTATATCCTTATATCATTGATGCTATAGTATATGAAATATATAATGCATTTATAAATATTACTTCTTTCGTAATAAGTAATAATTGGAATATGTTAATAAGCGCATAATTCTTATACTATTTTTATAAACCTGCCTCTGAGAATATTAACTCTATATCACGTAATAAATATGATTATTTTATATGATTAATTATTTTATAAATATATTAATAACATTTAAACTTATAATTTAGGGCAAAAATATGATTCTGTTATATTATGATAAATAAGAATAAAATATCTTTGTTCGTGATACAACGAAAATACACACAAAGTACTTTTTTAGAAGTGTACATAAATGTAAGACAACAATGTGTGGTCTCTAAGAATGTATGAACATGCGAAGAAAATGTGAAAACGCAAAAATGGAAAACAAAAATTAACGAAAAGTCACTCAAAAGAAAAAACAAGTATAATATGTTGTATATGATACTTTGTAATACTTTCTCTGAGGTAATGGAATAATTTATTTTAATACTTCTACATGTTGTGAAATTGTTTCATTTTATTTTTTTTGTATATGATTTCATTTACCGCTTTTTTTTTTTTTTTTTTTTTTTTTTTTTTTTTTTTCCTTTTTTTACTTTTTTCTTTTTTTTTTTTTTTTTTTTTTTTTTTTTTTTTTTTTCACCCATGCTGTACACGATGAAATGAAAATTACTTTTCATGTCAACAATTTTCCTTTTTCAGACATAAAAAAAAATAAAACAAAGCGGATAAAAATGTGAAAAATTATATAATGTTATAAATAGAATCACAATAATTTTTTCTATTTGTCGTAAAATAACTTTAGAAATAACTGATATGCATTTAATTTATTTTCATGTTGATTTATATAGCCCTCTTTTTCTTTTTTTTTTCCAACACCCTTATTTTTCATTTTATCCATTTTGAACGTAAAGGGGGCTAATTAGTAGTCATTGCATACATATCTACTACTGCGTTTTAAAAAACATCATATACATGTGCATACGTGCGCTTGTAATATTCATATTTTTATTCTTAAAACATTTAATAAAGGTTATATGTGTATGTTTACGTGTTTACATAAGCACATAATTACGTGTATGTAGTATGCATTTATGAAGTTCCATGCGCATACTTATTTACATGTTCAGGGAAATGTAATTCAATTAATGGGTATTTGCGCACATAACTTTTTTTTTTATATGAAATTTTACATATATAGACTTACGTTTTTTGCTTTTTCTTTTCAAATCATTCAAAAATGTAAAAGTAAAAAAAAAAAAAAAAGAACAATAAAATAAAAAAATTAAAATTGTAACTGCAACTGAATTTGTAGCTGAATTGCAGCTGAAATTGAAAATGAGAATTTGCAACGATGTAAATTATGGAGGTGAATAATTTCCAAACATGCTTGCAGTATGTGTCATTTTAAAAATGAATTAAAATTCAATAACTTAAAAATACACATTACTGTATTTCATTCTCCTTCTTTTCCTTTTTTTTTTATTTTTATTTTTAAACGTAATTATAGTGAATAAATTTAAATTAATTCTCCCATTTTATATAATGAACGAACTTTTTAAGTGAAAATAATTTGTGTATAAAATTTGTTTTCATTTTATGATTTTACTGCTTTTTATTTTTTTCCAAAAAAAGGCACACAATGTATTTTACATTTTAAAATAGGATAAAAAATATGATTTAGTTGTTTGCATTTTTTCGTACCCCTATGTATACATTTTTTTTTTTTTTTTTTTTTTCATCATATTTTTTTATTGTATTTTCCCAAACCAATTTGAAATTCTATATAAGTTTAAAGTGTGAAATAATTATAAAGTAGAAAAAAAAAAGGAAAAAAACTATCAACGCAAATATGACACGAAATTATATTTCGACATCTTCTTTTCCTTCTCTGAATCCTGCTTTTTTTTTTTTTTTTTTACCTTTTCGAACATCCTTCGTAAATCATAAAGACCATTTCAATTTGGCAGCACCACGGTACATAAATTAAAAAGTAAGACATTAAATAGAATGAAAACATTTATTGAAAATAATAGTGTATATGCAAGTAATGTAACAGAGAATGATGCAAATTTAATAGGCAAGTGTAAAACCATTGAAGAAATAAAAAATAAGTACAAAAATGACAACCCTTTAAATTATGCTAGCATAGATAACAATCATATAGACAAAAAGGAGACAGAAAGGGAAAAAGACAACAACTCTGAAACAGAAACGAAAGCGAAAACGGAAATAGAACTGGAACAAGAAAACGAAGACCAAACGGATAAAGAAAAAGTAAGTAGTCATGATTCATACATAAGTAATAAAAACATTAAAGAAACTAAAAAAGCTTCTATGCAAAATGGAAAAAATTATATCGACAAGTACGAAAAATTATTTACAAAAAATAACAATTACAATGAGGAAATTAGGCAAGAATCAAACAGTAATAACAAATCAACAGTTAAGCATAGACTGTTCGATAGAAATGGTACTAATACAACAAATAAAAGTAAAGTTTTAGTATCTAACACAAAAAAGAACAAATATTATAACTTTAAAACTGATTATAACAATTTTAATAGTAAGGTACCCAGTTACAATTCATCCAGCAGAAATTGCAGTGAAGCAGTTAATTCAAAGAGAAAGTTTTATGCACTTGGAGAGATAAATACAAATAATCATGTAAACGTAGAGATGTATGAATCACTCCATAGATATAACAAAAGTATGCAATTTAAAATTAGTTCATTTTTTTGACGTTTTTGTATTAAATCCGTCTAAACAAGAAAAGTATAAAATTACATATATGCAGCAAGTGTGCCACAGCTCTATCATCATTTTTTATATTATACCTCTTCTCTTTCTTGTTTTTTTAGAACATACGCAAAATAGGCAGGGATCAGAAAATATTCATAAATTCTCAACGGCGGTAACCACCTTTTCATGATATAAATGTTAAATGTTTACGTCAATTCTGTTGTTATTACTGTCATATATGAACACAGCATCTGTTATAGCAGAAACTACCTCATGCGCAACGTTTTTCCGTGAGCTTAATTTTCTCCGAAATGATTACCATTTATTGTTATATATCGAGCATTATTCTTCTAACCTTTTAGGATTCTAAGGAAAAAAATATTGACAATGCAATTCTAGAGGACTGTGAAAATATAAAGAAAGAAGACCAAAAAATGAATAACTATGATTTACTTACAGACAATACAAACAATGGGGATTATTTGGGAAATTTAAAAGGTGGTAGTAGTAATGTAAAAAATATGTTTCATAGAAATGATGATAATAAAAGAATGAATGAAGATAACAAGGAAACTAATTATAATTTTCCATTTAGTAATAGAACATATAATGAGAATCTTAATAATAATCATGAAATTGATTTTAAGAATAATATTAGATACAATTCTACAGGTGTTGATATTCCAAAGCATAATAATTCAAAAAAAATAGATATGAATATTTTGTATAATAATGATATAGAAAAGTTAAACAGCAATTTATCTGCTTACAATGATACAAATAAACTAAGTGAGTTGCAAGAAAAACATAAACATAATTTTCTCTACGAAAAAGAGTACCCAAGTTACATAAATGAAATAAAGGAAAAGACATATAGTAAAACGAAAAAAGACAATATCGATATGTATTCTAACAATATGGCTTTTTATAATGAAAACAACTCCAGAAAAGAATTGAGGAGCAATTTTATGAATAATGCAATGAACAATGCAATGAACAACGCAATGAACAACGCAATGAACAATGCAGTGAATAATGCAATGCATAATAGAAAGAAGGAGGAAATTTTTACCAGTGAAAAAAAAGGATCCAACGAGAGGGAATTAGACATGTTCAATAAGTATAACTACAACAGCGACGTCAGACATAAAGTGGCCACTAACGAAAGTGATATGAGCAGCAAGAAGAAAAAAATTTTAGAAAATTTGATGAATATTAACAAAAATAATGATGAAGAATCAAGTAGAACAAATTTTAAATTGGATAATGTAAAAAATAATCATGTAGATAATTATTATAAGAATAAAATTGCACTCCATTATGACTACAAAAATTCAAATCACAGACGTTCAAATTCGACTAATGTGAATGTTGGAAGACAAGCCATTGACAGAGTTAGTAATTATATAAATTACGCAGATGATACACAAGCCAGAGTAAACTACTACAATGACAGAGAATCGAGGAGTATTTCAGGCTATGAAAAATATTTGCAATTAAAAAATAACAATAGTAATGGAGTTTTCTCTAGGAATATCCCAGACGATGTAAAAACAAATGAACTGAATAAGAATCTCAATTATGATGTAAGCACCGTAGATGATAATAATGGAAACATTCACAGTAACAACAATTATATCGATGCACATCACAATGTCAATAATAACCCTACCAATTTGAAGAATAATCACGATTTACCCAATCTGAAAAATCTGGATCTCAATGAACTAAGGAAAAAGCATATGAGTAACCTAAATCACAACAATGAAAAAGAGTCAAAATATTCACACAAGGAGGAATCGTATACGGATAACAAAAACGAAAATTATAATTTGTATGTGATAAATGAAAAGAATAAAGTACAATCGTTATTAAATAACTACGAGGATCTATTCTCGTTCGACAAAAATATAAAAAAGAAGAATGATATTAAAAACATTGTATGCGTATGTCAAGCAAGTAAACAAATGGCTCGATTACAGCTACACATGGAAGAGGGTAGACAGATGCTAGAAACGGAAAAGAATTTATTTAAAAAAAAAAAGGATAATTTTGAAAAAAAGGTTGAAATGTTAGCAGAAAAAGAAAAGGAGATAGATAAAATTCATTCTCAAATTAAAGAAAAGGAAGTAATGATTGATAAGAAAAAGAACGAAATCGAAGAAAAAGAAAAATATGTCAATTCTATAAAAATTAAGTATGATAATGCTCAGAAAGAATTGTTAGAAAAAATGAATGAATGCATTGCTATAGAAAATAAATGCAAAAACAAATTGCATGAATATGATGAGAAGTTTGGGATGTTTAATAAAAAAATTAAAGAAATGGAAGAGAGAGAAAAGGAAATCGAAAATGAGAGAAAAAACATGGAAAGAAAGGAAAAAATGCTAAGTAATGACAAAAAAGATTTAGAAGAAGAAAAATTACTAAATATGAAAGAAAAAAATGAATTGGAAATGCTAAAAAAGGAATTAGACTCGTTAGAGAAAGAAAAGAAAAAAATAATCGAATGTGAATACAACAATTTACATAATAAGGAAGAAGAATTGAGACGAAATGAACGAAGTAACCTCATAAAGGAAAACGAATTAAAAAGCAGAATTGACAAATATAATGAGTTAGTTGATGAATTAAATAAAAAGAAAAAAGAAGTAGAAAATGAGAAATTGAAAGTTTTAGATGAATTGGAACAAGAAAAAATGAAGCTCATGAATGAAAAAAATCATTTAAAGATAGAAAAGGAAAACGAAATAAATTTCATGAGGGAGGAATTGAAAAAAGAAAGAATGTTAATGATAGATGATGTGGAGAAAAGGAAAATGATTATGCTAGAAGACATTGAAAATACTAAAAATAGAATGCTGGAAAATATAGAAAAAGAAAATAAAAGGATGAAAGATGAAATTGAAAACGAAAAAAGAGCCATGCTAAAAAATATGGAAGATGATAAAGAAAAATTCAAAATTTATGTTGAAAAAAAATTCAAAGAAAATTTGGAAAATGAAAAATTGTTATTAGAAAAAAAATATGAAGAGGAGACCAGAAAACTGCAGAACGAAATTGCCAATGAAAAAAAGAATATACTCAAAGATAGAGACAATTTTGAGCATCAAAAAAAGATATATGAAGAAGAATTTCGAGCAAAGTGTGAAAAATATGAAGAGAGTATACAAAAAAGGTATGAACAGTTAGATGAAGAGAAAAACAAAATGAAATACCTTATAATGAAAGAACAAGAAGAATTGGAGAACTACAAGAAAAGAGTTTATCTTGACATCGAGGAAGAGAAAGACAAATTGTATGTACAACAAGAAAAGATTAATTTAGAAAAGGAAAATTTACTAGTGGAGAAAGAACAAATAGAAATAGAATTAAAAAATTATAAAAACTTTAAAGAAAAGGAAGAAAACGATATAAAAATTCGTATAATAAATTTGTCGCAACAGCAGGAAGATTTAAATAAGGAGAAGGAATGTTTAGAAAAGGAAAAGGAAGAAATTGAAAAACGAGAATTCGATTTAGATGAAAGAGAGCAAGGTCTAAATAATGACAAAATGCAGATAGAAGAGTCACGAAAAATATTCGATGAACAATTAGAAAAAATTAAAAAAAATAAGGAAGAATTGTTAAATTATGATAAAAACTTAAAAACAAAAGAAATCGATTTAATTGAAAAGGAAAAGGAGCAAAAGAAAAATGAAGATGAACTACATAAGAAAAAGGAAAAGTTGAACGAATTTGATAGTGATCTTAAGGAATATAGTGGTAAGTTGCAAGGAAGAGAAAAAAAACTTAAGGAAAAAAAAAACGAACTACAAAAAGTTAAAGACCAATTGGTTAATTATAAAAATAGCTTGAAACAAAAGGAAGCTCAATTTCAAATGATCGGGAAACGAGAAAAGGAGCTGCTAGATGAACAAACGGTTATTCAGATTGATAGAAATAGTTTAGAAGCAGAGAAAAAGCAATTCTTACTCATGAAAGAGAAACATGAAAAGGATACTGAATTTATACAAGAACAGTTGAAACTTTTGCATGAACAACTCAAAAATAAAGAAAAATCTTTGAAGGAAAAAGAAAATGAAATCAATTTGTTGAACAAATTACAAGACTGTCGAAGTAAAAGCGGAAAAGGTGCAATTATATCGTTAAAAAATTTAGATAATAGAAAACTGAGTTCAAATTTATCTAGAGCTAGTAATTCTAAAAACAGAGTAAAGGTGAAAATTATTGGGAAAAACAAATTAGATTTAATAAGAAGAAATAGAAAAAAAAGCATAAATTTTAACTACAACAACCTGGAAATTAATAATAGTATTCAATATATTGATAGTATGATAAATGAAAACTTCAAAAATAAACCCTTTTTAAAATATAAAAATAATAACAGTTTAGGACTGTCCGAGGCAAATTTTCCTCCAGATCATGTTAACAATAATGACATGGGACCCTATTCCAAAACTAAAGCAGATAATTATATGGAATCAAAATATATGAAGGATAATACTTTTAATTATGATAAGAATGGGTCGAGAATAGATGCTTCGCACATAAGTATGATCGATAAAAATGGTCCTAGCGTTCTCTCTTATGCTGTAAAGAATACAGTAGAATATTCTCAAGCTGTTGATGTGGGAAATTGTTTGGAGAACACATCTAATAAAAACAAGTACCTCAAGAGCAATGTCCCTATGAGTAACGTAGGGACAAGATTAAGAAATAACTTTGATAAAGAATCATTTGATCCAATTAATAAATTCAACGCGAATAATGACAATCAAGGAGTCAGCAATAATTACGTGAGCGAGATGACTAAGACGAACGAGGAAAATTACGAAAAACGTACAGATAATGATATGACTAGCAATATTACTAGCGATTTGGTCAATGAAATGGATAATAATAATGCCAATAATTCCAATAATCTTAATGAATACATGAAAAATTACAATGAAAACCGAAATTATGACAACTATTCTAATGACCCAAACAATGGACATTATAAAAAAGGAATGGGGAAAGTGGGAACTCATAATTATGTTACCGAGGAAGGTAGAAACAGAAACCATATGACGATGAAAAATAAATACAATTACGGTTACAATGATAATGAACATATGGATGATGATAAAAATCTGGAGGAGAGGAAGTATACTAAGCAAAATAGCGCATACACAACTAATTCCTATACCAATAGTGACAAAGCACCTGGGAATATGAACCCAAATTCCAAGGAAAACACACATAATAACAACAACTATAACAACTACAATTGCAACAACTACAACAAGCACAACAGCCACAACAGCTACAACATCAACAACATGAGCACAAATATCAAAATGGGAAATAGCAATTTCAATGACACCTTAAATTCGAAAAACGTTTCGCGTATGGATTTGAAGGAAATAAAAAATCAGGAAAATAACAACAATATTTTGTCATCGTTAAATGTAAATAATTTAATAGAGTCCGATTTGATAGATATAAAAAGTAATTACGGAACATACTCTGATAAAAATAAAAACAAATATGATGATGATATGTATTTAGAAAATTATGAACAAAAAGGTATGAACATGATGACGGAATATGACAATTATGGACAGAATAAACCCAAAGGGCATGTCCAAAGTATTGATGGTATTAATAAGAACATTAGTACTATTAATAATGATGTGGATCATATAAACAATAACATAAATAATATTAATGATAATTTGCACAAAATTAACAGCCATGTACATTCAGTCGAGAACGTTTCGAGATGTTTTCCTCCCACAGCGAATAACGGAATCAGCACCCATACAGGGGAAAACAATACCCTTAGAGGTGATCATAATAATAATCCAACAACAAACAAAAATAGAAAAAATCTTGCATCCCTGAATAAGATAGATAATTTGGTGAATAAAAATATGCAATCCATAAATCACATGTCAAGTTTAATGCAAAGTAATAAAAAGAAAACTTTTCCATTTAACAAACAAATGGAAAATTTGAAAAATAATAATTTTACAAAAACGAACAAAAAGAACAATAATGAAAACCTTTTTAATTACAATAACGATGAGAATGATGCCTTAAAAAAAGAAACTAGTTTTAATGAATTTTTAGAAGATGTAAATTCTGAAAAATATTACAATCCTTCCGAGGTTCGTAATGAAAAGGAAAATGACGATTTTTATCATAATATGGAAAAATCATTGAATGGTAAAAACATGAATGACTCGTATGAATGTGAAAATGTAGGAAATTACAACAATATCAACATGAATAATAAGGGTAGAGGAATCGAAATGGTGCACAAAGGTTGGAACAACACTACGGAAGATAGAGATCACAATGGAGGCAATGGAAACACAAACGGAAATGGCCACGAAGATGACTATAGTTACGATTATGGAAATGGTAATAACATCATGAAGAACCGTGTTACACATTTATCCTTTCAAAAAAAAAAGAACAACATGAAAACAATGCCAGATAATGGATACAATAGTGACAGTAATATTTTTCGAAATAATAACTTTGCAAACAATGAAGAAACTTGTGGAAAATTAAATTCAAATAACATTAAATACAACAAAGAGAACAAATTGACAATGCGAAACAATAGTAGCAACATCTATTATAACACTAATAATAACCCATCCCAAAATTATAGAAATGATATTATACATAATAATACAAAAATTAAAAAACAAGAATTACATGAAGAAAACATTTCTAGAAATTTAAAAGAAAGAAAACACATGTTTTCTGAAAAAAGTATTAAACAACACGAAAATGTAAACAGAAATACTAGTAGGGATAATACGATGAATGAGAATATAAACAATGCGACGTATTTGAAAAGGTCAAACATGAACACGCATAATTTAGAGGATGAAAATAAAGATGTGCATATAAATAAACACAACAGAAGTAACAGTAGAACCAATTTAATAGACCAAAATGTAAATAAAAACTCGAACATGGTTAGGATAAAGGGATTTATGAAGGGCATGCAACAAAATGGACGCGAGCTCCTCAATGAGACGGGCGCTAATGGTAGTGGAAATAGCGCAGGAAATATCGGGAGTAACAAAGGAAATAATATAATAGAACAGCTTGACAAAACCCTGCTTAATAAGTCTATCATGATGAATAAAAATCAAAAGAAGTTTGAAAAAAATTAAGAAACAAGCGGAATGAAAAGATGGAGTAAATACATAAATGTCTCCCAGTGATGCACCGAATATTTTGAAGTAATTTTTCCTCGAAGGAACTTTGCATGTGTTGCATTATTGGAGTTATTGCATGCAGTTTGGTGTGCATATATATATATATATATATAATGTGTGTGTATAGGGAAGAACAATAAATATTTGTGAAAAATAATAGCAATGTATGTGTATTTGTATACATGCAATGGGGAACCCGCCTTACGTGCCAATAATTGAGCATGGGAAAAAGATAACCATTTGACAATGACGCATTTAAAATATGCACTAAAGAAAAACCCAAACAATCTTCTGCAAAAAAATTTATTTTGAAGCAGAGCCAAAGCTAAAATGCTTAGCTGTGTTGAATATCACACCTTTTTTAAGTGATAAAAATACTTTTTTTTTATATTTTTAGGTTTTATTTCTTTTAAGTCATATTATTTACCCTTTATTCTTTCCTTTTTTTTTCTTTTTTTTTTTTTTTAAATTAATGACTTCCAAGCTTATGAAGTAAGCTTATATATGTATGTTTGCTCATTATGAATTATGACATTTTCACATGAATAATTTTTTTCAATACCAACGATGCGTGTGAAGATTGATGAAAATTGAGATCTCCAATTTGAAAGGTGGAAGACACAAGGAAAAAAACTCCAAAAAGGGATTCCCTTAGTATTTTTGTTTTCCTCTTTTTTTTTTTCTTTCATTAAATATACTTCTTTTAATAAAATGAAGTTTATAAATTTTGACTCATATTCAAAATAGTGTAAAAAAATTTTGCATGCATTTGTTTAGCAATTTGGAAAATTCAACACACGTTTTAACAGTTATCTCATACATGCATACACAGTGTGTTTATCACGAAGGCTTTTTCAAAAGAAAAAAAAAAAAATAAAATAAAATAAAAAAAAAACGGATAGAACTACTCCCCTATAAAATAATATGCACTCATAGATGTCTTTTTGCGAGTAAACGTATGCATATATATGTATAAGCATGAACAACGTTGTGACCTTTTTTTTTTATGGGAATTAAGGACTAGCCATTTTACTTAATATCCTTTTTTTTCTTTTTAAAACCATTTTTTGCTATTTCGTTCTTTTTCGCACTCATGTAATTTATCAACTCTTCAACTCTGTTTAATTCCAAATTCACGTTCGGTTTATTATGAACTGGCTGATTTATCGTGCTTGCAGTAACACCATTTTGTTTAGCATCATCTGTGCGACTTGAATGACTAGCATTTCCCCTTTGGGTGGCATCTCCAGAGTTTATAAAATGCAGCATATTTTCATAATTTTCCAATCGGCTAATTTTTTCGGCGTAGTTTTCAAAGGTTTGCATTTTTTCAATCGGTATGAAATATTCGTTGTGATAAGAATATAATGTACTATGTTTTGATGAATGAATTTTTTGGTTCTCTTCATTGAACTCTTTCATATATTCATCGCTGTTCCTCATGTTCTCGTTAATCGGTGTGAGTGTCAGTGCAAGTGCTTTATCTCCTTTCGAATTGGTTTCCACGCTTTTTACCAAATCGTTTTGTTCTTTGGACATTGCATCGACCACTTCATTGTGTAGTTCTTTTTCCACATGGGAATCTTCTCCTGTGCTAAATATTGTGGACTCTTCCCCATTTTGTATTTCGATTTGGTCATGATTTTTCTTAAGGTCGTTTATCAATTCTGTAGAATTTACAACAGAACTATGTTCTTCTATCATGCCATATTCTGGATTGTCAATATCATTATAAAAAGTATCATTATTCAATGGAACTATATTTTCATCAATTTTTCCCAATTCCCCAGAATCGTTAATATCATCATAACTTCCACTAAAGTAACTAGATATATTAAAGTTTATATTATTTTCTATAACATCATCAAATTCTTCGGTTCCCTTTTGTTCATCTTCCATTTGGCTAGTTTCACAAATGTTACTATTTGCTACCACTTTCCTAATTTGTTCATGTAACACATCTTCATCGATATCGTTGCTTGGGCATTTTTCATCCCCTGCATTGGTGTATATATATTCCACACTTTTTAAATTTTCATTATTTATGTATTCATCATTATGGTTTAAAATGCAAGGATTCCTGGGAGTATTTCTTTCCCCCTCTAATGTATCCATATTTCTGGAGCATTTAATTTCATCCTGCTCATCTATAAATACATTGTTTCTATCATTCTCTGTTTCGCTTTTTTCAAACATTTGATCACAATATTTTGCTTCTTTCGATTTGGAATGTATTTTTTCCTTTTCATCTTCACATTTATTAGAACTTTTTTCTCGACCTAAGTAATCCTTATTATGATTATAATTTTCTTCTTCCACGTTTAGGTATGCATGTTTTACGTCTTCTGTATGCCAATTTTCTTGCTTAATTTTTTCACCTGAAGTGGGCGTATTTGTTTGAATTTCTTCTTCATAATCAGAATTGTCTTTCAATTCGAATGCATTTTCTAGCACATCTCCGGAAGTTTCTACTTCTTCGATTGTTTCATTGTACACTTCCTTGATCATTTCATTGCAAACATCTTGGATCATACCATTGCCCGTGTCAGTTGCTACTTCCTCAAGGGCTTCCTCTACTGCAGTAGCTTTTTTTCCGTGTGGACTGAGCACACAAATCATGTTACCCTTATCCGTGATATTTTTTTCATTATCTTCCATTTCATGATCACTTTTCTCCTTTTTTGATAAATTTATACACAGTTCACTAGAGACTTTACTTTGTTCATCTGAGAAAAGGGTGATAGGGGGATTTTCCTCATTTTTAATCTTGCATCTGATTGTGTTAGATATATAATCACCTTCGTCATTGTGTGTGTGTGTTTTTTCACTTTGATTGAGGATGATGCTTTGATAAATTTCGTTTATATTTAGTTGGCACAAATTTTCTATATCAAAATTCTTTTTATCTTCCCCATGTTCTGTTTGTTTCTCATTGTCAATCAAGAAATTATTGTTTGCATGTTCAGTTTTGTTTTCCCAAATTGTGTATGTGTTTATATTTTTGTCTGAAAACATCATATATACTTGTTCCTTCAAAAATGGGGAAACAAAAAAGAGAATAAAATTACGCAAGTTAGTAAAGTAAAGATTTACAGTAATAAAAACAAATAAGTCATAAGTTAGTAATTTACTATTTTTATTTTTATTTTATTTTTTAAAAAAAATCCTATTGATTACAACGCACTTGTAACTTAAGAACTCGTTTTTCCTTCTCATCAATTTCTTCCTTCTTTAGTAGCAAATTCTTGAATACTTTATAAATACATTGATAGTATTCTTGTTCATACAAAAATATATCTGCAAAATAGTTGTTGTATATCTCCTTTAATTTTTCCAGATGTTCTAAATGTATTTTTTCTTTCTCTTTAGCTAATTCGCAGTGTAGATGCTCTCTTTCTTTCTACAAAGAAAAAAGGGACCAATAATCCGACAGAAAGGAAATGAATAAGCCAAAAATGGCATAGCATGTGAGTGCATGTTTCAATCTTTTACTTCATTTGGTGATAATGCATTGAAAAAAATAAAAATAAATAGAGTAAAAAAGAAGTAATGAAAAAACAATACACCCCTTCGGGGAAACATCAATGAACTTCTTATCCCTACGTTAATAAAATATCTGTCAATGTAGTTTTCCATTCTCTTTTTCTCAAAGAACGACTTCATCTCCTACGAATGTTTATTGAAGTGGATGCAAACCATGTGTGTATGTTCAAAAAATCCTGCAAACATGACATTCGTGTGACCCCATCCCTTTCGCACCATGAACTTTATATATTTGGTATATTCATCCTTTTTTTTTACACTTTTTTTTCCTTCTTACCCTTTTAAGCCGTTTCAGCTTCTTCAGCTTCTTTTTGTATTTTTCTATCATGTAGGAGCATTTTATCTGAATTGCATGTGTAGAACCGATTTCTAAAGACATTTTCAGTTTTCTCAATAGTACATAATTCGATAAGTATACTTTGTGTGAATTTTCCCAAATGTGTGAATTAAAATTCTGGGTTATATAACTGCTATTCTTTGTACTCAGCTTGGAGTGAATACCCTGCCTGTTTAGTGTGAAAATTTTTATATATGCATTTATGAGGACAATACATGCGTGCTCGCATAAGGGTACGAAAATTCCATGTGTTTGTCTCTGTGTCCGTGTGTGTATCTGCGTGTAGAATAGATTCGTACGTTTATAATCCCTTCTAGAGATGAATAACAATGCAGATGGAAAAAAAAGGATTAATCAAACCATGTATATTTCTTTATTCTTAGAATTTTACAAGTTCAACATATTGTCTCTTCACCAGCTTACCGTTTTACTCCTTTCCCCCTGTGCAAAAATATGTAGAAGCCGTTTTTCAATTCTTAACACACGTAAAATAGAAGCATTTAAGGATATGTGGACTCGTTCGTGTTTATATATATTCTTTTTCGTCACAAGTTTATGAATTCCTTATGTAACAAATTTCACTTGGCTAATAAGCATCATTTTTAAAGATAAAATTTTATGCAGCATAATATTTTTCACTTTGTTAACTCAAGTTAGACGTCACACAATTGGGAATTTTAAAATGCAAGCAAAAATAGGAATTGGAAAAAAAAAAAAAAAAAAAAAAAAAGTAGACACTTTTGTAAAAACATATAAAAAATGTATACTATTTAAAAACACTTAACATATCATATTTTTCTTTCTTCATCTATAATGATGTATATATTAAGAGAATGGTAGGGAAAAAAAAAAAAAAAAAAAAAAAAAAAAAAAAAAAAAAAAACTTCAAAATTTTCGCATTTTCGAATTTTTAAAAAAATGCAAAATGCGGTGGAATGTAATTCCAAACCGAATTATTTCTCCATTTTTTCTCTGTCTTTTCAACTAGTACCTTTTTGGTATTTTTTCCAAAAAATTACTAATTAAGTTATCTGCAAAAGCATCATTGGTTATAGTAATTTTGTTAAGTTCATACAGGTGGTTAAAAAAGTTATACCTACTCATTTTAAGTTCGTAACTATTGTTTACAAAATTGTTTTTGAGAGTTCTAAGGAGCCAATGTTCTTGTATAATAAAATCAGTAATGTCATATGTGACCATGGCATGTAGAACTTCATATGTATTTATTTGAATTGTTTCATCATCTAATTCTTTGAGTATTGCAATAACTTTTTGAAAGAGAATATTATGAATCAGTTCTTTATACCATTCAAAACTCATGGATTCTGAACTTAATATTTTTGTCCATATATTTAAGGCATGTCTTAGAACGCTTGTGTGTGAATGTGTACTTATATTATTGATGGCAATAAGATGAGCACTTGAATTTAGATTCATAAGAACTTGGCTAGATTCTTTAAGTGAAAAAAAGTACCCAAATGATTTTAAGCCTACAATTAACTTTTCCACATTGACGTTACTACTAGAATCTGCATTACTGGTAAGATAATAAATTATGGTCTTCAACAAAATATTATCATGTGTATTGACTATAAAATGAAGAAGTGATGAATTCATTTTTGCATAACAAATTAGTGAGTTCAAAATACTTAACGGAAGAATTTCATCATCTACATTTTTGAGGTCTTTCAGTACTGTATGTAAAAAATAGCTGTTTTCAACTGTACTGTTATCACTGTAGTATTCATTTTGGACAAATTTGGAAAAAATCTCTAACACATTTATTTTTAATAATAAATCTTCTTTTTCATAAATCATGTGCAAATATTTATACACATTAATTTTTATCATTTTACACATGTCACTTAATTTTAAATTGTGATTTTTCATTTCTTCTTCTACTAAATTTTTACTCACAAACGATATATCATCATAGGTGCATTTCCCTTCTTCGTATTCGCTATCGTAGGAGAACATTTCCAAATTGATAATGTCGTCATTTTTCCCTGTACCTGATGATGGAAAATCATTGTTGTATGTTTCTTCCTTTTCTTTTTCGGAATTACTATCTTTTTCGTCACTATCCAAAGGTTTATTTTTTTTTTTCTTGATTAGAAAAATGTCGCAAATTTGTTTGCTATTTATATTTGCACATTCTGAAATAAGATCAAGCAACCTCAAGCGTTGAATATTATCTGAATTCTCCAATGTTCGTTTAAGTTTTTTTAGAAAATCCAAATCAAATATTTCATTTACTTGGATATTCTCTTTTACTAGAAGTTTTACTATTTCACTAGATCGATTGAATGAACAAAGTGATTTACTAAAGATACAAATTTTAATCATTTTTAAATGAATGTCTTCATAATATTCTCCATCTTCTATCATATATTTTTTTAAATTTTTCAATGTAAATATTTGTATATATATATTTTGTTTATATAAAGCTCTTAGGAGAAGATTTGTCATTTTTTCATTGCAAAATATAATTTTTCTTCCCAAACTTAAATTAAATATGTTTCTAATAATGTATGCAATAATAATTAACGTAATTTCATATATTTGTGATTTTTCACATTGCATATTCAAAATTTTATACTCATCTTCATTTATTTTTTCCACTACTAAATTTTGAAGTATTTCATTTATTATATGCATGTCATCTGAATTGTTATTATCATTTGAAACATGAAATGATTTCAAGAAATTATCTAAATAAACAAATGTCTGCTCGATTTTTTCTTCATACAACTCTTCATTTATGTTTGGGTCGAAATAATTGATCATGTCCTCATCGGAATTTTCTTTTCTTACTTTATATTTCTTATCACTATCTAACATTTTTGATTCCTCTATTTCATCTTCAAATTTTAGATAATCACTTCCTACCTCTTCATTGTCAAACTTGTCATCTTCCGTAAGCAAACTGGAATAATAGTTATACGAGTATAGCAGGTCTTCTATATTTATTTCCTTCTGGATGGTCAATAACAATTCATTAGTGAATGTCTTTTTGTAATATGCCTTTATGGCATTCACCTCTATGATTGAACTTTTGTTGGCACTCATTTTGTTTGGCAATAATATGAAGGTTATTTACCCCAATTATTCCTACCTTTATGATTGATGGGATCTTTTAGACGAGCGATAAAGTTAGTTGTAATTCTTACTATATCGTCAACGCATTTGATATGTAAAGGGTGCAACCGAAATGTGCAGGCACTTTCTAAATTGCATTGATAAACACCTTTACTATTTCGTCATATAAGAGTCAAAAAAATATATACCTCACATTTGTTTAAGCCCCACACACATACAAAAAAAAAAGAAAAAAATTAAATGCACAGGTAAAAAGGCAAGTGGATAATGCAAAGAGAATATGTTAGAATTATTAATAAATGTGAACTTGCTCACTTGTGTCATACGAATGTGTGCATAATAAAATAATGATAAAAAGAATGGGTCGAATGGGAAGAAATGCAAATTTTTTAGAAATAGTGGATTTTCCTTTTATCCTTTGTTTTTGTTCAATAATACGAAATTGTTGAAAAATTACCAATGTGGGGAAACTTAATAATTCGTGCCTGTGTATCGTGTCACGCATGTCAAGAGTAGAATATATAATTGCAATTGTAACTGAAATTGAAATTTTTGCATTCTTTTTTTTTCTTTTTTTTTTGCATTTTCTTCATTCGAAAAAACAAATATTGTGTTACAATTACACATGCTAACCGTTAAGGTGATATTATCACCTTTTTTCGAGCTAATGATGATAATTGGTTCCTCTTGAAAATGCATTGCACTGAAATGTAAGTGCATATATATATTCATATACAGGGTTCATGTTTGCGACTGCCCTCAAATGTGCATATAATGCACATGCTCAAAACACCTTCATCAAGTAGGGGAGGAATCAAAATTGAAAAAATTAAAGTGGTAAAAGCAAAATAAGGATGATTTTCCTTTTGCTTTTTTATTGTGATATGGTAATAATTTTTTTATTAACAGAAGATCCAATTCATAGAAGAAATGTGAAAACTCTTCTAACTATTTAAAAATTTTATGGTTATTTTTAAAAATGTGTGGTAGGGATGATCTCACGAATACTATAATAATGTGCATTAAGCGCAATAACAGCGCTATATGTGTAGCTCACGTGAAAGACTGATATTCTGATGTGACCACACATGTGCTATACGTGCATATTTGTAATATGTGAATAATTATTATGGGGATTTTAACTGTACTCTCACCATGTTAAGCTTCCTTTGACGTAGGAATTTCAAAACGTGGAGGTCATCCTTCCAGTTATGAAATTTGGTTATCATGTAAACGATTTACAGAATTTAGTGGGTCTTCAAAAATGGAACTTTTCCAATTTTGTAACTATTTTGGGCATTTTTGTATTCATGCCTTTTCTTTTCTTTTTTTTTTTTTTTTTTGGCGCATTATTTAAAAATGAAAAGTCAGACAAAAGTGTAAGAAAAAAGTAAGAAGCATGTTTGTGGAGCGTTAATTGTTTTTTCCCTCAATCTTTTAAATTTTTATGTGTGGTCCCCCCATCCTTTTCACTCTCTTTTTTATAAATGAACAACGGTAGTGGGTTTACAGATAAAAATGAATATACACCTATATAAAAAATTCATAGTTCTGAAGGTAAAAGAAAACATACATTTTTGGAAATCTAAAGCAGTCATTGAGTTGCAAAAAAAAAAAAAAAAAAAAATGAAGAATGTGAAGAAAAAAAGAAAAAGAAACAAAAGAGCTTTTGAAAGCTCGTTTTTAAAAACGTTTTTTTAAAAAACTCCTCTATTTAAATGCGTATTTGAACGATAGACCATTTGCAATCAAATTATGAGCATGATATTCTATTTTGAAATTAAATTTTCCTCGAAAGCAAAGTTTGGGACTCCACCTTTAAAAAAAAAAAAAAAAAAATATATTTTACTATAACGACACAATATATAATGGTTAACGCACAGAAGCAAAAATAACTGGACTTTCTTATAAGCTATTCATTTAATATTATATGTTTTCGTCTTTTGCTTATATTTTAAAGGTTTGTTCTTGTTTTAACTTTGCCACTTTGCGTGAATTAAAAATGCGACCTTTTTGAAAAAAGTGAAGAGCGTAATTCCAGCGAAATTACTTGAATGTACATGTGCATTATATATGCCACTGTGGAAAATATATACATATGTATATATATATATATATATATATATATATATATATATATATATATATATATATATATATATACACGTGTGCAAGCACTATTTTACATTCGTAAATTCCTGCGTGAACGTTATACTACATAAATTCACGCATTTAAAACATGTATAATTTTATAACTTATTTTTCAAGTTTTATGAAAAAATAAAATAGCAGTAAATTTGGCAAAGCGATAAGAAGAAAAAAAAAAAAAAAGAGAAAAAATGTAGAGAACGTATTTAAATCCCAAATATTGTTTATTAAAGGCATCCTCTTTTGTCAGTTTTATTGTATCGAGTACTACTTAAATACTTTTTCTATTAACCCGGTGCTGCAGTTTTGCTTTTTTTTTAAAACGTTGCTAAAGTGATAGCCAGCATTTTAGTTAAAGTGCAAAAAAAAAAAAAAAAAAAAAAAAAAAAAAAAAAAATACATAAAAGGACGTCACTGTATCTTATGACATGACATATGTTGTACAAGTTATACATATATCATAATCTGTTCATTTAGGTATACTTATAAATATATATATATATATATATAGAAGCCTTTAGTTCATGAAATAATACTTGCGCATAGATATTGAACTTGCTTTTTCACTGAAAAAAATTATCAAAATTTTAACCTCATGTATGCAAAAAAAAAAAAAAAAAAAAAAAAAGGAAAAAAAAAAAAGCGCCTTTTCACAAACAGGTAATAAAGCACGAGTAATATATATTTTATATACATATAAATTATATATGTATTTAGTTACAAAGTAAATGTTATAGCAAATATATTTTATAAATATTATTGACAATCATAATAAGAAATAAAAATCCAAAACTTTCCCAATTGAAGTAAAAATACGAACAAAATTGATTAAAGAAGCCTTTTTCTTTTTTTATTGACGCAAAAAAAATTCAATTCAAACTTAATTATAAAAAAGTAGAGGAAACAAAAAAAAAAGAAGCATTTTTATAATGTATAAGTACTTATATACTGTACTTTTCATTACGAACCCATAATGAATGCAATGTATATATTTTTTGCACTGTATATGTAAATACATTTACTTATATATATGCAGATTATGTACTTGCTCATACATATAAATATCAGTTCGATTATTTAGAAAGTACAAATGAGTTTTTGAAGCAGCTGCCCAGGCATTCTTCACAGTTTTTTATACAGTAACAGTGTAGTGTAGTAAATCCCCTACTAAAATTACATTTGTATGGAATTTCATGGCTTTTAAAAAGCTGTTATGATTGCATTGCATACATGCTTATTCGTGATAACAATACGAGAACTTACACGTAAATATTTTTGCACACGTATTTGTGCTATTTTTAAGTATATGTGAATCGTATTCTTCTTTTTTTTTTTTTTTTTTCAAAGTTGACCTGTAAGTGGCTTAATTGAAAAAAAAAAAAAAAAAAACTTCATTCAGACCTTTTACGCAAATTTATAGTTACCCTTGTTTTACGCATATTTACAATTTTTACACACAAGTGAAATCAACAACATAGAGTAAATTTTCTAACCTCGAAAAGGAGCTCCTTTTTCCGTAAAGGTGTTAGTGTTTTATATATATACATAAAGCATTATAGCTATTAAACCATACGGTACAGTAAGCAGACATAGTAGTCAAATTATAAGTGACAATACTAAAATAGTTTAGAGGCATGATTAAACTTTATAACAACACGTATTTGTATTATTGTAAAGAAAAGTCAATGAAGACTTCGGATTGTGAACGTAGTTTGGGTTATACAAAATACATTAATTATGCTAATGACAATAACATAAAACAAGAAAAGCATAAAAACCCCTTTAGGCACTCGACAAATGACATATTTAGTGTAGTCGATAAATTGTGCTGGTAACACCTCATGGGAAAGCCTACATTGAGAAAGTAACAAAAACCACATCGTGATGTACAAATTGCGTAATATCCATTGAATTACATAATATCCAATTTTTGCACGTTGCCCATATGTGTATATTGCACTAGTGTATTTTGGGAGAAAGTGAGATGCAACAGGCAGTACCCTTACGGATTTGTATTCATGTACATATATACACATATATATATTCATGCAGATATATGCTCCTTTACATATTACTGTATACCATGCATGTAAATATATCTTCATCCCGTATCGAGCTGCCCAGATAATTGTATCTATAAAGAAAGGTTGCTAGATTATTTCTTTAATTACTTTAGTTACTACATTTCGAAGAGGGGGGGGGAAAAAGAAAAAAAAAAAAAAAAAAACATGAAAAATTATGTATATTTTATACCACATTATATTTATCTGTTCCTTTTTTTTAATTCAAATAATACCCCGTTGTACCAACATATTACAAATGTTATGTAATGGAATTATAATGTATTCATGTCATAAGTAACACATTTTAATATCTAGTTTATGCCCTTTTTGGAAATATATAAATTCACAGTTGTATGTTGCATCGTTATTGTGATAACATGTAAGCAATTTGCATATATAACTACATTAGCATTATAAATATTATTTGCATCACCTGATCTAGCCATATTCTCAATTATGCCTTTCACGAAAATAAGCAAAGAAAATTTAGCTGCATTTCTGTTGATTGTAGAACCATATATATATATGTGCACAACAGTTAATAATGAAATATCACGTGAATACAAAGAATCATAGAAAGATAGAGGTTTTGTGAAGCAATTTGCATAACATAATATATGCAAGAGAAACATATGCGATCAGGATTATTAGCATCACTCTCATTTGTTTACATACTTGTTTATTGTGCACGTGTGAGCGTATTCCTATTTTATTTAATCCCTTTTGAGAATTCCGTTTTGCTATATCATTATTATAAGAAGTAAAATGTATACACTTGCTTTATCAAACAGTGTGGAAAATATATTTTATAAAAGTTATGCAAGCCGAACATTTATTAGAAGTGATGAATGAACAGTAATTTTAAGGCACGCAGAATTTGTTGAGGTAAAAAATTTATATATTTTTTTTTTATTAAGGATTAGTTTTTAACAGCCTGAATGGAATACAATACAGTAATTGTTTAATACATTTTAGTAAAAAGTATTTATGTCAAAAAGAGAAGTAAATAAAAATAAAATAAAATAAGTATATCAGATTTTCATTAACACAGAATGATTTAAGAAAAAAAAAAAAAAAAAAAAAAAAGAGTGTAAAACAATTTTGAAGCTAATTTCTTAAACATATTGACTATCAATATATTATTGAAGTTTTATATTTATAAAAGTTCACAAAAGAAGAGATATAAAAGGTTATATCCTATCTATTGATATCTGAAAAGAGCAAGTAGCAAAAATGTCGTATATTAACATCCCCCGGGATCGAAATGATCCAAACTATAGATACAAGATGCCGAAATTGATCTCAAAAATTGAAGGCAGAGGAAATGGTATAAGGACGAATATTTCCAATATGGGGGAAATAGCGAGGTCATTGAAAAGACCTCCTATGTATCCAACAAAATTTTTTGGATGTGAATTAGGAACCATGGTGAAATTTGAAGAGAATGAAGAAAAGGCAATCGTAAACGGTGCTCACAAAGAACATGATTTAGTGACCATCTTGGACAAATTCATCGAAATGTATGTTCTATGTCCACATTGTTTATTACCAGAAACAGACATTATAGTTAAGAAAGGATTTTTAATATGTAAATGTAATGCATGTGGAAATATTGGAGAACTAAACAATTCTCATAAAATTGCGACATATATGATCAAGAACCCACCTCAAATAAGCACTGTTGGAAGCAAGAAGAAAAAAGTGAAAGAGAAAAAATTAGAGAAAAACGGCAAAGGGAAAAATGAAAAGGGTGGAGTTGGAGCAGCGGAAAAGGGAGAAAAGGGCGAAGAAGCAAAAAATGGAATTTTGAATTCCGGAGGAGATTACGATAGTTCGGATGGACAAGATACAGATAAAAGTAATCCAACAAATAATGGAAATATTAAAAAGGATAAGAAACTTAAAAAAAAAGAAAAAAAAAAAAATAAAACAGAAGAAAATTTTGTTTTAGAAAAAGAGTGCCTACATTTTGATAGTGTAGAGATTAAGGAAGTTATTGACAGATTAAGAACATTATTTGTTACCTTTCCAAATATAAGTGATAATGATTTTTGTGAAGAACTTCGAGTATTACAAGTATCTCAGAGCTTTGATTCCAAGTGTAGAATGTTTATTTGTCTATGTGCTTTATTTGATAACCAGATAACAAAAGAATTGCTAGAAAAATATATTAAATATGTGAAAAAAGTGAATGACACATCAGTAACTGTAACCGATATATTTCTTGCCTTAGAATATTATGTAAACAAAATAGCTGCTAATGCACTTATTATTTACCCATATATATTACAAGTATTATATAACAATGACATTTTTGAAGGAAAGGATATTATCAAACGATATGACGCTAACAGTTCTTCCACTTTGTTATTTGGAAAGTCCGATAGTACCGAGAGTCTTGATGAAAAAACGAAATACTACATCGAATGCTATAACAAATGTAAAAGTATGGCTAAACATTTTGTTAGTTGGCTAAAAGAAGATGAATCAGATGAGGATGAATGTGAAGAGGAGGAAGAAGAAGATAACCAAATTATTAATACAGTAAATAGCAACGTGACAAATTACAAAGTTAAATCGTTGCGAAATAATGGTGACAAGAATAGAGGAGCTATAAACAATGGTGGCATTAATAATAATAACTCAGGTCCCAATGATAATGATAAAGCATTTGAAGATTCAAAAAGTGAAAAATGTGAGGATGAAATATTTTTGGATGCGAAAGATGGTATTAACTACACTGGAGATGAGGAAGAAATTGATATCGATGCTATTTGAATGATATTTTTGACCTGTACAAATACGTATTTTTTTTTTTTTTAAACCTTTCAACCAATCCAAAAAAATACCTATTTTTTGTTCATACTATAAACAAAACGTTGTAGTTGCAGTGTGCAAAATGTATAATAATCATATTGCACTATGATGTTTCCTGCAACATCTTCCATCGTGAATTATATAAATATATATATATATGGTTGCATAAATATGTATTTTTAGCCATTTGGTCATTTTTGCAAATTTTACGTTTTTTCCAGTTATATGTACTACATATTCGTTTTGCGCCCAATTGTGCATCTATTTATTTGCATATGTTGTTGTTTCACCACTTCTGTGTTTTATGGTAACGATCACACCATTTCTTTTTTTTTTTTTTTTAACTGTATTAATATTACTAAGAACTCATTTTTCCAAAGCATTATATTTTTATGCTCCTCAATAATTGAGCGTTAATATAGAAATGTACGTCCATCATTTTGGTACTTTTCTATATCATGAAAGGTGAGAAAAAGGTGAGAAAAAAGGTGTACGATCCTGTGTATCTGCATAGAAAACTTCATTTTTCTTGTACCACAACCCCTTTATATTGTATAAGACCGAATATTAATTTTTTTTTTTTCTTTCAAATCTGTAATAATATGTTTTTAGTATTGAACATGTGCTATATTCCCTCAACAATGCTACAAAGATCTACCAAAAGTGTAGAATGGCCACAAGTCCATTTGTGTCCTGCGTATGTACAATGTGCATATGCCACCCCCCCCCAGTAGAACATGGAGCAACGTTCGGTGTAACAATCTTATCTTAAGGGCAGTTTTCATGGGTTTTTAAACATTTCAAACCTGTTAAACTTGTTATGTTAGAAATAAATTTATATTTTTCCTTTTTCACTTGTACATTCGTGGGTGTGAACTCATGTTGCAAGGAATGAAATGAGTAACGTGCGACCTATCCTCACAACGAATGAGTCCTATGAATGCTGCAAAATATATACATATATATTAGCCGAATTGTAGATACCAAGTGTAGCCATATTGTTCACCATACACTGCAGTTGCAAGGGTATTGTCATCTCGTATGCCATATATATATACATTGTATACATTTGTACTGAGGGATAATTACTCATCCCAGTATTGTTTCCAACAAGTCATATTTTTCTCTATTTGTTTTTAGTTGACAATGAAATCATTTTTTCTTTTTTTAAATAGAAAAAAATGGTACACATAAAAATGGAAGTGCAATCATTTTAAAAAAAAAAAAAAATTAAAAAAAAAACATGATATCATTTTCAACCGTAAAGAATTGATTTTTATTTTACATGCGGAAAAGAGGAACAACTAAATTGTGGAAAAATGGGAGGCAAAAAAAAAAAAAAAAAGGGGAATATATAAATAATGCTGAAAAGAAAAAGAATGTTAAAACAAACAAATTTACATGAGAATGACTTGTGCAAGTAATATTTTTTTCCTATGCACTTCATGAAAGTGGGGTTAGTGATGACATCATCGAGAAACAATTAACAACGCCTTTTCTTTTTGATGATTCCTATGTTATCACAAACTTTAATGAAAAATATATAATTGTTTCTAAGAATCTAAACAAGCGGTTAATTAAATTTTTTAGCAAAAAAAAAGTAGCACATTTTTTAATCACATCATAAAATAAATACGTAGAAAATAAAAAGAAATATAGAGAGAAAATATGTGTCAGGTTTGCAAAAGCCAGGTATCCATAAAACCCTGTTTCATATGTTTTATACCATAATTTTCACATAAGTTTTAATATATATGCATATACGTAAGGATACACAAAATATTCCCTTTTCTTTTCTTTTCTTTTCTTTTCTTTCTCTTTCTTTAACCACTTTGTGAAAAAAAAAAAAAAAATTGTAGTAGGAGTTTTACTATGTTGTAGCTATAGTTACTAGTAACATAATAATTAGCAAATTCTTAGGCGCACATTTCAGAAGCTTTTCCGTTTTGAATTATTTTATTTAAAAATTATAGAAACATGTCATGTAAAAATAGAATACAAAAAAGAGAAGGAAAATATTCTGAAAAAAAATGCTTTTAAAAAATAAAATAGTAAATTTTCTATATTGAACAAATAATGAGAAATGAAAAAATAGTTAAAACGGACGTCCATACATGCATGCAAAAGCACGTTTCAGCGAATGATAAATAAAGGTACAGTTTCGTATTCACTATTAAGTTCAGGCAACAAAATGGAAAAATTATATTAAGGCTTGTTAGAACTATATATATATAAATATACACATGTGTGAATGTTCACACAAATGGATGTGTAGGTTGATATCTATAAAACTGCAAGTATTAATTGCACAAAGCTAATTTGCCTCTTTTTTTTTTTTTTTTTTTTTTTTTTTTTTTGACATCACTACTAGAAGAGCACCTGAACGGGAAGCACAACACCTTAACTAATGATACTTAAAAAATTCCCTTGAATATATAAAGGCCATGAAAGGTGTTATACGAATTAAGGAAAAAAGCAAAAATGAAAATACTGATGATAAAAGTGAAGACAATGTTTGCAAAAGTAAGGACCGAGAAAAGAATGAAAGGATTGAAGGTAATGTAAATGTTTCAAAAATAAAAAGTGAACGTGTTCAGAAAATGAAGGAAAAAAAGGAAGCGAAATCAGCTATTCTTAACGTTGGACAAAAGGACGAAAAGGTGGTGCATTCAAAAAAAATTAAAATAAAAACTGGAGAAACGGATGAACAGATAAGTAGTATCCATATTAGTGATGACATAAATGAGTATAAAAATGTTGATTATGCGAATTTTAAAGGGAGTGCTATTCTAGGGAAAAATGTTAAAAAGCAAGATAACCTTGGGGAAGGTTACCCCTTAGGCCACATGTATTCTCGTACAAGTGAAGGAAAAAATATACGTCAGTGTGATCAAAGGGGTAAGATTAAGGAACACTTGAACCAATTCAAAGGAAACGAAATGAATAGAAAAACGAACGAGAGTGTAAAAGAGAAAGCAATGTGTGATCGAGAAACCAGTTATAGTTCCTTGCATAGACAGAACAAAGGGAAGGAGAATGAAAATAATTTCATCGGACTTGTTGTGAAAAATAAGGAACATAATAAAAAAATTTATGAAGAATCTAAGAGTATAAAAAATTTAACGGAAAAATGGAAATTACTACCTGCATATTTAAAAGTTAAAGGATTAGTAAAACAACACATCGAATCGTATAACTATTTTATTAAACGAGAAATAAAAACAATAATGAATGCAACAACAAATAAAATTTTAAAATCAGATATAGATGAACATTTTTATATAGAATTTTTAGATATTTTTGTTGGAAAACCATCGATTGATGAAAATATGATCGAAACAAACTTGACTCCGCAAATGTGTAGGCAAAGAGATTTAACATATTCTGCTCCTATATATGTAGATGTAGAATATATAAAAGGAAACAACATAATTAGAAAAAATAATGTCGAAATTGGAAGATTACCCGTCATGTTGAGAAGTGATATATGTATTTTAAATAACAAAAATGAAGAAGAACTGATGGAATTGGGTGAATGCCCTTACGATCCTGGAGGATATTTCATTGTAAAAGGAACTGAGAGAGTTTTACTAATGCAAGAACAGTTGTCAAAAAATCGGATTATTGTTGAAATGGATGTAAAACATAATATTTGTGCAACTATTACATCTACCACAGCAGAGTCTAAAAGTAGATGTGCTATAGTTTATAAGAATAATAAATTATATCTAAAACATAATTCATTTATTGAAGATATAGGTGTCTGTATTATTTTGAGAGCTATGGGTTATGAGACTGACCAAGAAATATTTCAAATGATAGGATCCCATAAAAATTATTTAAATGGTATTTTACTTTCCCTATATGACCTGTATAGCGAAAATATTAGAACTAACCTAGATGCATTATTATATATAGGGAAGAAAATTAGACCAAGATTATTAGCGAAAGGATTTTTTAGCTCCATGAAAGAAAAGCAAGTAAAGAATGAGAGGGATATCATTGAAGAAGGGTTGGATTTCTTAAGTAGAGTCCTTCTGTCACATATTCAACAGAAGAACAAATATGATTTTCGAAACAAAGCTAGATGCATTTGTCTCATGATTAGACGTGTTTTAGATAGTGCAAATAATAAAAGCGAATTAGATGATAAAGACTATTATGGAAATAAAAGGTTAGAATTAGCTGGGCAGTTAATTTCTCTCCTATTTGAGGATTTATATAAACGATTTTATTTTACATTAAAAAAACAAATAGATCAAACATTGAGTAAATATATGCAAAGTAATTATGCTTCAAAATTGAAGCATAGTGGTATCATAGATGATAATTATCCAGATGTTTTTCGAAGTTTGCCAAAAGATATAATAACAAGAGGAATGCAAGCAGCAATATCTACAGGTAATTGGAATATTAAACGGTTCAAAATGGAAAAAAGTGGAGTGTCACAGGTATTGTCTCGTTTATCATTTATTGCATGTATCGGAATGATGACAAGATTGAATTCTCAATTTGAAAAAGGTAGAAAGGTGAGTGGACCCAGAGCATTACAACCTTCCCAATGGGGTGTTTTATGCCCATGTGATACCCCAGAAGGAGAATCTTGCGGGTTAGTTAAAAATTTAGCACTCATGACTCATGTTACTAATGATAATGAAAATAATGAACACTTAGTTGAAGTTTTGTATACGTTAGGTGTAGAAGATAGTGATAGTTTAACAGGAGAAGAAATGTACAAAGAAGGAGTTTTTTTTGTTGTTTTTAATGGGATATTATTAGGTGTTCATAAAAAACCACGTGTATTTATGAAAAGAATTAGATGCTTAAGGAGATATGGAAAAATTGGACAATTTGTTTCTATATATGACAACTTTTTACATAATGCTATTTATATTTCAACAGATGGTGGAAGATTATGTAGGCCATTGATAATTGTCGAAAATGGAAAATCTAAATTGTTACCTGATCATATTGCATCTTTAGAAAATGGAAGTGTCAACTTTTTTGATTTACTTACAAGTTCAGTTATTGAATGGATAGATGTTAATGAACAAAATAATTTACTAATTGCTTTAAACGAATCTGATATATCTGTCAATACGACTCATTTAGAAATAGATCCATTAACAATTTTAGGAGTTGTAGCTGGACTCATTCCTTATCCAAATCATAATCAAAGCCCAAGAAATACATATCAATGTGCAATGGGAAAACAGGCCATTGGTGCAATTGGATATAATCAGTTCGTTCGATGTGATACATTGCTATACTTACTAGTGTATCCACAAAAACCGTTAGTTAAATCTAAAACTATTGAATTTATTAACTTTGAGAAATTACCAGCAGGACAAAATGCCATTGTAGCTGTTATGAGTTTTTGTGGGTATGATATTGAAGATGCAATCGTCATGAACAAGTCTTCTATTGATAGGGGCTTTGGGAGATGCATGTCCCTGAGGAAGCACGCCTTAGAATTAAAGAAGTATTTCAATGGATCCACTGACATGGTTTTGCCATCACCACTGGTTATTAACAAACTGCAGCGTCGTGAGGAGAAGAAACGGCAAGAAAAGAAACGGTATGAGCAGTATCGACAGGAGCAGAATCGTCAGAAGCAGTATCGGCCGGAACAGAATCAACAGAAGGAGAACCTACAAGAAGTGCAGGAAAGGTCTAGCCATGGTCAGAACAATCAAAAGGAAAATGCGCAAGAGGATGAAATGCCTGAACAAGGACAGAACATAAAAGAAGAAAAAAACTATTTAGAAAATGGAGTAAGAAAATACAGAGATGAATCAAAAGGGTTTCAACATAAGGAAATAAAAAAATACCATGCCTTAGATGGGGATGGAGTTGTTTCGATTGGCTATTTACTGAAAGAAGGACAAGTGTATATAAATAAATATTCTCCAAAAAATATAAAAGATCATGTTAAGGATATGAATAAAATAGATCTAAATGATTTTAAATCAAGTGAAGTAAAATATAAAAGTGTTTATCCATCCTATATTGATAAAATTATATTTACCGAAAATTCAGAAGGATTAAAAATATATAAAATTATTATGCGCCAAACAAGACTGCCAGAGCTAGGCGATAAATTTAGTTCAAGGCATGGTCAAAAAGGAGTGGTTGGTTTGTTAGTAAATCAAGAAGATATGCCATTTACAGAATCAGGCATATGTCCAGATTTAATTATGAACCCACATGGATTCCCATCTCGAATGACAGTAGGAAAACTTTTAGAACTGGTTGCATCAAAATCAGCAGTTTTAGATGGTGAATTTAAATATGGTTCTATTTTTAGTGGTACCCCATTTGATGAAATGGCATCAATTTTATTTAAATATGGATTCAATTGTTCAAGTAAGGAATTATTATATTCAGGTTTGACAGGGGAACCATTAGAAACTTACATTTTTATGGGACCCATTTATTATCAAAAGTTAAAACATATGGTACAAGATAAAATTCATGCTAGGGCAAGGGGACCAAGACAATTATTAACAAGACAACCAACAGAAGGTAGATCAAAAGAAGGTGGATTAAGATTAGGTGAAATGGAAAGAGATTGCTTAATAGCATATGGTGTTAGTAATTTGTTACTTGAACGATTAATGCTAAGTAGTGATGTCTGTGATGTTTATATTTGTGAGGATTGTGGACTCATAGGATATGATACCTACTGTAATTTCTGTCAAAAATGTGACAAAAATGCTCTTGTCAAAATGCCGTATGCGTGCAAATTACTCTTTCAGGAGTTACAGACAATGAATGTCTGCCCTAAAATTGTGGTGAGAGAGGCGTAGTTTTGCCACCCTCGCCTTCATGTATACCCCATACTTGCGTGCCTGTGCCGTTGCAGTAGTCATTTTTTTTTTCCCTTTTTTTTGTAACTGTAATTGTTCTGTCTCTCGTAATGTATATATATATATATATATGTGTGTGTCTATTCCACTGCCTATTCCCCCTGCTCTAAATAAAAAAAGCCTAATATCTAAATGATGTGCAAGTAAAAAAAAAAAAAAAAAAAACCCTTAATAGGAGCCCCACAAAAGTGGACACAAGGTTGATATGCACATCCAGATGATACCCGTGGAGTTCGCATCTATTGCTATGTATACATATTTATAATTTACTTTCCCCCCCATTTGCTGCACTGAAATTTTTTTTTCTTTTTCTTTTTTTTTTCTCTCATATTTTAATTCACTTAAAAATTTTGTTCACTCTTACCCATGAAAATGTACGTCTATTTGTAGCTTATAATTTGGAATCTGATCTTATTTGTAAAAATAGAACCTTCGCTATAATGCTTTTTTTCCGTTTTACCTCTGTACCTTGTTACATCTTTTCTTCTTTGCAACTTTCCCTTTTTACATCTTCCCTTCCTTACATCGTTGTCTTTTTTTTTTTTTTCATCTTCAAAAATTTATTGCCCCCCGAAAAATATTAAAAATATTAAAAAGCATTTTTTAATCATTACTTTTTTTTAATTTTGAAAAAAAAAAAAAAAAAAAAAAAAAAGAACCTTTCGTGACCAACTATTTGAACATTTTTAAAAACTGCCCTCTCCAGAAACACAAAAATGGGGGTAACAAAATGGGAGTGCACAATCAAAATGACAAATCCGTTGCGGATGCTTTTGTTTAAAATGCACATGTGCACATGACCTATGTATGATTTAGGGCACGGGTTTATCATGTCTTATAAAACGAGGCACTTATTCTCACTCTTTGCATTGCTCGTGCTAATCTCGCTCAGAAAATTGGAGAAAAAAAAATTCCTATACGTATCGTATATGTACATACAAATATATAGACAGATATACGCACGGACGTAAACACATAAAGATGCACTGAAAGAAACCCCTGTGAAAGAAAGCAGCCTTTAATCCACCATCTCCGATGAAGAACATTTACAAATACAAACTGGAAGGCACTACATCCTCGTCCACATCAATCCCCAAATGATAGATGATTCCCTTTGTGTCTTTATCTGTTAAGGTAGCTATACACTTAATTATTTCGACGCAGAGTTTTTTTCTGTTGAGCCACATGGAATGCAAATATCCATGTTTATTTTTAATAATATCAATTTCTTCAAGTGTTAATTGACAAGTTTTATTTGCCTCTTCATAGAAGTTTATCTCTTCTTGAACTAATTCCATTTCCTTTTTGTACTTGTCTACATTTTGAATTAGTTCTAAATCCTGAATAAACGTTTTTTTTGTTTTTACAAAAGAGTTGAAATCATTTTTAGCTAGTTCAGTTTGTTTTCTTATAATTTCGATATCTTTTTTTAAATTCACAATTTCTTGCATATCTAAACTTTTAAACACTTTCTGATTTATCAAGTATACTTTGGCTTTCCCATATTCCTTACATTGTAATTTTTCCTCAGAACTTAATTCATCCATTAATTTTTGAACAACGTTTTTGCTGATACTACCATGTAGATTGTCGTACACATTAATGACAGAGTATGGTCTGTTAGTTTGTTTCATGTATTTATAAATTTTTTCTTTTGCTTCGGTTTCATTTAGCATAACTTTTACTTGTTTTACCTTGTTTACATTTTCGCTTTTGTTGGAATTCTTTTTTTTGTTTTTTTCGTCCAAAATAGATAATTTGGAAAGAGATTTTTTTTCATAATCATCGGCTGTGTTTGTCTCTAAATTGCTTACTTCGTCACCTTTCTTCGCATTGTCATCACTTTTTTTAATTATTATTTTTTTTTTGTTTACATTTCCTTTCGTTTCAGTGATGTTTTCTCTTACTAAATGGGTATCCTTACAAATTTTATCATCTTCATTTTTTGTTTCCCTTTCTAAAACTTTCTTATCTGATGATATGTATATGCTTTTTTTTTCTTCGCTCATTTCTGCTAAGTCACAATCAGTAATGATGGGTTCATAATTAGATCTAGATTTTTCGTCTGGAGTCGGACCCTTTGTCATTTTTTTTTCCTCCTCTAGGGGGAATTTTTGAGCATTCGCCTTTCTTTTCTCCTCTCGAACAATATTCTGTTCAACGGTTTGATTACCCATTTTTTTCTCTCCTCCAGTACAGTTTTTTTTCCCCTTTTTATTCTTCTTGTTTTGCTTTTCATTTGTGACGTTTACATCGTTGGCGTTGTTTGCATTGTTTGCATTGTTGGCATTGTTTGCATCGTTGGTGTTGTTTGCATCGTTGGTGTTGTTTGCATCGTTGGTGTTGTTTGCATTATTTGTGATGTTTTCATCATTTGTGATGTTTTCATTGTTTGTTTGATTTACATCATTTATTTGGTTTACATCGTTAGCACGGTTTAAATCATATGTGACGAATGCACCCGTTTTGACAAGTGATTCCCCTTTCGGCCCATTTTTTTTATTTCTTACTTTTTTGGGTGGTTCCATATTTTCCCCTCTAGGTAGAACCACCGTATGATCACATGTATTTGGTAAGTTACCACTTATCGTTCCACCCGTAACAGGATCGTTCTTTTTGGATTGATAATCGTTGAGAGTTTCGTTTTGTTCATTCTGATGTTCTACTTTTTTATGGGTATTTTCACTAATTTTTCTTTTTTTTTCATCTTTATTTTTAACTTTTTTCTCCTTTGTATTTCCTTCATTTGCAGTCCCATTTTCTCTATTACTTTTTGGATCTCCTAATTTTTCAGGGATATCCACCTTTTTCTTCGTTTCGACTCTCTTTTTATTTATGCTTTTGCTTTTATTCATTTTGACGTGCAGTTTTGCTTGAATTTTAAACTCCTCCTTAGTTAATGTGCTTTTTAATCAAATATTTGACACACATTTAAATGCCCAGCAACGAAATAGGAATAAAATAAATGTCTTTTAAGACCTTTCTCTTTATGAACTCCCAACCAACACGTGCACTTTTAAACAACATCACCTCTAAGTTGTTGCAAAAATTACAAACATATGCATGTATGTATATTTATTTATAACAACATAATTCTTCCACGCACGGTTGGCGGGGAGGATGAAAAAAAAAAAAAAAAAAATGCCCTGTATATACACATCTTTTTCCCTTTTTAAAATATCGGTAATTTCAAACAATTTTTAATTGAAAAAATAGATGATAGATATTCATCTATTTCACACATGCGAATCGAAGAAAGTTGAAAAAAAAAAAGGAATTAATGGTGAAACAACGTGTAAATACAAAAAAAAAAAAAAAAAAAAATCTTACGAAAATGCAGAAAATAAGCAAAATGATACGATATAACACACAAGATATCCTGATTCCCCATTCCGTTGAGGATAAGAAAATAGACACCTGCCTTCAGACAGACGAATACCACTTTTCATATTCAAAAAGGAAAAAAAAAAAATGAATGACCAATAACATAGAACTATTTTTACAAAAGGGAATATGTATGGTACTTGTAATCGACGAAACTTCCATGGTATAGTATCAACTTAGGGAGTGGCTTATTTAGCATATGTAAAAGGAATAGTAAAATACAAGCACTAATACCTTTGTTACATGTCGATATGATAGTCTTGTCCTCATTTAATAGTTCATATTTGTCACATATTTTCCTTATTTCTAATTCATTTTTAAATGTGAAATATTTTAAATTTTGATTATGACTGTTTATAAAATAATGATAAGGTATATTAATTGAAAATGGGATGAAATTATTTACTTTTTCCTTTTCATTAATAGATAGCAATGCACTAAAAGATTTATTAGGTCTGGTATCAACTAAGACAAAATGTTTCACATTGCCATTTTCTTTCTCTTTTTCTACAATAAAGTTATTTATATGAGAATAACTGTATATACTATTTTTCAAGTTGTCATTTATGTGTTCCTTATTTTTTTCTATATGTTCTTTTATTATTTTGTCAACTTGTTTAACTTTATTGTCATTGCCCCAAATTTGTGTATCACTTTCTATTTGATCACGTATTGTTATAACATCTCTTTGCTCATTCAGCCATTTATTCAAACCGCCATTTAAAATGTATAAGGTTTGAAACCCATACATTTTAAACATGAACCAAATTCTAGGAGCATAAAATATTTCATCTTTTTCATAAAAAATTATTGGCACATTTTCTAATGAATTTTTTTTTATGTTAATTTCATTTGTTATCAATAATTTTTTTAGATAACCGAAAAACTCATCTTGGCTTGGAAAGAAAAAAGAAAAATTCAAATTTTCATTTGATGTGACTACCGAATTAAAATTGATGCTTCCTTCGATTTTTTCTACCTGATCATGTTCATAATAACAATCTTTATTTCTACCAATTTTTGTGTTATACCAACTCGTATCAAAAAGCAAATGTTCTTTTTTACTCTTTATAAGATCCTGCAATTCATGCGTTTCGATGAGAAACTTAAATGTGTTCTTTTCCATTGTGCTGAATCTTTTATGCCTTTTCAGTAATTTTCTAAATGGGACCTTCGCTATATAGGAAACTTTGGTTAACATGTAGTGTTTCATTGTGTGTGTTGCTATGTAAGTTTCTCTGTCGTGTTCTATAACCCCACAGGTATGTGTTAATTTTTTGTTGTATAAAAACGTCAACCATTTGTCAAGGTTAACAATTTGTTCAATTGTGTGAAAAAAATAACTAAAGATGTGCCCTTGTGTAAACATATCCACACGACGTGGTGCAAAAATATAAACATGCATATACACATGTAATACGAATGCATATACATTTTCGCACATTTGGGGTAGACTATTTTTTCTTTTTTTTCTCGAACAAAATACGTGCTCATATTTAAGGAGAAGTAACCTCTACTGCATTGGTAAAAGCACTTGTACTTTTAAAATAGAATTGTAGCTTACTTGAAAGAGAAGAATTCATTTGGGGCTATTTTTTATAATCCTTATTTTGATGTGTACATAATGTGAAATTATGACTGTACTAGTAAAGCATTTTCATTTTTTCCACATTTTGTTAGCATATAAAAATCGAGAAACATTTGGAATAGAGAAAGAGTTTAAAATTTTTTAAAAACAATTTTACATAGCAACACTAGTTGGTATTTTTTTCTTCAGATAACACAGAGCTTAAATGGCTTTTTTTATTTTTTTATTTTATTTTATTTTATTATTTTTTTTTTTTTGATTAAATATTTTTTCGTTCGAATTTATTACCTATACTACATAATTTTGTGATTGTTGGGTATTTAGTCCGACCTCTTCGTAAAGGTCATTTTTTTTTTTTTTTTTTGAAAGCATCGCGTATTGTCTATTTTGGCGAGTAAACTTTGTTTCACCCCACCCCCTGTTTCCCAAATAAACGCAGACGAACGAATTAATTTTTACATTATTTTCAATTATCTATTTTTGTATATACTTGTGTATCTACCTTTTCATCTACTTGTGTACCTGTTTGCACATACAATTTTTATGGGGGTGTTTTTTCTACGTTTGGTTATTTCTGAATGGAGTAAAAAGTAAAAAAAAAAATGATTTTCCATGTATTCACGTTTAAACCGGCATTTACGCTGTGTTGACCTTCTCACGTATGCTCAAATTTCATTACTTAGTGGGAATAACCACAAAAAAATGGTGCTATAAACTGAAAAGAGGTATATTCGATTTTCCCAAAACATTGTTATTGTATAGATATGCATTTTTTTTTTTTTCCCCCAAATGCTTAATATGAAATGAACAATTTCATCACACACACGTGCACACATACATACATCCTATGTGTGGGTCATAATGTTTCCTTTTTCATCTGGATCGTAAAAAAAAAAAAAAAGAAAAAAAGAGAAGCATTATTTAAATGTTCTGGGAGAATAATTCTAAATATTGTTTTTGTTCCCTATATTTTTCTTTTCTAAAAATTCACTTAAATTTTTTTATCACTTGAGAACATGAGAACTTTCTCATGGGTAATATTCATGCATCAGTGTTTGTATTTCTTTTATTTTGTGAAAAAGGGAGAATGCACAAATTTGGTGTACACTAAAAAATATATGAAATTTTTATTTCTGAAAAATCATATATTTTTTTTATGTATCAGCTGATAATTTTATTTTAATACATAAAACTTTCTTTTTTTCTTCTTCTTTTTTTTTTTTTTTTTTAAATTTATATTTCTGATAGATATGAAATCAGCAAAATTGACGAATCATCTTGTTTAGCAAAAGTTTGTTGTACACATTGTCTGTCTTTAGTTGCATGGTTTTTGCCAACCACACAACGTTGCACAAATAGAAAATAATGGATGATGAAAACGCGACAAATAAATAGGTAAAATGTGCTCGGAAAAGGCACAACAGAAAAATATAAATATATACATACACATGCATGGATACTGATATCATAAAGACATTTTGTGCAGCTTCCTCATTTTTGCATGTTTTTCTTTCTACTTTTTAATTTTTCCGTCATTCATGTTTACAAGGTGATAATATTTGAGTAGTTTTTAATTTTTATTCCGCATTCCAGATTCTGCTATTACGATGTTTTCATTTTTTTTTTTTTTTTTTATGTAAATTGAAATATGATTCAAATAATTGAATAGCATTTTATTTGAACAGCTCAACTTTTAAATTAAAAAAAAAAAAAAAAAAAAAAAAACACTGGCATGAAACGAAGAGAAAGGCAGATAAGAAGAAAAAAAAAAAAAAAAAAACTATGGTAGAAGGAGGAAAAATATTCTTGCAAAAATTTAATAGACATTTATTAAAATAGTTAAGCGAAATTCTATTTTTTTTTTTTTTTAATATTTTTTTTTGTCTTTAATTAACCAAGTTTCAATCAAAAAACGCATTTATTTTATATCACCTTTTGAGGGAATGTAATTTCATAAAAATCCACTATGTAAACACCTTTTTGTGTGTAAGCAAAGGTTGAGTGTGCACAGTTATGAACAAGGGGTACTACGTTGTATATCCTGTTCATGCAAATGTAATTAAAAAGGTAAAGAAACAAAGTGAAGCAAAATAAAGTAAAACAAAATAAAGTGAAATAACATAAAGGGAGAACCATCGAAATGGAACCAGGAAAGGAGAAAACTTCCAAAATGGAGGAGACAAAATTGGAAGTCTCCCAAGCGAGCTCACCAGTGGATAAATCCATTTTTAAAAAATGGTGTTATATTAAGAAAAAGAGAAAAGAGAAACACAGGCAAAGGAGGATAAAGGAGTTGCTAAAGTGGAGACATTTGTACAGGGAATATATAAATGGTAAAACAAAAGGGTTAGCTAAAAAAAGGTCCCAATCGAGCGCAGTAAATTGTACAGTTATTAATCCACATTTGAAAGAAAAAATGAAGGGAAATGATAAGAGAACATTCATTTTAAGAAACACAAGAATTAGAAGTAATGGTCATAGTGATGAGGAACAAATAAAAATGAATGCGAATAAATATCAGAAATTACTGAAAAAACATGTGAAAGACTTAAATCTAATGGTACTGTTAGCAAAGTATGCACATTCAAAGAAAATGTCCAAGAAGAGCCCTAATGATTCAAATTTTTATAGCGATTCTACATGTGCGTCATCAAAAAATTCTTACAGATGGAGAGACAAAAATGAAAGTAAGTACCATTATAACAGTGGTATTAAAAAATGGAAATATAACTTGATATATGAAAAAGAACGAACTTTTAATTTTATCAACCAGGTAAATTGTAACACTATTGTTGAGCTTCATTCACTATTTACCTTCTTTTGTACAAAATTAAAAGTTAAAGATAAAGAATATTTCGATAATAAAAATATGTTAAATAAGGTTCCATTTAAAAAAAAAAGTTCTATAATTCAGAAAAATGGTAGTAAGGATTATTCCACAAAACTGAAAAATCAGTACATCCCAAACAATAAAGAAAAAATTATGAACGATATTAAGGGTAAACCAAGTAAAGCTCCACCTTATAAAGCCATAAACATAAATAACAATAATTGTGAACATGTTAATTATGTAAATGAGCAGATGAAAGAGGAGGAAAACAATAATCAACAAAACGTTGTGAATATTAGTACGAATAGCAATAAGAACTTCGAGAATGATACAGAAAATGACGAGAGAAAAGAAGAGAATGGAAATTCAAACGGGGAAGAACTTCCAGAGCCAAATGAGGAACAATTTGCAGACGAATTTGAATTAGAAGATTTCGATAGTGACGAAAATAAAAAAGAAAAAACTTATTACACAGATAGATGTATGTTGGATAGAAGTGTAAAAAGAGTTTCCATTTTAGACAAATTAAATATAGATTTGGATAATAAACAGAATGCGAACAGTAGTTGTGCAATAAAAAATGAAGTATCTACTCATAAAAATGGAAAAATTGAAAAACATCCATATGCATATAAAAAGGAACCAATACCCTCCCAGTTGTCCAAAAGGGAAAATGAAAATACTCTCACCAGTGTAGCTGATGGCAGTAGACATATAGTCAATTATAAAAAAGCACACGATACAGAGGAACCAAACATTCCTCAAAAGAGGGAAACATTAAATATGAACAACAAAGCCCAAGTGGTAAGCGCAAACGAAAATAACACTAAGGTAGTAGGGTATCCGATAGAAAATCAAAAAATGCATCCTCCAAGGAAGAAGGGCTCCATCAAGAACCTTGTAATGGAAAATTCTCAACTGAGTTCTCAATCTAAGCAGTGCATCGGAGGTCCCATGAATGGGCATATGTGGAACGACATGAACGGTCAGATTGGGTATAACACAAACAATCAAATTATGCACGGCACGAATAACGACCTAAATTATCAAATGAACAATCCAGCCAATTATCACATGAATATACCCACAGCAGATGTCACATCTCAAAACTACGACATGTGTCATTCTCCTCCCACATGTGCTATTGCTGCATATCCAATGAATAACAATGAGATGAGTAATTATACTAATTATGGAAACTATGGAAATTTTTGGAATTATGGAAACTACGGAAATTTTGGGAATTATGGAAACTACGGAAATTTTGGGAATTATGGAAATTACGGAAATTTCGAAAATTACGAAAATTTCGGAAATTACGAAAACTATGAGCTGTATAGAAACCATATGGGGAATCAAATGATGAATGAAGTTCAGCCAAATAAAAACAATATTAATGACAAAAACCTAGTAGCATATAACAAGGGGAAAATGAAATATGACGAAGATTTTACCCTTAACTATATTCTTCAAAAATGTGAAGATGATGATAAATTTTTTTGCAGTAATGATGAAGACATTTTAGAAAAGGATGAAAACAGAAATGAACTGAATAAGTATACACAAGGCATGAACAAACTAGTTGAGCATATGTATTTTTATGATAATTTTTATGATGAATATAAAATATGTGATGAAAGAAAAGAAGATTCGAATGCTTCACATACCATTATTGACACTTCTTTAAATTTAAATGTGATTGATGAAAACGCCGAATTGGCGAAAGACAACAGAGATAACAAGGAGTTTATTTCTCAGATGGAGTTAAAAATTAATGAGCTAGAAAAAAATATTGAAGAATTAAAAAAAAAAAATCAAATAAATGAACATGAATTAAATAATCAAAGTGAAAAAAATATTATCATGAATAAAAAAAACGCAAATGATGATGAAGCCTGTGAGAGGAAAAAGTCTAAGAGTGCTCTTATCATACATAAATTAAAAAAAGAAATTGAACTAATAAAGAGAGAAAATTTGAGAAAGAAGAACAAAAAGAAAAAAAAAAAAAAAAAAAATAATAATAAAAATGCCGAGGAAAAAAAAAAACAAGGCACAGAAGTAATGACAAAGGAAAAAGGTTCATTAGAGGAGAAAGACAACCATGACGTTGAGGCACCAAAAGATGGGGAAGCAGAAGACAACAACTTCAACATTGATAACATTATTAACACAGAAAATTTGAACACGTTTAAAGACGAAATTATGAACAATGTTTACTATTATATATATGAATCATATGACCAAAAGGACTACGAGATTTTAGAAAATCTAGCAAAAAAACACGAAATAAAAGGGAGAAAAATATCATATGATGTGAATTTGCCAAAGTACAGTTTCAAACACAAGAGAACATCAAGTGCTTGGTTTTTAAATCCATTGTATGAAAATTATATGCTTGAAAAAAAAAAAAAAACGAAAAAGGATGATTTGCCTAGTTCTACCCATGATAAAGTGGAATTCCTCTTTCATGAATATGAACCTGATAATATTGTAAATCTAAAGGAAGATAATAAAAGCTTGTTCATGTCAGAAATTAGAGATAGTGATTTTTCATATGAAAGTTTTATAAGTGAGAGGAAAAAAAAAATAAAAAAAAACAAAATAGATATCATGAAAATGAAAAATAATATTATCCAAAAAAGGAAAAGAAGTACTATTCTGGAAAAAAAAGTGGAGGAAATAGGGAAACATGTTAAAAGACCATTAGAACAGAGAAATAATGAGTGCCAAGATCATCTCCCAAGAGATTCTCAAGATGGATCTGCACCTCCCCCTCACAATGACGTTATGAATGATTTGTATGTAACGTTAAACAATTATGTTCCAGACAAATCCCTATTTGACATTTTTAATTTGGGTTCCGATGGTGAGGATAAAGGAGATACGCATGAGAATACTAACGGGAATATTAATGGAAATACTAATGGAAATACTAATGGGAATACTAACGGGAATACTATTGAAAATACTAATGGAAAGGAACCCTTAGAGAATGAGATGAAGGACAAGATGCATCAAATGGGAAGTAAATCAGATATGGAAGCAAAGAAATCCATTGCGCCAGAAATAAATGGTTGTGACAAAATCGAGCATAGAGAAGAAAATGTATGTAATGAAATGGAAGACTCGAGCATGAACAGAGAGATTTTAAGGAAAAGGAAAGAGAAGGAACTCTTGGAATTAGAAATAGAGAACAAAAAAAAGAAGAAGGAGTTAGAAGAGATAGAGCTGCAGATTTTGGAAAACCAAAAAAAAATCCTGAAAGCGAATAATTCAATCGATGTGGTGCAAATGGAGGGGGAAATGAAAATAGAAGAGGAAATGGATGCAAAAATGGGCATAAAAAGAGATATAAAAATGGACAAGGAAAGGGATGTAAAAATGGACGAGGAAAGGGATGAAAAAATGGACATGAAAAGAGATATAAAAATGGACGAGGAAAGGGATGCAAAAATGGGCATGAAAAGAGATATGAAAATGGACAAGGAAAGGGATGCAAAAATGGGCATGAAAAGAGATATGAAAATGGACAAGGAAAGGGATGAAAAAATGGGCGAGGAAAGAGAAGTAGAGGTAGAGGTGAAACGAGGGGCCAATAAGGAGGAGAGTAAAACTGAAAATACATTGAATAATGCGAAAGTGGACAATGAGACGAATAAGAAAAATAATGAAAGTGCAGAAAAAAAAATGGGAGAAGTGAGAAAGGAACAAAGTGGAATGAACACAAATGTAGAAAAAATAGAGGGGAAAAAGGAAGAAAAGGAAACTGAAGAAATAAAAAAGGAAAACAAATCATCATCGATGCAAGAAAATGAAATGAATGATTGTCTGAATGATTATTTACAAAAACAGAAAAAAAAAGAAAAAAAAAAAAACAACTGGACTTTATATGGAAGACCAAAGGTAAAAAGAGAAAGAAATACCATTTTGAGAAGATTATCGAGCTCCAAAAGTGACAGTGGTTTTAATGATTATGCATATTTTGCAGAACGTTTTTTTGAAGTAATTACCGGATATCGAAGTGATCCAGATGACTATGAATATAGCGAGAAAGGAGAAAACGGGAAAGACATAAAGAGAAAAGATAGTGATAGTGGACAAAGTCAGTTGTCACAAAAGCATAACTCTTATATTTTTCATATAAGTGAAAAAATGAAAAAGAAAGCTTACGAAAATGATATTTTTTACAAATTGGGAAGACCAAAATATGAAAAAAAAAATAATTATCATAGATGCAAATCGACTACTCATAATACCATACTAAAAAAAAATAGCTTGAAAAAAAAAAAAATATGTTTAAATAGATCCATATCGAAAAATAAACTTTCCAGGTTCGATGAATCAAATAAAGGAATTATAGAAAGAACAAAGTTAAAATTAAAGGAAAAATTAGGAGAAAAAATAGATGAAAAATTAAATGAAAAATTAGAAGAAAAATTAGATGAAAAATTAGAAGAAAAATTAGAAGAAAAATTAGGAGAAAAAAATAAATTCACATTTTTGTCAATTCTTAGGGATAATAATACACAAAGCAGGACAAACGAAACTGTAGATGAAAAGAGTTTTATAAAGAACAATTCTGAAAACATGACATTATTATTTGATACTGAAAAAATGGAAAATCCCAATTTAGACCTGAAATACAAAAGGAAATTAATATATGAGGCACTGGATAATACTAAATGGGTGACAAACAGAAAGGGAAAAAAACACATGGGTTTTCCAAATAAAGGTGATGATGATAATGATAATGCATCTATAGATGGAAATCTTTTAGGGGACATCTTTCTAATGAAGGAAAAAAAAAACGAGACTTTTTCGAAAACTGCGAAAGAGCTTAAGCAGGAGTTGATTAAGTTGGAGGAGGAAAGGTGGATAGGAGAAGTGAAACGAGTGGAAGAGTTAAAACGGGTGGAAGAGAAAAAACGAGAGGAAGAAGAGAAACGAGTCGAAGAGTTAAAACGGATGGAAGAGAAAAAACGGGTAGAAGAGTTAAAACGGGAGGAAGAGAAGAAAAGGTTAGAAGAGGAAAAACTCATTGCAGAAATGAAGCGAGGAGAAGAAGTGAGACGTGCAGAGGAAATGAAGCGAGGGGAAGTTAAAAGTAAAGCAGAGCTAAGAAGGATGCAAGAATTTATGAGGATGAATAAAATAAAATCCATAAAAGATATGACAACCGTGGATAAATCGAATAGGGATGAGAAGAAAAAAGAAGAATCTAAGAAGACAGAGCAGCATAATAAACAAGGAATAACAAAAATGCTCGAAGATGAAGAAGAAGACAAAACAGAAAAGATAAAAGAAAAAAAAGACATATTTAGTAATATTTTAAAACAAATTTATACAGTAAATCCCATAGCCTATTACCGAAAGGAGAAGGAAGACATAGCTGAGAAAATCAGAAATTACGAGGAAAAAAAAGAAAATGACAAGATGGAAGAAAATTTATTAGCGAGTTCAGGATGGAAGGTCAATATGAGAAAAAAGGAGGAGAACAACCTGATCAATGAAAAAAGCAATTTAATGATTAATAAAAGTGGAGATGATGAAAAAGAAATAATAGTTGAACATCAAAATAATGACATTATAGATGATGAAACGAAGGAGAAAGCAAATATTCAGAACCTTTTTTCTTGTGCAAAAAATTACAACATTTTTGACGAAATGGAAAAACAAAGGAAAAAAAACTTAAAAGATAAAGTTTCCAAGATTAATAACAAAATAAGTACACATAAAATTGGGAATAGGATCTTGTTAAAAAATTCATATAAAAACAACTCTATAATAATCAGCAATGTTATAAATAGGAAAAAAGATGAGGACAAATTACCAGAGCACATTATGGATGAAGAAGAATCATGTATCAATCTGATGCAGGGAAAAATGTTATTGGAAAAAGAGCCCAATGGAGAAGTGCTGAATAATGAAGTAATAAACAACGACATGATGAATGATGATATGGTCAATAGAACCATTTTAAATGAGGACAAAAGGAAGAATCTACTAACCATGAGGAACAAGAACCTCAAATACAACAGTATGCTTGAGGGGAACATGCGTCTTGCAGTGGAAAAAAATTTTGAAGGAAGTGTTTCGATACTAGATAAAGTGGATGATTCAGATAAAGCGGACGATCTGTTTGATGTTGATGAAGATGGTTTCTTTGAAACAGAAACGGAAGACTCATTTTTAAAGGTTGACGATAATGAGATAACAAATATGGATGAAATGAAAACCCACATTTATAGAGAATTTTATGGAGACAATGAATTCGATGGGGATATGGCAAGCTTGCGCGGAAAACAAAATAATAACAAAAAAACTAGGAGGGAATATTTCAAAAATAACTATGAATCATCACCCATATGGGTGGACGAATTCCATAAATATGAAAATTCCCCATTTTACTCAGAAGAATTAAAGAACATGAGTAGTTATGATTTATATAGGAAAAAAATAAGCACAGGTACAAGTGTGTTGAAAAGTGTACAAGGATTTGACATGCATAATGAACTAATAAGTAGGAGCAGTGTAGATGTAGAATATAAAGATGATATTTCTAAAAATAGTCAAGATGCATATTTTGATTTTGAAAAGAAAAAAATTTTGGACATGGACGAGAAATACAGAACATATGCAAATAGCAGTAGTAGTGCCTTATCATGTGCCAATTCGACAAATCTTAAGAAAAACTTGTATCATTTGGATTCGTTAAGAAATCATTATTATGAAGGAAATGATCCTTTTACTACTTATTCCTTCGAAAAAATAGCTGCTAAAAATTATGACCACGAGAAAAAATTCCCACGAAACGAAGAAAATATCGGCAGCAATGATGAAGACATCCTTGCAAAAGTCATGAGCAATTTAAACGGTTTAAATAAAAAAATAAAAAATATAGAAATGAATTATTATATCAACAAGGATGATCGTCAGGGTACTATGTCCGACTTATTTACGCACAAATTCAAGAGGGGGAACACTGACATGGTTCCCTCTAACGATGCTCACCATGCTGACAATGAACAAGTTTACAATGAAGAAGTTTACAATGACGAATTTGACAAGGACGATGTACGTGGTCACCATGATAACGCTCAATATGATTATTCTTCTTCATTTTCGCGCTACCACAATAAAACTCAACCACATATAAATAGATCAAAAAATTACAAAAATGTGTATTCTCCATATCACATCTGATGAAGGTGTCTATTTCATTTGCACGTGGCAGGATGGGTTAGCAGAATTAGTATTGTAGCGCCGATTTTTTTTTTTTTTTTCCCTATAAAATTCGGACGGACAACATGTGCACACATATATATTTATATATATATATGTGCACATAATTCGAATTTTAACTTTTTACTCAAATAGTCACAACCGATACATTTCTAATTCGACATAATAAAGAGTAGTTATGCTCCCTTCTTGACGCTTTATTAATAGGAGAAGCGTATTTTACACCGCTGCAATCATTTCATCTGATGGATATATATAGGGTATATTAAAATACCACAAATGGGTGAATTTTTTTTGCTTTTTCAATGGTACTGTATTTGCTATCGCAAATGTTCAAGTGAACCATTTCTCCCAGTGTACATATATTTATATGTGCTTGTTGTGTGGTCATTCTAAAATATGTAACCAAATATCATATGTTTTTATGGATCACCATATTTTGTGCATTAATTCGTACGCGCAAAGGAATACAACTATATGGGTTATAGGAGTGAATCCTGGATTAGGCAGAAAAAAGAATACTGTCCCGTCACATTTATTTTTTGTAGATGCACATAGATTAAAAACATGAGAAAGGGGGGAGGAGCGGGGACGAAAGGCACGAATTTGTAAGGTAAAAATGTAGAATGAGTTTCTGTTTTTCTTTTTTTTCTCCATCTATTAATGCATTTTGTATTTGTGTTCTACGTGTTCGCCTTTGTGTTTAAAGTGTTCATCTTTGTGGGGCGTTTTCGCATTTTTCGCATTTTTCACATTTTTTGCTTTTTTCCCAGTAGGTAGGTAAATACTATATAGCTCATTAATTTTGAAATGTCCATGTTGTGTTAGTAATACGCTGCATTTTTCGTAAAAAATTTCAATCTGTGAGGAAATGTATTAACACTATTGTAAACATTATGTGTAATTTTTTTTTTTTTTTTTTTTTTTTTTTTTTTTTTTTTTTCAAAATGAAAGTAATTTTTTTCACTGTTGAATGAAAGAAATAAAAAACACCAAGTGGGAACAATATAAAAATAAAATAAAAACACTGATATGCATTTATATAAGTTTATTCTACTTAGGAAGAAATGGAAATAAGGGTACACCATATATTGAGAAATTTAAAAGTTACATTTATGTAATTTAAATTAGTATGAAAGTGCTTAAGGTTTTGCTTGTGTATTGTTCCTCGTCGTAATGTATATACATGTGAAGCATCCTCTTGCTACACATGACAATTCATATATACGTGATTCATTGGGCATGGAGGCGAATGTATTTGCTCATGTATATCATGTACATGTATATATATATATATATATACATACTTAATATTCATAATATAATTTGCAAGTGCTGCGAATTCCCACATAAGCGTAGATTAAGAACTGGTGAACAATAAGGTGCTAATCTTTCAAGAACACTTTGAAATATAAAAGAAAATTAAATAACGCCTTGAAGCGGGTACCCGTGTGAACACTAATGGGTACATGTATGTGGTACCGCTTTTGCATTGTAATATAATTTGTTATATCCTCATATATATTTACCCACATAAGCACGCGTATATAATATCATTTGTATTTGTATAAAAATAAATGGGAAATGATACATATATTTTTTTTCACAGTTTTATAGTCACAAAAAATTTCATTTTTTTTTTTTATTTCAAGTCATATTTACAATTTATCAAGAATACATTTTTATCTGCCTAATACTTCCAACAAGCTCGCATTTTGTAACTGACTCTAAAGGGTTCACATTTATCAGCTCATTCATAATTATTATCTAGTGTTTATATTTTTATCAGTTTGTTTATATTTGATCAGTTCGCACATATTTATCAGATCGTTCATATTTATGGCTTCACATTTATTAGTTCACATTTATTAGTTCACATGTATGCGTTCACGTTTATCATTTCTGCACATATATCACAACATATTTTGTAGCTTCACATATTATTCTTTATGTATTTCTTCATTTAATTAAATTCAACTTCAACCCTTCTCCCTCTGCTTATTATTTTCCCCGAAATTTTTTCTAGAAAAATTCATTTAACATTCTCGCAGATTACTTGTTTACATGCACATGTTATGCATATGCTACATTGAGCATTCAGTTAATTATTTATTACCTACAGATTATTTTTCCTGTGAAAAATAAGGAAATTCTCCGCTGAATCATTTACTTATAAAAAAAAAGAAAAATGCAATCCAAATTTTGGGCCAAGGGCGTTGATGACGAAAGTGGTGACAACGTTACCGAATCATCGGACAATGAAATTGATGTAATAATAAAACGGAAAAAAAAAAAAAACTAATAAAATAAATAAGAGAATGCATTCTTATATATATATATATATATGCACGTACGCACCTGTGTTAACGAATCGTGGAGATGAGAGCAAATGCATGTGGGTGTATATATGTGGTTGTATTTACATTTCCTAGCGTGTTTACACATGAACGCACGTAATTATGTTCATGGAGACATTTGTCAAGGCTTGAAAGTACCACAAATGATTCCCTAGTGTTGTGTATAATATATACAAAAAAGGAATTAACGAGTTTCTACTTTTAAAAAAATGTCTTAAAAAAAAAAAAAAAAAATGTAACACATGAATTTATAGAAGCGTTTTTGTTACATTTTATTACGTATGCCCCTATAGCACAGGGTATTAATTTAAGTTTATATAATTTTTTTTCTTTTATTTTTTCATGTTTGCATGTTTACGTCTCTATCATGATAAACATGCATTATACTTTTTTTTTTTTTTTTTTTTTTTTTTTCTTCGTACATGTCGATTTATTTGCTATTCTTTGTTCATACGCACATTTCTATGGTGCGATTAACCACATGCAAAAGAGCAGATAGTGAGAAATCGTCTTCACATTGAGAATTATGTCTCAAAGATTAGATCTTTATATACAAAACACCCCTTTAAAGATGACATGTGTGAACATATCGTCAATCATACAGAAAATGGTTGAACCGTTTGTCAATTCGTTAACCACGTATACATGAACATATTTGCCATTTTTCACCTTTTTGGCCACTTTTTTTAGGATAAAAAACCACTAGTACCAGCACAGGCAGAACGATGGGCAGCGATTGATAGTAGTAGTTCGGAAGAAGAAGAAAGAGTAATAAAAAGCTATGAAGGAAAGAGGTTGGATTTTTATAAAAATATTGGAAGCAGCTTAAATGAGAGTATGGAATCTAATGACTTTAATCAATTATTAAAAGATTATGAAAATTTATATAAATTTATGATTAAAGAAAGTCCCGAACGTATTCCAAATTTTGCAATCGTATACTTAGATAAGTTTACAAAATATGTTGAAACGACATTTCAAAGTAACGTAGAAAAAAAGGACTTAAGCAAAAACAAAGCACAAACATTAAACAAATTAAGAGCAAAAATTAGAAAGTGCAGTGAATTCTATCAGAATAAATTAAATTTGTATCATGAAAATCCGGATGATTTTAAGGCCGCTTTAGAAGATGAATTGGATGAAGATGAGGATGAGGAAGAAGAAGACGACGAGGAAGAAGAGGAAGATGATGAACAGGAAGAAGAAGGGGCAGGGGGCATTGTGAAAGATAATGAAGATGATAGCATAAAAGACGCAGAAGGAAAAAAAAAGAAAAAAAAAGAAAAAGAGAATGATGAAAAAAGTGGCCAAGATGATGACAGCAGTGATGATTGGTCGTACAGTGATGGTGATGAATATGCATCGGATGACGCAGATGATAAAACAAAAAGTGCTATGAGCAAATGGGGATTGAAAACAAGCGAAAAGGTAGAAAAAAAAAAAGTAGTAAAAACTAAAAAGGTTAAAAAAGAAGGAACAAAAAAAGAAGAAAAAACAGCCCAAGTAGATGAAAATCAGTCTGCAAAAAATAAAGCATATGCAGAATTATTAAGCACCAAAAATTTATCAGAAGAAGTTATACGTAATAGGGTTAAATTTGTCATTGAAAAGAGAGGAAGAAAAGGTTTAGATAAGCATGAACATATTAACATTTTATCCAAATTAAGTGAATTAGCTAAAACGATAAGTACACAATCGTATATTGAAGTGTTAGAACAATTAATCAACTTAGAATTTGATATAGTTTCAAGTGTTTATACATATATGTCTTTTAACATATGGAATAAAGCATTTAAATATATTGAACTTATTTTAGATATTTTAATTCAAAATGAGAGTTTTTATCTAGTATCTATTAACATTACTGAGGAAATTACAGAAGAAATTATAACAGAAAAAGAAAAAATCTCCAGATCATGTAAAACTCTTATTTCGTTTTTGGCCAAATTGGATGATGAATTGTTGAAGGCACTATTATATATAGATGCGCAAACAGAAGAATATAGAAAGAGGCTAGGAAAAACTGTTCATATGATTGCATTACTATATAAAGGGTACAATTATGTCAAATTTACGAAAAAATTGCCTGACTTGGCAATATACATTTCTATGAGAATATTGGAACATATGTACTACAAACCTGAAGCTCTATTTATGCAAATATGGAATTTTGTTACAAGTAGAAAGGAAAACAACACTTCATTGACTGATGCTGACAGGACCAATGGAGGAAGGAAGGAAACAGATATGGAAAATAATGGAAGTGGTAATGCAAACGTTTTTAGTAGTTTAAACGGTGGCAGCAATGTAAATGGCAGTATTAAAGAGAATGGTGATTTGAAGGCATGTTACAATACTCAAACTAATGGAGACATGGACAAACAGCTTAATGAACAATCACCAAAACAAGCAGATAAGTTGGGTTCCAAAATAGACGATAATAACATGTCCCCAAAAAAAGTTGTTGAAAAATATGTATATGAAATATTTGAGTACGGAACAAAGCAACAAAAAATAAAAGCCCTACTGCAATTGTCTTTTAATAGAAGTTTACAAGACGAATTTTTGGAAGCAAAAGAATTATTAAATGTTGCCAATGTTCATGAATTGGCACTAAGTTCAGATATCCAAACGCAAATTTTATACAACAGGAATTTAATTCAGTTAGGGTTATGTGCTTTTAGACATGGAAGAATTTATGAAGCACATTGTTGCCTGGGAGAAATATGTTCCCAAAATAAACATCGAGAATTAATTGCTCAAGGAGTGTCAACTTTAAAAAATCAAGAAAAAACATTAGAACAAGAAAGAGCAGAAAAAAGAAGACTGCTCTCCTTTCATATGCACATATCAATTGAACTAATCGAATGTGTAAATAACATATGTGCAATGTTGTTGGAAGTGCCAAATTTAGCGAGACATACATATGAATCAAAAAAAGACATTATTTCAAGGCAATTTAGGCGATTCTTAGATATTTATGATAAACAGGTTTTTAATAATCCCCCAGAAAATAATAAAGAAATTATTTTATTAGCAACAAAATACTTACAGAAAGGAAATTGGAAACTGTGCTGTGAAAAAATATTCAGTTTATCGGTTTGGTCTAAGTTTAGTGATAGGGAAAGGGTACAAAACATATTGCAAGAGAGAATTAAACAGGAGGCTATGAGGACATACATATTTCGATACATATCCATATATGATTCTTTCGCAGTAGACCAGTTATGTATAATGTTCGATTTGAGTGAAAATTCTGTTCATTCCATATTAAGTAAAATGATGATAAATCATGAAATCCCAGCATGTTGGAACGAAAGCAGTAAGCACATAATCATCAACAAGGTTAATCCTACTGCACTACAAACAGTTGCTATCAAGTTGGCAGAAAATATCAACGAAGTTATGGAACAGAATGAATTAGCCTTTAATATGAGAAATCCAAAGTAAGTTCATTTACATACTCTTTATATTATATATTCTCTAGTGTATATATTATACCCCCCAAATGGCTGCAATCAGCACATGTCTATGTTATGTATATAAGCATTCATATGCATACCTCTTAACCCGCTTTCTTTTTCACTTTCCATCGTGTACAGGTTCATGTTCATGCAAGAAAAGCGAACGCAGATGAAGGACGATAAATCCAGCTGGCTCCACAAAAAAGGAGATGGAAAATATGGAAAAAGCTATCATCAGCATAAGAACGTGCACTACAAAAAAAATTTTAAGGAAAAAATTGTGAGCAAAAATTTCGCATAAATTTTTAATTCTGACTTTTTTCATATACTTATATATGTATACGTTAATTAAATTTTACTCACATTTAACAAAACCAACACAAGTGTATTAAAAATATATGTGAACAATATATTTATAAATTCCACTCCCACATGTTTATAAATTTATATTTTATTTTCGACAAAGATGTTTTTTTTTATTTTTTTTTCACTTTTTTTTTTACCCCCTGAGAAATGCACATGTAAACATTTGAACGTTTAAAAGCTCGATTTAAAAAAAAAGATATAAAAAAGAAAAAAAACACATACACGTGTTTATAACCAGATATGCAACACTGTATGCTCACACTTGTGTACGCACAATGAAAAAATTTGCAGACATATATATACATATATTTATGTATATCCTTTTTTTTTTTTTTTTTTTATAACCCTCGAACTTTTATAAAACTACAAAATAAGTTCATTCAAATTTAATTAAAAAATATACTTTGTTCTTTTTATATTTTTTATATTCTTAACTCCTTTTATTTTTTCCCTTCTACATTGTTCTGCAGCAAAAAAAAAAATAAAATAAAATAATAAAATAAGGAAATGATGAGAGGACAACAAACATTTTTTACAATTGCACAACTTTAAAAAAGAAGAAAAAAAAAAAAAAAAAGGGTAGTCAAACATACTGCATTTTGTAACATGCTTTTTATATTTACATACATGCATGCCTGTGTTAAGGTACATTGTAGATACACTAGAATTAAAACAGTATGACTACATGAGCATTTAAAAAAATACATTACGCAGAAGACCATATGTTGGATGAGTTCGTTAACAGTTATAAGAGAACAGTCTTCTCTATATTTTTCTTACACGAACATAACACTTTTTGAAAATATAAAAAAAAATAATTTATAAAACTTAACCATAAACGCTAATTTTTAATCGTTCTTTCAACCACTATGTATAAAGATAAATTCAAGTGAATGTAATGACACAACTGCATATCAAAAATTGCGTCATTCGTGTATATATTGTTTAGGGGAAAACATATTTTTTCTTTTTTTTACAAAATTTTTTAAATAAATTTACGAAATTTTCCTAGGAGAGAGAGATCTTTTGGAATACATTTTATGAGTTCTATCCGAGGACTTAGTTTACAAAGGAGAAAAAAGAGTAAAACTTTGCATTTAAAAATGGAAAAGTTAGACATCAATTCGCAAGAAGTGTATGAAGATATGCAGAATGCCTTTTTGAAGCAGGACAAATTCGACTTTTTGGCTATATCAGATGGAAATGGTAAAAGAAAAAAAAAAAAAAAAAAAAAAAAAAAAAAAAGTAGGAATATAATAAATATTACTCTTCTTTTCGTTCATTGAAAGTTAGGTCCTAAATCGACAAAACAATTCTTTTATTCATATATGTACATGTCCGTTCATATATGCATTGACACTCCTTTTTTTTTTTTTTTGTTTTTGCCTCCCCCCCCTTATAGTGATAAACTCGTACATGAAAAAAAATGTCATAGACTGGAACAATCGCTACAGTTACAACCAACTGAAAAACAAAGACAGCTTAATCATGTTCCTAGTGAATATATTTAGGTCTCTTTTTCTTTCTAACTGTATTGATAAAAACATTGACACTGTTTTATCTAGCATAGAAGAAATGTTCACAGACCACTATTACAACCCAATGCATAGCCGATTGAAATATTTGATAGACGACGTGGGTTAGTTTTTTATCAAGTCATTCAAAATGTAACATTTTCGCTTATACACAAACACTTGCATATTTCCATTTGATTCGTATGATCATAATTATCTATTCAAATATTTACATTTCCTTGTGCTTACAATTCTTCTTTTTTCCTTATTGAATCTACATAAAGAAAAGTTATATCATTGAACATGCTCTTAAAATTCAGTTTTTTTTAAAATTTCTTGTAGGAATATTTTTCACAAAGTTACCAATAACGAAGGCTTTCCACACATACAACAAAAAGTATAGAATAACAAAAAGGTTATACGCACCCCCAACATTTAATGAAGTTAGACACATCCTCAATCTTGCGCAGGTATGTATAAAGAACACAGCAGTGAAATTCAAAATGTTCACTTAAACGTAAATTTTTAAGAAATGTTTAAGTTTATTCTTATTAAATCTTTTTTTTTTTTTTTTTTCTTTTTTCAAACAAAAGATTCTGTCACTTGAAGATGGTCTAGACTTGTTAACCTTTGATGCTGATGAAACACTCTACCCAGATGGCTATGATTTTCACGATGAAGTTTTAGCTAGCTACATTTCCAGCTTGCTAAAAAAAATGAACATAGCAATAGTAACTGCGGCCTGTTAGTGCAGTAACATGTGCCATAAAAAATAGCTAAATGTATATATAAATGTATGTATATATATACATTATGTTATGTAAACATGTTTATATATCTCAACACATTACACCCTCGAATTTAATCATTTCTTACATGTTTAAGCATACAGCAACGATGCGAAAAAATATCAAAAGAGATTAGAAAATCTGTTACTATACTTCTCCAAGCATAATATCGAAGATAAGTCGTACGAAAATTTTTATGTTATGGGCGGTGAGAGTAATTATTTATTTAAGTAACACGAAAAAAAAAAAAAAAAAAAAAATACATATATGTATATATATATATATATATATACAGATGTAGGCATAGATATACATGTTTACGTACATAATTCCAAAAAGGATAATGCATAGCCTTAAAAAAGGCAGTACTGAGAATACATATGTTCATGTGGGGCAAGTGCTGAGGTCCTTGTTTACTAGGAAAGTTGTCAAAAAAGGTTAATTTAAAAAATAAAATTATTTATCTATTTTACTTTTTTTTTTTTTTTTTTTTTTCTTATTTTATTCCCCACGCTTTAGATGCAATGAAGAAGCAAATTTATATTCGGTTCCTGAAGGGGAGTGGTACCATTATAAAAAATATGTAGACAAAGAAACAATTCAGAAAATATTAGATATATCAGAAGAATGCTTACAACAAGTAATTACGGATTTTAAATTGTTAGCACAAATACATAGAAAAGAAAAATCAATAGGTCTAGTCCCAGATAAGATTCCATCCGTAAATAATCAAAACGGTAATACATTGTACTTGAATTCGATTATCTTATTTTTTTAATTTTGCCTATTACCTTAAAAGATGTATGAAACTATACCTTTTTTTTTTTTTTTTTTTTTATTAGAACAAAAGAATTATATGATAAAATATGAAGTTCTAGAAGAAGCAGTTATCCGTGTGAAAAAGGAAATAGTAAAAAACAGTAAGCACGAAAACGTATTTTCCTTTTTTTGAAATATATATAGTATATAAATATGTGCTAATATATATGTGATCATGATTAAAAATATACATTAATTTTTCCCTCCCATTTTACATCATCATTTTAATGAAATTTCATGCACATTATATAAATATACATTTTTATAAACATGTTCAGAAATAACTGCACCCTATTGTGCCTTTAATGGGGGACAGGAATTGTGGGTAGACATTGGAAATAAGGCAGAAGGGTTAATAATTTTACAAAAATTGTTGAAAATAGAAAAAAAAAAGTGTTGTCATATTGGTGATCAATTTTTACACTCAGGAAATGATTTTCCCACGAGGTAAGTGCTTATGAGCATGAAATTTCAAATATACATGCTTACTTTTGTGGAATAGGTGAAATTCTAAACGGGTTATATATCGCGCCGTTATTTATATACTCTTGTTAAATCATTTGGCAAAAAAAAATAAAAAAAAATAATAAAAAATAAAAAGAAATAAAAATAACCTTTCTCGCGCTTTTTCAGGTTCTGCAGTTTAACCTTATGGATTAGCAATCCCCAGGAAACTAAAGCCTGCTTAAAAAGTATAATGAACCTAAATATGAAGTCCTTTATCCCTGAAGTTTTATATGAAAATGAATAAATGTAACAAAAGTTTTTTTTTTTTGCTCATTTTTAATGAACAACATTGTAGCGTTAAGGAACAACGCTTGTGAGCTTATTATATTCATTTAGATCAGGTTTCCCTCATAAATATATACAAAATATTACATATTTATGCTTTTATGAAGCATATATGTATGTATATAATTATATATATATAGCACCGTATAGCGATATATTAGTGTGTAAAATCAGAAATGTTTAATGACAGCCCCCCACCCAGGGTGCCATATGATAATTCTCCTAGTAATGGCACATACATATTTATGAGAAGAAATGTTGAATAATTTTTATTCAACATTTTCCCATTACTTTTATTAAACAAATAAGTTTTTTAATTTAAGCACTAATTGATTTCTTTTCCTCTGTACATTTACCTTTTTGCATATCTTTGAGAAATGCACAAAAGAATAAAATGAAAAGAAGTAAAAAATAAAGTAAAAAAAAAAAAAAAATAATAACTTAATTGTAACATCACACAGTAGACATATATTTAGTAAAATGCTTCTTTTTTGTTTTTCGCATTTGCCTTATGCTAGTGTTGTTATACACTACTCATGAGCTGACGCACATTACTTTTTTTTTTTAAAATGAAATAAAACCACCAAAATATACAATCCATGTGATTTTCTTCTAATATATGGTGAAATGTGTTCAAATGTATATTTTATGTGGATACAATATAGTTCACGATATTACACTTGGGTCTAGGTAAAATTGCATGGGGGATCTACTTGTGTAACTACAGATGTGGCTTAAATATCTGATGTGTAATACATCGTTTCATGAGTTATATAAAAATCGTCGTTTTCAAACACAGAATATTAAAATAAAATATGCCTTCTTAATGGAGAAAAAAAAATAAATTCAAGGAACTTAGAAAATTTTATTTCATTTTATACATTTCATGTAATGTTCTTTTATATACCCAAAACATCCACAGTTTATGAGAAAGTGTTACATTTATGAGATGTGCATTTTTACGATGTAAAAGTTGTGTGTTCCTTTGTAAAATTGAAAATTAATATGGTAAATTTTTCTTAAAATGTTAGTTACAAAAGTTTATAATTTTTTAGCATTTTAAAATATAGTTTGGCTATCTATGCATTTTTTTTTTTTTTTTTATTTCATCATTTTTGACTAACGGTTCATATTTTATTACTGTTCATAAAAAAAAAAAAAAAAAAAAAAAAAAAAATACATTTTTAACTCCTTTAAAGGAATATTCATCCCACACATGATTGCAACAAACACAATTTGAATTAGTCTCTGCTTTTGTATCTTCGAAAATAGCTATTTATTTTTAATATATGGCAATAATCCTATGTGCTGATAATTAATGCCCCTTGGGGTTTTACTTATTTTTGTCTTTTTTTCATTCAGCTGAATAGCTCCTCGTCATAAATAGATATACATGCATAAGCATAAACATATATATATATATATAAATGCACCTGTGTATATTGCCCGAGTACATGTGCCCCCCCCCATGAAGCTCGTGTAGTTAGGAGAAAACGCTATGCACATTTTACCCTTGAAAATCGTATTTTGGATCTGTTGGTCAATTCTGCTGAAAATATGTGATGCATATGAAGAAACAAGTTTTTCCAATTTAAATTGGGAATATGACCTGTTCAGCATAGGGGATTTGCACGGAGATATGGATGCATTTTTAAAAATTTTATTAAGAGAAAAAATGATAGACAACAATTATAATGTGATAAGAGAAAATGTTTTAATAGTTATAACTGGTGATGTTTTGGATCCAAATTATGATGATATAAATATATTATTTTTTATCGAAGAATATAATGAAAAGGGGAAATTGTTGAATTCGAAAATTTTAATGGTAATGGGAAATCATGAAGTTAAAAATATGTGCCTAGAATTTAATAAAGTGGAAACGGATATAGAAAAATACAAAAACAGAAACGATATGTTCATGAAAAATGAAGCACTATATAACATTTTAATGAATATGCCATTTGTTATTCGGGTAAATGATATGGTATTTTCACATGCAGGAGTATTACCATATTATGCCTCCTATGGTATTGATTATATAAATATGGAGGGGAAAAAGGAAATTGAAAACAATTGTAAACTCCTATTCGATAAACGAAAAAGTAAAGAAGAGTTTTGTGTATGTTGTGATTATGGAGTTACATTAAATCGATATTTTTCTTTTGTTAATAATGGTATTTTTAAAAAGTGGATGGTTTGTTCCACTTTAAATAAATCGTTAAATTTATTAAATTCGAATAAAATGATAATTGGACACACTGTTCAGGAGAATAAAAAGGTCAACAGATTTTGTGATGAAAAGTTGTTATTAACTGATACAGGCATAAGTAAATGGAAGAATGGAGTCATTTCTTATGTGAAGTACTTTAAAAATGGCACATATGATGTGCGTTATATATAAAAGTGAAGTTTTTTAATTTTTTATTTTACCATTTTCTGTATAAGTGTTTGTGTGAGTGGGTAGAAAAGTTGGAACGGTTGGAAAATGACTGAGCTCATGCTTTACGTGAATCAATATTGTGATGAATACAACAAATTAATATGCTAACATTAATGAGTGTTATGTGCTTGGTTTAACTTTAACCCCTTATCATTTTCCTCTCTCGCGGAAGTGACTTCTCAGACTGAAAGAATAGCACGAAATGTATTTTTTCCTATTTTTAACATATGAAGAGAATGTTTTATCACGGTTTGAAATAACTCATTTGTATATTCTAATTAAAAAATGTAAACATTGGTGAGACGATGTTTATGTACTTACAAGCACACAAATTTACATCTTTGTGTGATCCACTGTTACACATTTCTTGTGTGAAAAAATTACACGAAAATGTAAGATTTTTTTTTTTTTTTTTTTTTTTTTTTATAGCCATGTTGACTTTCTTTTCATTTTTCCTTTTTATTTTTTAACCCACGATTTATATATATTTTCAATCCATTAGAATGGTGTGCATACATATATATGTTTTTGACAAAAAAAATGTTCACATCTCGGTTATGGAATGTTTGCAGCACCTTATAGAAACGGTTTTCACGTATTTATTTAACCATGTTCCTTCCACTTATTATTTACATTTGTTTACTGCAAAAATATTAATTTTATTCTGTCGTCCTAGCTTTAATCTTGTGGCGAAAACAAGTACCTTCAATGAAACGTATGCACTTGTGTACCTTTGCCCCCCATTAAATATGTACATAGGGGCAGAACATGAGTATCGTCCGTAAAATGCATAAATGGTAAGAAATATAAAGACTTGAGGATTTAAACTCGGAATATTAAATCACATTATAAGTGACGATATTCTAAGTACTTCTTTTCGAAAACATATATTACAACTCATGCAGGAGAAAGACATGCTTGCAAAAGTTACGTTTCTTACAGGTGAAGCGAAAAATGGGGAAATTTTAAATGCATGTAGGTATATGTAAACATTTTTGGGAAATTCGTCCACACGCTCGAAACGTATGTATAATTATTTTCATTTTATTAGCACCACAAACTTTTAAAGCGCAACCCTTTGTTACATATGCAGTGTTTCTTTCCTTCGTTTCGCACATATTGCAACACACTATTTTGAATTGTTGTCATTTTTTCTTTTTTGCTTTTTTCTTTCCCCGATTAAGTATTTCCTTTCAATTTTATTAGCTTCAGTTGTCCTGGATACAAACCGCCCCAATTTTTTTTTTTAAAAAATGAGATTTAAAATATTTATACACATAAATATAAAATCATCATAACAAGCACTAAATAATTCAAAAGCTTTTTTTTTTTTTTTTTTTTTTTTTTTTGTCGATTTTAGTTTTTCCATGATGATTTCATTGCCTCATGTATGTTTTAATTTGCATATTTTTGTAAGTCTGCTGAATTTTTTTCTTTTTCACTAAATTGGTTTATCTACTTTTTTCTTTTTATTGTCCCATTCCATTATGTATAATAATATATATATATGTAATCGTATATATTTTCATGCATATATGTATTATATGAGCCTTTTGCAAACCCATTATTATTTAATAAAAAATGCTCCTTTCTTTACATACATCTTTTCCCATGATAATTTAGCCATTTCCGAATTGTGCCATTCCTGGACTGCTAATAATATATGATGCAGCACGATGTAATATAACCCATCGGTATTTCAATAATTTTCGTAGTATTGAAAAATCTCTTTTTTTAAATTGGCTGACTACGTTTACTTTTCGCCTATAGCTCGTTATTGCCTTATTTATTGTTTACAGCTCCCCGACTAGGCGCAATTAATTTGTAAAAACAATCCCTATTTTGTATATATTCGTATGCGTATACTGTATGTAAGTATATATATTATTCACATATATTGCACTTATTGTATATATATGTGAATGCACCCATTATTTTTTTTTAACGTTTTTCTTTATAGTAATCGAAATCGCAAAATACATAAATTATAAATGTAGATTTAATTTTACGAATCATTGAGTATAAATATATGATTAATTTTCCCACTTGAATGATTTAATGATTTTGACTTTTATTTTTTTTTTTTTGTGAATTTATTGCGTTTTTTTTTTTTTTTTTTTTTTTTTTTTATACAGACCCAGGGCGACATACTATATATATAAAGCTAAGTGAGCTAAGCTAGGATGATAGAATGAAGCAATGGAAGCATTCGTCCGTTGTGCAAAAATATGTATGCATATATGACACATAACTGTACGAACGTGTACTTGTATATGTATATATATATATATATTTATATGCATACATATATGCACGCCTATACGCATTTGTGGATAGGACACCTGCGTAGCATATGTTACATATATAGGGCCCTTAAGTGCATACCTACAATATAATAAAGAGTTTATAATAATTAGCAGGTAATTCGTGCTAGCCAGTCATATGTATACATATATATATGCACATGCATAGTAACTTTTCTGTAAGAAATGCTAAAAGGGAACAGAATCCACGACGATATCAGTGATGACGATTTTGTTAGTGAGAAGCAAATTTTTCAAGGATCTAATAAAACCATCTTGACTCTTGAATCTATTCATGTCGTTAAAGGTATTGACAAACATGTTAAGAAGAGAATAGAAGAAGGAAAAGTATATCTGAGTGATATAAGTCCTGTGAAGAATGCAGAAATTGAAGAAGCATTTTTAAAAAGTTTATGTGACAATGCTTCGAAAAATAATATCATTAGTAAAAAAAAGTATTATAGTGGTAAATTCACTAAAGATTTGAATATAAAGATAGAAGAAAATTACAAATGTTTTAGTATAGACAACAACAAGTCCTATATTGATAGTGGAGGAGGGCATAGCGCGCGTGGTTCTCATAGTGACCCAGGTGATACAGGTGACTTTGGTGGTACTCATAACCTCCATAGAGATGCATATCACTTCAAAACATTCAGTGACAATGAAAAAATTAGGAGCAATGAGGTAGATATGCGGAGGAAAAAAGTACAACAAGAGAGTGAACCTATAGTACTCGAAAAAAAGAAAGACAATGAGGATAAAGAGAAAGGAGAAAGGGATAAAGATATGAGGAATGAAATGGGGGATGAAAAGGATGAAGAAGAGGAAGAATCAGAGATGCCTTTTTATGACCGAATTAACTCCTTTGTTCATAATAATTTAAAACAGAACTTATTCGAAAAGTTCTCATTCAATGATTTCCCAGAAGTTTTAGAAAGAGAAACAATTGATTATATAAAAAAAAAAGAAAGAAAATTACAAAAAAAGAGATTAAACGCAAATTTGGAAGCGTTAAGATTGCAGTACATACCAATAAATAATGACAAATTTGTAAATATCCCAACAGTAATTAAAGAAAACATTTTAGCTCTATTTGCATGTATCATAATAAAACATATAGACTCATTTGACGATATACAAGTTCAAAACCATTTAGATGAGTTATCGAAAAATTTTCTTAAACAAATGTCAGATTTACTTGTTATAGATCCATTAGCATACAAATGCATAATCAAGCCATTAGAACAAAGAGAATTAATAAGAGATATCACAGGAGATAAAAAAATATATCAGTTATATGAAAAACCATTTGTTGATAATTTGTTAATACAAATACAAGACCTTCAACCAAGTATTGATTTAAAATTCCAAAAAGTTGTAGAAGAATTGAACAATGAAATGGATTTCTGGCAAAATGATAATATTATAGACGAACATAATAATGAAACATTTAGTGATATAGAAAAGGATATTTCTTATAGCGGACCTAGACGTTACAGTAATAGTAGCAACCTTTTTGATGATGAGGAGGAGGAGGAAGAAGAAAATGAAGATATTAGAAACGATGCTAAAAATTTATCCTCCATTCGTGGTAGTTTTATTCAGAGAGAAATTGATGAATCATATAATGGGGAGGCTATAAATGATTATTTCTCATGTGGAGAAAATAATCCTACATGGAGTTCTAATAAGAATAGAACTATTCATCAATACACATCAAATGTCACTTGCTCAACTGCACAAGCAGGAAGTATCTCTATTAATGATGGACCCAAAGCAGGGAAGAACCATCAAAATTATTTAGGAAAACACAATAATAAAAAAATAAACAAGATAAATCCACAATATAATGAAAAGAGAAGCTCTTCAGAATGTCATAATAACAGTCCAATAATGCATGAACAAAGTCATAATAAACTTTTTAATTCAGATAATTGCAATTTCCCGGAAAACCTTGATCTACCTAACCCTGATGATAGACCCATCCACCCATATGATAATGAAACAAAAGATGATGAGAACATGTCTTATGATCATCCACTTGGGAAACTACCTAATGAGGCAAATAAAGCTGCTCATGAAATCTGTCACACAACAACAAAAAACCATCCCAGGGAGGAGATATCCATTGATAATGATCTTCTGGTTCATGGCCAAGAAGAAACTCATGAAAGTTCCAGTAGTAGTGATAACACAAAAGAATACAAGAGTGTAAAAAATTCGATTGAACCAAACAAGAAAAATGAAACAGGGTCAGAAATTCCATGTGAACAATTAAAAGAGACAGAATGGAAACAAATTAGTAGAAGTAGCTCAAACTTTGAAAAAAATGTTACGTCAAAAAAAAATGAATCCGATAGAAAGGATGAGAAAAATGTAGGTGTAAATATACAGGCTAGAATAAAAACAAGTATTAACCGCTCAGATACTTTTGAAGGTGAAAGTGATTATGATGAGATCGATATTGATAAACATTTGAATCATGGTGTACCAACAAGAGGTCCAGAAGTAAAATCAGTCCTTCTAAGAGATTTAATCACAACATATATCATGACAGGAAATAATAATGCGAGGATACAATTGTATTTTCAAAAGTTTGCAAGATGCTTAAAAATTAATGAATTATTAATATTAAGAATAGAAGAAAATTTGGCCGCAGATTTGATAAGTGCATTACAAGCATCTACCAACGAAACTTCAAAAAGAAAAAAAATAAGAAGAATTAAAATTGCAGCGGCTGCTTTAGGTGGCGGAGCTTTAATAGCTTTTACTGCAGGGTTAGCTGCACCTGGTATTATAGCAGGATTAACAGCCTTGGGTGCAGGTGGTAGTAGTCTTACAGCTTTTCTTGCTTCAGCTAGTGGTTTGGCATTTATTGTTTCACTTTTTGGTGCAGGAGGAGCAGGATTGACAGGCTACAAATATAGCAGAAGAATAGCAAATATAAGAACATTTGAATTTATTATGTTAAATGGAACTATCTCCAAATCGTTAAGTGTATGTGTATGTGTTAGTGGGGAAATAAAAACTGATGATGATATAACGAATCCATGGATAGATGTATTTCCAAATTGTTATTGTGATTTATATGCATTAAAATGGGAAAACCATTTATTAAAAACCTTAGGTTCATTAATTGAAACCATGCTTTCTCAAGAATTTGCTATAACAGCTAGTAGGATATGGTTACAGTATACTATAGCAAGTACTCTAAGTGCTGCTTTAACGTGGCCATTAGCATTAATTAAATATGCTTCAAGTTTGGATAATGTATATTTACTTATAAGAGAGAGAGCGCAACAAGCTGGGAGAATATTAGCAGATGCACTGAGTGATAGAAACACTGTAGGTCAAAGACCTGTTATTCTTGTTGGCTATTCGGTTGGGGCACGCGTTATTTTTTATTGCTTGAAATATTTGCATGCAAAAAAGCTGTACAATATTGTCAGTAATGCCATATTTATAGGTCTACCTGCAACTACGAGCACAAGAGTGTGGGAGAAAATTAGGATGGTTGTGACGAATCGTGTGATTAATGTATATTCAAAAAATGATTGGCTTCTAGGTTTCTTGTATAGATATATGGAATGGAAATTAAGTGTCGCTGGGCTTATTGCTGTGAACGTACCAAATGTCGAAAATTATGACGCCAGTGGAATTATACTCAGCCATTTGGATTACAAGAGAAAGTTAAAGGACATTTTTAATTTGATAAACTTCGACATGTGATTTGAGTTCTTTTGGAGGGAAAGAAGCTGGAAAAATAAAAAAAAAAAAAGGAAAAAAAAGGAAAGGAAAGGAAAGAAAAAAAGAAGAATAGAAGAAAAAGAAAAGGTCTCTTCTTTTACGCCGTCACGTTGGAAAATGTCACCAATTTGCTTTTTTTTTTTTTTTTTCAGTACATACATGTGTCGGTGCTTTTAGAATCACATATGCAACATGGAGAAATAGGAAAGGGAAATTTCGGTGAAAAATAGGAGTTAATGATACCTGAAGGGAACCAAACTAATCATGAACCGAATGGATATAAACTCTAAATAGGGTGGGTACACCCCTCTTGCACCCTTCCTTCCGCTGTAGCAGTTGCAACCACCGTCGTCTTCCCTTTTCATATTCATTTTAATTTTTAAATTCTTTATTCGGATTCGGAGTTCGTTTTTTTTTTTTTTTTTTTTTTTATCAAACCTGAATATTTACATATGTGCATAGCAGTACTCACAAGTACATTGTTTTTACACCGTTTTTGTAGCTCAACATAAGCAGTAATGTTATGAGGGCATATATTTGCATGTCCCTTTTTTTTCTTTTTTTTTTTTTTTGCTGTAAAAAAGTCCTGGAGTGTGTAAATTCATCTTTTTAAGACGGCTATACAATACATACATTATCAAGTTTTAAAAAAAAAATAGGACAAATTGAAATTAAATCGACAAAATTTGTTGTTATAACGGAATTAACAATTGGTGTGGATCATATTATCCGAACATATTAGCTCCTTACAAAGGGGCAGGAAGAATAGTTTTGTTCCTTTTATCTCGACGATTCGTTAACTCTTGTAAAATGGACTGTTTTCTATGTTTTTTTTCTTCTTTTTCTTCTTTTTGTTACATTTCATAATTTACCAAAAGGGGATAGGGATAGGCACAATGAAATATATTGGCCAGTTAAATATCATGTTGTATATTCTTTTAAAAAATAAAATAATAAAATACTAAAAGGGGAATATAATGAAATGGAAAAATCATTGAATTGTGTATATTATTTATACATGTCTTATATTTTACTCAACTTGCAAGTTTATAAGAACACAATGCAAACTTTCTAGATATGCATGAAACAGACGTGACAACATTTTACAGCCACAAACACATGCATAAAAACCACACACAGTTGGGGTAACAATTCAAAAAAAGTGACAATTCAAAAAAAGTGGAAATTCAAAAAAAGCGATAATTCAAAAAAGGTGATAATTCAAAAATAGTGGTAATTCAAAAAAGGTGATAATTCAAAAAAAGTGGTAATTCAAAAAATGCTCACATTTTTGCATGCCATACAAATGATATACTGTTCATTTGTAGTTATATAACCATTTACAAGGTCATGTTGGTGTAATAACAAAATAGGTTTATACGCATGTACATTATAGGTAAGAATGAAAAAGAAATAAAAAGGATTTTCTAAAATTAGAACATGCACAAAATGTTAAAATCAGGGTCTTCCTGATATTCAGAATACTGATGCATGCTATAGCCCAAATCTTCTTTCCCTTCGAAAATGTTAACAACTGTCCCGTCTGCTTCGCTTGCCACGCTTGTTCTATTATTCAAGCACTTGTCATCTACAAGGGTGCGTGCGTGTGTGTGTAAAAACGTGGAGCTATATGTGTTCATATGTTCATGTGTTTATATGTTCATACGTTTTAAGTGCCCATGTACATAGAGAAACACGGGGATATGGGGAAAAAAAAAAAATAGTTATAATGGAAAACACAATTCATGCGTTTTTTAGGAATTTGTACATCCCACCCGCCCCTCTCAAGTGTTACAAAATTATGAGAGACACATAGGCACTAAGATGCAGTAATCTGAGAAGTGCAGTAAAATTTGATTTGTGGCTCATTACCTTGGAAATTTAATGGAGATTCATCGTTACTCGGATCTGCAGATATGCTAATTCTACCATTCTCATTTTCATAAGCATCTAAATCAATTTCTTTATTCTTCTTTATAGCCTCCTCAATTTTCATTGGGTTATTTTTTCTTTCCTTTTTATATTTATCCCTAATTTGCTTGTCCGAAAATTTTGGTAAAAATGCACGAACCATCATTAAATCAACACCAAACATTTCGATGGCTTCATAAAATTTATTAGTTTCTTCTTCTGTCCATTTAGGTAATATTGTTTTCTTATAAGCATTGTGATATTTCTCAATTTGATTCTTATTTAAATTAGCGTTAAATGTACTTTTTTGGGACATGAAGATGGTGTTACTATTTTGTATACCACTTTCATTTATTATTTTGTTAGAACTGTATTTTCTTTTGTCATCATATATGATTTCTCCTCCTTCTGTTATATTCAATTTGTTTACGCAATTTTGCATAGATTCATCAAGGAAGTTTATAATATCATCTTGATTATTTTGTTGCATTAAATTATTGTTCAAGTTCATCTCATCATCATCATATGCCTTACTATCCACTTGTTCGTTCATAAATGTATATTCTTCACCATTCTGTGTTTTTTTTCCTATTTGCGATGAAATATTTTCCTCCATTTCTAAGCTTCTAAAAATGCTATTAACAATATCATCATCGTCTTTCTTATTCTCACTGTTAATATTTCCATCTACTTTTCCATTATTCCAATCATTATTTACATCCATAAAATTAAAATCATTTTGATTCTTATTCATTTCATACTCGTTAAACATATTCTCTGAGTGTCCTTTACTTGTGTTTATTCTATCAACTCTCAACTTTTTTCTTCCTTTATTTTGAAAAAGGTCCCATATGGTACCTTCTTCATTATCTGCAAAATAGGGAGAAAAGAAAAAAAAAAAAAAATAGTGCTCTATCTGTGTAAGAAAAATCATACACCGAAACATATAACATCTATCTTTCAGAGGAACATAAATTAAGCATGCGTTTCTTGCTTGTGTGTATACAAGGTTTTCATCTCCAACAACGAAAATACTTTTCTTCTTTTTTTTTTTTTTTTTTTTTATCTCATAATGACACAAAAGCTATAATTTATTATATACTCATTTTACACAAAATGAATATTACCATTAGTATCATTCAGGGAAGAAGAAGACATTTTTTTTTTTCTTCTTATATTTTTATTTACTAACTCTAAATAATGTGAAGCACTGTTAAAAAACTGTTTCTCCTTTGGTGCTTCTATTTCGATGTCGTCTGATATTTCTGGAATGTCATTAGGGTCCTACGATTGATGTGGATGAAAATGGGTGTTGGGGGGGAAGTAAATGGAGGAATATAAAATTAAGCTGAAAAAAATGTTCTATACGTATGTGCATATTGGTACAACTGAAAGGAAAAAAGGATTTACACTTATAGAATGAACTAACAAACATGCACATATGGAAAAAACGTGGTAAATTTATTGCAAAACTGAAAAAATACAACAAAAAGTAGGGACAAAAAGTAGGGACAAAAAGTAGGCCAAAAAGTAGGGACAAAAAGTAGGGACAAAAAGTAGGGACAAAAAATTAGGCCAAAAAATTAGGCCAAAAAATGAGATCCAAAAAATAAGGAAAATTTCTACGTTTAATTGCACATTCAATATAGCCGAGTATTATAATTGTTACTCACATACCGTATCAAAATATACCAAGTTTTTGTTCGTTTTACTTTCTTCTAACATCCGTTCATGGTAGTAGGTCATGCTATTTGCGTTCCTGTGCGTGTCACACACATTTGAGTTATTCAATTTTTCATTTTCGTTCTTGCTTCCCGTGATAGAGCTATCTTGTGGACAAAAGTATGTCGTATTATTATTTTGGTTATTATCATTACATTCATCATTGCTAACATAATTTTCGTTTTTGTAATTTATGTTAATTCCTAAATCTTCATTCAATGTTCTATTAAAATTGGCCTCATATTGAGCTGTATTAATAGTACTATTAAAGTTGTTACCAATGCTGCTTAACGATTCTTCATCATGTAATGGTAAATTTGGTTCATTTTTACTTTTTTCATTTGAATTAGGTTTGTTCATATTTTCTTCTACTTCTCTGCTTTCATTGTTGAAAAAATGCATATTATATATTCTACTATTTGATTTGTCAACATCACTTGCCATTTTATTTATCATTGCGTCCATTTCTTTTTTATCATAAAACACTTTATCATCATTTTGAATTCTGTTCATATCATTTGACGAACTGTTCATCTTATTTTCAGCATTATTGTGCTTTTTTAAGTTTTCTTCGTCTTTCTCTAATTCCATGTCTTGGTTTGTGATTTCTTCATAATTTTCTCCCTTCTCTTTTAAAGGACTTGTAACACATGTATCATAATTTGTAGTTATATTAGAAGCATCATAGTTGTTATTCTTCTCATTGGTGTGCTGATTCTTTAAATTTGAGACAACTTGTTTGTTCATGTCATAGAATTCATCTACTCCCATATTTACACTATACGTCACGTTTCTCTTAACCGAATTATTAACGCTTGCCTCATTATCGTTATGTTGATTATTTTCTATAATATTATTATCACCATTGTTGTGCATTTGATCTGGATCACAAATTATTCTAGGTGTTTTGTTCATGGAATTTAAATTATTTTGTTGCATATCTTCCTTTTCTTCATTTATTTTTTCTTCAAAATTTGCCACGTGAAGGGGTGTTGTTGTCATTTTGTCAAGATGCCTTACATTATTGTCACTTTGATTATTCGATGTGGAATTGCTAGCATTCATTTTGTTATAGATATTCTCCTCATAATTTATATTACTGAACTCAGAGTTGTATATCTTATTATCATTAATATATGGAATGTTCTTTGCAGTAGTTGTTTCATTTGCATCTCTTAATTTGTTCGCATTGTGTAACATATAAGCATCCATTTTATTGGTCTTTTTCTTTTTTTTGCATTTTTCCTTAACCTTAATATTTGTGTAGGTTTTCATTTCGTTTACAGGTAATGATATGTCTACTTGATTTTCATGCATGTTTATTGTGCCATTTTCATAATTCTTTATATCACTGTTCGTCCTTCTGTTGTCAGAATGACTTGGTATATAATTTCTCATTTCATGGATATCCACAGGGTAATTATTATCGAAATTGTAGATCGTTTGCTGATTGTTGCTCATGTTAGTCAATGTATTCATGTTGTTCTTCATAAACTGGAAATTCACGATTTCGTTGCTATTTGTGATACTTCGTCTGGAAATATCGCCATTTGGAATGCTTTCATTTGTGATGTTCCTATTGAAAATAGTATTTCTAATCATACTATGTCCTGCAATGTTTGTATTTGCCTTACTGTTCATCACACTGGAGTTATTAGACATTATTATATTTTGATTATGAATACCATTAGCATCCATACTGTCAACATTTCCGTATGGGTTAAAGTTATTAACAATGGGATGGTTCATAAAATTATTAGGGACATCAAACGAATTTTGGTTTATATTCTTACTATTCATTAAGCTTGGGTTTGTGTTTTGATGATGAAAATACATGCTATTACAATCTTCAATTGTATTTACAAATTTTTTTTTTTTTTTTTTTTTATTTTTTTCCATTTGTTTTTCTGCCTTGAGTAATTGTTTACGTTTCTTATCATACAATTTTAGCATTAATTTTTTTTCTTTTAATTTTTGTTTTTCATCTTTTTTCATCTTTTTTCTCATCATTTCTTCAAGTTTTTCTTTACTTTTAGTTTTACATGACATTTTAAAACTATCACTTAATATTAATTGGTTAGAGTCTCCATTGGATATATTTGAGGCTGCAGTATTGATAGCATACGAACTATGGTACGAAATTTCATTCATCTTTTGGGGATCTTTTATCATATCTAAATTATCCGTATTGTTCATAAGCGTATTGTTTTTTGAAGGTGCTGCTTTTATGTTGTTGAAGTTTCCACTTTGAAAGTTATTCAAAGAGAGTTTATTGTTTTGTGCATTTCCGTTTGGTGGTATATTATACATTGGTATTGTGTTATATGGTACCGTATTAAAAGGAGTTTTGTTATTTGAAGTCATGTTACAATGGTTGGTATTTTCCAAAGGTACACTGTTATAAGGTGGAATATTCATAATATTTGCATTCCTCTTATTTGGATTGCTAAATACATTTGATTTCGTCATGATTCCAAAATTCTTATTTGGCTGTTCATTCATTATGGACTCTTTTTTGTCTGCGTCAATTGCAACATTTACCATGGATGGATTCGCCCTAGTGTTTGTACTTCCGTTTGTGTTATCTGTTGGTAAAACATCCTTGTTCATGCTGGTTACGTTTGGAATGCTGTTTTTCATAGGATCCTTTTCCTCGTTTAGATTCTCTTGATTAGTATAATAATTCAACAAGTTATTTGCATATACCAATTCTGCAGAAGCGTTACTGTCATTGGGAGAAGGTATATTGACAGAACTGTTTTTATGAACGCTGTTTGGAGTGTAGCTGTTATTGTTATTACTATTGTAGGGGTTACTACTACCATTATTTGGCACTTGAGAGATATTCGTCATATTTGTCATATTCGTCATATTTGTCATATTCGTCATATTTGTCATATTTGTCATATTTGTCATATTTGTCATATTTGCTATATTTGTCATATTTTGAACACTTTGAATATTTTGATCATAAAGAGCTCTGCCACCACTAGCAACACTGGGATAAACACCAAGCATGTTGTTGTTTGCGCCATACATAGAATTATTATTTTCCCCTATTATGTATAAATTATCTTTATTTATTAATTGTCCTCCTTCTACCTTGTGTGTATCTTTTTTATTTTCCTTTTTCTTTAATTTGGTGCTTTTCTTCTTCTTCTCTTTCTTTTTCAAGTTCGGTAAGCCACTCGTCATTTCATTCGTCATCTCATTCGTCATCTCGTTCGTCATCTCGTTCGTCATTTCATTTGTCATTTCATTTGCCATTTCATTTGTCATCTCATTTGCCATTTCATTTGTCATCTCATTTGCCATTTCATTCGTCAAATTATTCATCATGTTCATGTAGTTCTCATTGCCACCATCCATTATCTTGCTCATATAAGTTGGGTTGTCATAACTCAACACGGTGTTCATATAATTAACATAATCCATGTAACCAATGTTATTTATATCATTGGATCCATTGGGGACAATGGAATCATTTGGCATACTTAAGCTGCCCATTTCATTATTTACTTGCATAGGGTTGCTATTAGACATTCCATTTTGCGTGGTTAACATATTGTGTGGAATAGTTCCATGGGAAATGTTCATTCCGTGTTGAGGTATTGCACCGTTTGGTAAGACAGTGCCTCCGGGTGCAGTAGACATATGATTCATATAACTCATATTGTTCATGAAATTCATGTTATTATTCACTCCATTATTAAAACCCATAGAACTGCTAGAAAGCTGTCGATTTATCATATTATCTAATGCCTTGATTCTTCCCTTGAATCCGCTAAGTTTTTCTCCGCTCATATATTTCATGTCACTTTTATAAGTTCTTGCCACTTCTGCATTAACATTATTGGACAGAATTTTATATTTATTTTTTTCTTCATTCGAAAGTTGTTTCCACAATTTGGACACATAGGAATTTTGCTGAGCTAAAGTTAATCCCATATCAATATTTTTTTCTTTATGTTCCTTTCTTTTCTCACGTGCAAATATACTAAATGCTGTGAATTTTCTTTTTTTTTTCTTTTTTTGAGAAAGATAGTTTTCTTCATTTATTTTTGATGCTTTGGCAGCCCACTCTTTTTTTTTTTCATTACTCAAACTGTTCCATATTTTTGCAACTGCTGTTGTTTGTTCAGTTAGGGAACTACCTAAAAATACTTTCTGATTAAGTAATTCCTTTCTCTTTTCTCTTGCAAACAAGGTAAAGGATGTAATTCCTCTAATGCTTTTCTTCTTAGTTTCTTTGTTTTCATCTAAGTGGTTTGCATTTGTGTTTTCTTCCACGCTGTAGTCATTCATGTAGTCATGCATGCATTCGTTTGAGTACTCATTTTGGCCTTCGCTCCCAAACTCAATGGAGTTATCGTTTGCCTGGTTGTTCATGTGGTTGTTCATGTGGTTGTTCAGGTGGCTGTTCAGATGGCTGTTCAGGTGGCTGTTCAGGTGGCTGTTCAGGTGGCTGTTCAGATGACTGTTCTGATGACTGTTCAGATGGCTATTCATGTCAACGTTTTCACCTCCCTTCATTCGTTCATGCATGAGCTCATTTCCATATCCACTATTATTTCCAAGCTGATAATTTCTTTCATAACCGGAGCCGTAGTTTGGTGGATAATTGGCTGAGTAATTCACTGGATAATTTGTCTGATAGTTTGCCGCATAATTTACCGCATAATTTACCGCATAATTTGCAGCATAATTTGCCGTGTAACTGGCTTTATAATTTCCATCGTGGGATCCTTGGAAATTATTTGAGTAAAAGTTATTAATTCCGTTGGGGTACATCATCCCTTTGGTATACACATCGCTGTCATGTTTTTCATTTGAATGTGTCATGTTCATATAAACATGGTTAGAATAAGCAGTGTTCCTGTGAGATCCATTTGGATTCTCTGAGTTTGCATATGGATCATTCCTATATGTCATATTCGCATAAGTATCATTGGTGAATGAGATATTTGAGTAAGGTCCATTGGGGAGAGTCATATTTGCATATGGCCCACTGTTCGATGGGGATGTAATTCTCATATTAGCAGGATTCATTTGTGGCATGTCTGCATAAGCTGAGTTTGCATTTGGTACATTTGTGTACGCTTCGCTCATATTATGCATATCAAAGTTTGTCATTTTGGGGTAAGGTGTTTCTGCATACGGAATTTTTGAGTGTGATGTTTTGGTGTTGAGCAGATTAGACTGTGTCTGATCCTTTTTCTTTTTTTTCTTTTTTTTTTCCATCACATTAATCTGAACATTCCTTTTTGAGATACTTTTTCCAATATTGTGAATCAGGTTACTGGTTCCCTTAAAATCTCTGAAGTTGTATAATTTGGGGATTAAATTTTTCAAAGATATTTTCAGTAGTGCATTGTTTTGTTTTGTATCAACATGATCATTGCTGTTAGTATGACTACTGCAAATGGTTCCTCCTGTACTAGAATTTGCACAATTTTCATGATTTGCACAATTTCCATGATTTTCACAATTTCCTTGATTTGCACCATCTCGCTGATTTACATCACGAGGGCTACTACTCTCATGCGCACTAGGATTCGAAGGCAAATTGCTATCAGCTTTGTACATCTCTATGGTTATTCTTCTATCGTTTTTCAGCAGATGAAGCTGCTGAATACATTCATCAAATAAATTCCTCTCTTCCTCAAACTTCAAATCTTTTACTTTTCTTCTTAAATTTTTTAGTTTACTTATAAGTTCTTCCTTTTCGAACTTGAAATTTATTTGACTCAACAATTTTTCGTATATATCTACATCATTGGACAATAAAAATAAAAGGAAATCCGTATGCTTATAACTTATGTTATTATCTTTTTCAAAATGGATAACTGCATTCATTACATCTTTCGTGTTGTAAATGAAAAAAAAAATAAGTGTTTCATTTCTAATTATTAAAAAATATATATTTTTGACGTAAACATATAGATGCTCTATGTTCAAATCGGTGATAAGGTTATTTTTACGTAGATAATTAAAAATTTTCTTTTTAATATACTTTTCTGAATTTCTATATTTACATATTATGTTGTTTGACTTCATTTCGTTTATTTTATTAAGGTACATTTTGTAATTCTCTTTCGTTTTGTTTCTCTGATTTTCATTCTCGTTTGGGTCTTCTTCTCCGTTCTGATTATCCTTCTCGTTTGGGTCTTCTTCTCCGTTCTGATTATCCTTCTCGTTTGGGTCTTCTTCTCCGTTTTTATTGTCTTCTCCGTTTTGATTATCATTCTCGTTATTATTATCATTCTCGTTGTGATTGTCTTCTCCGTTTTGATTGTCTTCTCGATTATGATTATCATTCTCGTTGTGATTATCCTTCTCATTATGAGTATGGTTCTCGTTTTGATCGTCCTTTCCGTTCTTATCGCCACTCTCGCTGTTATCACTGTTCATATTTTGGCCATCCTCCCTGTTGTTCCCACAGCAAATTTCACTACCTTCGCACGTATGTCTATCCACGTATCCCTTGTCGTCGGTACTACGTTTTTCATCGCATCCAATTTCTAAACTTCCATTTTCTGCAATTCTGTAATTGCCATTCTCCTTAAGGACAAGATTACTATTGCAAAAAGCATTATATGTCGGAACTGAACTAGCCATATATTTCTTATCTATAATATTGGTAGACGTAAAACTATTCAGTTCTATCCTATTATCATTACAATCACGGGAAGGATTATAATATAAAATTTTGAAACTATCATTTTTGTCAATATGCATATTTTTGTTAAGTTCATTTTTAAGAATTGTTTGATCTTGAATTTCTCGAGAAATTATCTGATCCTTATTATGTATCTCGATATTATATTGGGACAATTCTTCTTTATTGATGTGATTTAATTGATCTTTTTCTATTTTTTCATTTATAAAATTAAGACTTACATCCGTATTGTAACTACAAGGGAATGTACCATCTTTGTTTTCTTCCCCTTCTACATAATTTACAATTTCTTCGTTCAACTGTTTTGGATACTTTTCTGTGTTCCTATTTTCCACTTCTTCTCCTTTAATTAGAGTTTTATAATCATTCTTCGTAAAACTTTGATCTTTTGATGTTTCATCGTTACTAAGAGGAATGGATTGATGCTCCGTATTTATGCTTCCTGAATCGCTTATCTGAGTAACGTTTTGTGATTCGTTGCATAAAATATTATTTTCTTCTTTCTTGTTTGTCAAGTAAGGATAATTTAGAATATTATTGTCCAAATAATTTTTTTTTTCTTTTAGTTGTAGAACTTTCAATGAATCTGCCCTCTTCACAATGTCCATTTCGTGTTCTTCGTGCAAAGGGGGGGGAGGGGGGAGTTGATACAATACTTTTACTACACCTACGATTGGTCCTGTTTTGTTGTATTGGAATATGTTTTTTTCTGTATTTGTGAATGTTTACCACTTATGTTTTGCAACCCCTTTAGGCAAAATACTGCGTTTTTTTTTTTTTTTTTTTTTTTTTTTTTTTTTTTTTTTTTTTTAAATTTTTTAAAATTTTTGTGTTTTTTTTTTTTTTTTTTTTTAAAAATTTTTTTTTTTTAAAAAGAAAATTTTTTTTTTTTTTTTTTTTTTTTTTTTTTTTTTTTTTTTTTTTTTTTTTTTTTTTTTTTTTTTTTTTTTTTTTTTTTTTTTTTTTTTTTTTTTTTTTTTTTTTTTTTTGTTAATATTCTTACAATCCTTGGTGCTTTTCTTTACTCTTCCTTCTACAATTTTTCTTTCTCAAAAGGAAAATATAATTTGTTACTTTTCTTCTTTCTTAAAAGGAAAACCTAACCTTCTTCTTTTCTTTTTTATTCAAAAATTAAAAACAATAAAAAAAAGAGTATTTTTTTTAAAAAAAAAAAAAAAAAATGGGAAAATATACCTCCCGTTATTTTCCAATTAATATATATATTTACATAAAATAAGTTTCTCACAAAAATGTATTGAAAAAAAAAAAAAAAAGAAGTAAATACTTAGAACATAAAAAGTATGCATATATGCATAATGCAAGCGTACAAATATGATATATGAACGAAAATAAATGTCTATACAGGAGCAGAAGACGGAAGGGTTTATATGTTCATATAGTGTGGTGGTTCAATATTAAACACGTTTCAGCACGGCAACACTTTTGACGTAAGAATATACGGTTGTGCGAATATACAGCTGTGAGAATATACAACTGTACGAATATACAACTGTACGAATATACAACTGTACGAATATACAACTGTACGAATATACAACTGTACGAATATACAACTGTACGAATATACGAATGTACGAATATACGAATGTATGAACATACAAATATGCACTCCTATAGTTCTAATGTGCGATGAGAAAGGATACTTAAAAAAAAAAAAAAAAAAATTAAATACTCTCCTGGTCACATTGCTTTAAAAGATAGGACGGAAAAAATTCACAAAACGTATGAAAAAAAAAAAAAATTCAATTAAAGGTTATTGATGGGAAAGTAGTCGTCTTTAGCAAACATTTTTCCGTTTGTTAGATATCCCTAAATTATTATTTGTAGTTCTTTCTAGATTACAGCAAACTTTCTCAGTGTCCCCTCATCATACGTATGTTTTGCATACATGACTACGATCATATTGTGCACATAAGGATGTATACAAAAGATATGTATATCCACATTTATATATATGTGTTCATATGCATACATATATATATATATATATATATATTGAACATAAAGTTTTGCGTTTTTTTGCCAAAAACGGAAAAAGAAGCAAGGGAAAAAAATAAGAAAATAAAAAAAAAAAAAAAAAAGGGGAAAGAAAAATGTACATTTTACATTTATCTGTGCTGTACAAGTTATACAAGAGTATACTCATGTATACACGTATAAACATGTCCTCATAATATATAGTACATATTTTTACGTATACCAATTTATATATGATGGGACATTAGAAAAAATGTTACGAAAAATATATATGTAATCCTTTTCTTTTTTATGTACTCTTTTGAATGAATATTATATGTAACATTCAATTTTACAAACGGTAGTTAAAAGTTTAAGCCGTGAAAAAAAAAAAAAAAAAAAAAAAAAAAAAAAAAAATTAAAATAATATGGGGAAAATGTTTACGAGTTTTTTGGTTGCTACTTTTTTCTTCTCTCTAATAAATCTGATTTGTTCACATATTAACAAGAGCTTTAAAAAGAAAAAAAAATTAGGGAGTTCTTTTATGTTTTATTTTCTTTAATGGGTGAAGAAAGGAATATCTTTGAATAACAAGAAAAATATTTAAAAAAAAAAAAAAAAAAAAAAATGATGTGTTCGCTCTTTATATACATGTGCCCAATAGAGGTAGGAGAAACAATGTAACAGTAGAGTTTATGTATGGAGTGTTATTATATATTCATGTCCATATATATATAATTACTCATACTTACGGATAATAATACATAGAATTGCTAGTTTTTCAAACAAAGAAAATTAATTTTTGTAATACAGAATTTGTAATAAAAAGGTAGCAGGGAAAAAAAGTTTACAAGTAAAACGAAAAGGACAATTAATTAGGAACCATATTCTCCTCAAAGAAGGAAAAAAAAAAAAAAAAAATATATATCTTATTCTGGTTATTTTGCTTATATATATATATATATATATATACTATTTTCATTTCGTGAAACAAGTAATGTAGCCACTTAAAAACACATATGAAATGTCACGCTTTGCTTCTAAGCAACAGCTTTTTTTTTTTTTTTATTCATAATTTTTTTAAAAACAGAAATGAAGTAAATAAATATACATGTATATGTATGTGTACTTGTACGAATTCGTACATATATGTCTATGCATATGCACATGAAAACAGGTTGCAATTCTTCCCAAGGGCGTGATTTTAATGTCACAATGTTATACACAGAGCTAGAAATAATAACAGCAATGGCAGGGAAAATAGAAAAAAGCAAAATGGGAGGTTAGTGAAATGGGTGAACTAAATGGGCGACCAAAATGGGTAATCAAAATCGAATGGGAAACAAAATGGGTGAGCAAAATGGGCGACCAAAATGGGTAAGCAAAATGGGAATGAAAGCAAAAAGTGGAAAAAAAGGAACAAATGTGAGGAAAAATAACCAAAGGTTGTTAGAAAACTTGTAAAATTGTAAAAACACATAAAGGGGAAAATAGAAAAATGTAAAAGTGCAATAATGTAAAAATAGCATAGTCACTATTTAATGTTATATGGGTGAAAAGTATATTCTTTACATAAAATTTAAGGATACTAACTTTTTTTAGATTAAAAATAACTGATTATTACTTTTCTTAAAGCAATTTTATATTTTTAGTAAAAAAGTTAAGTGAGGGGGGTAAAGTGTTGGTCCATCAAAAATATAGCTTGTATTATGTCCCACTTTTTGTTAATATTGAATGCATATCTTTTTATTTGTTCGTTTTATTTGTTCGTTTTATTGGTTCATTTTATTGGTTCGTTTTATTTGTTCGTTTTATTGGTTCGTTTTATTGGTTCATTTTATTGGTTCGTTTTATTGGTTCGTTTTATTGGTTCGTTTTATTTGTTCGTTTTATTGGTTCATTTTATTGGTTCGTTTTATTTGTTCGTTTTATTGGTTCGTTTTATTGGTTCATTTTATTGGTTCGTTTTATTTGTTCGTTTTATTGGTTCGTTTTATTTGTTCGTTTTATTTGTTCGTTTTATTTTTTTCGTTTTATTTTTTCTTTTTTTTTTTTTCGTTTTATTTTTTTGTTTTTTTTTTTTTTTTTTTTTTTTTTTTTTTTTTTTTTTTTTTTTTTTTTTTTTTTTTTTTTTTTTTTTTTTTTTTTTGTTTTTTTTGTTTGTTTTTTTTTTTTCGTTTTATTTGTTCGTTTTATTTGTTCGTTTTATTGGTTCGTTTTATTTGTTCGTTTTATTGGTTCGTTTTATTTGTTCGTTTTATTTGTTCGTTTTATTTTTTTCGTTTTATTTGTTCGTTTTATTTGTTCGTTTTATTTGTTCGTTTTATTTGTTCGTTTTATTTGTTTGTTTTATTGTTTGTTTTTTTTTTTTCGTTTTATTTGTTCGTTTTATTTGTTCGTTTTATTGGTTCGTTTTATTTGTTCGTTTTATTGGTTCGTTTTATTTGTTCGTTTTATTTGTTCGTTTTATTTTTTTCGTTTTATTTGTTCGTTTTATTTGTTCGTTTTATTGGTTTGTTTTATTTGTTCGCTTTATTTGTTTGCCCTATTCTTTTTTTTTTTTTTTTTTTTTTTTTTTTTGTTCCTTGTGTGTTATACAAAATTGTTTATATCAAAGGGGTTTAATATATATACATATCCTCATTAACTCTAATACAAGCAATAAGTGGTAAAACATTCAAATGTGCCAACGTAAAGGGGGCATACGAGTATAATGAAAACAGTATGTAAAAGCAAATATGACGTACTTATAATGTACACTCTTAAATGAATACACTTATATGCTTTTTCTTACAAAAACAGTTCTTTAAGCTTTGTGGGACCTTACAAAGGAAGCCTCGTCCACCAGCACCTTATTTTTATTTTTTTCAACTCCACTTTCACACCCTGCATAACCGATTTCTATACATGCTAATGTGGGATAAAAATTACAATGTGTCTGGTAGACATAAAGGTGTTCGAAGAGGGTGTGGAGGTATTTGTGTGTATGTGTATTGAGGGAGGAAAATTTCCATGGTAACAGGTTTGGAAAGAATTAGGATACTACTGTCAAACTATTGACAGTTGGAAAATGGAGGCTGGAAATTGCAAACATTTGAGGAACTCTTGGTGGGAAAATGAAAAAATGGAAAAACTTGTCAATCTGGCTCAATGCAAGAATGTAGCAGTTTACGTGTCGCTGAAAAAGGTAAGGCGGTCGCATATGAAGTGGGGCATTTTGCACAGCTTGCATGCCACATACTATATATATATATGCATATATATATGTATATATATATATGCATATATATAACTTAGAACATATGCCCATATATGTAATGCATACACATGTATATAATACGCATATGAGCGAAAGGTGGACGAAAACATTTGGGATAAGAACTTTTAAAAGTTATCTTTCATTATTCGCAAAAGAACTAGATACTCATAATTTTTGCTAATTACATAATTGTTTTTTTTAGCATATTTTTGAATTTCATTTCGTATATTCGCGTGGTGACATCGCAAGAAGGGATTGTACGCAAATTCATCTTCCAGCAAAGACGGAACTGTAGGGAAGGTATTTTCATTTTTCAAAACTTGATCATGAAAATCGATTAATTTTTGATTACATGCATCCACAGTTAAGGCAAATTTTATATTGTCTTGTGTATATTCGTGACCACAGAAAACATATATTTTTCCTGCTTCCTTTTGCAAAGTTTTTAAATTGTTTACCGAATTGTACAAGTCCATATTATTGCCTTCAAAATTTTTCCCAAGTCCACATATAAATAAAAAGTCTCCTGTAAAAAATATTTTTTTTAACAATGTTTTTTTGGAATTTTCTATTAAATAAGAAATATGATTATTACAGTGAAAATTTGACAAAAAGGTTGAAATTTTAAAATTATTTATTTCGAAATTTTGTACATTTTCAAGATTTTTATTTATGTATTTATTATCCTTTTCTTTAATTCCATACACATTCATTTTTTTATTAAAAAAATAATTATTTCCTCCATTATGATCACTATGTTTATGCGTACATAATATATTCTTAATTTTTATATTTTCCATTTCTGAAATTTCATTAACCACACTATAGTCACTTGGATCAACTGCTACTCCCTCATTTTTATCATCATAAAAAATATATGAATAATTATCCCTATACATAGGTATTATAATAACGTTCGTACAAATGTCATTTTTTTTTACGATGAAATATTTCTTGTCTCTCTTGGTTAAACGTGTATGTACACTTCTCCTTAAAAAGCCATTTTCAAAAAATATCCTTTTTGACAAAGACAATCTGTTAGTAGCAGATTGCGCATGCGAAAGGTAGTTTATGGTCACGAAGACTTTTGTTATCTTCATCCTTTAGAGAGTAATAGGATGGATTGGGGAGCATGGAGGGGAAAGGAATACGATGAAAAAGTGGGGAGTAGAAAAAGTTGGGAGTAGAATAAGTGAGAAGTAGAATAAGTGGGAAGCAGAATAAGTGGGAAGTAGAAAAGGTTGGGAGTAGAAAAAGGGAAAAACGAAACACATTGAAGATGAAGAACGCTCCAGTTGCACTCCACAACAATGGTGAAAAACACTAAATTGCGAAATTGCGAAATTGCGAAAATACTGAAAAAAAAGAAATAAATAATCCTTCTAGCAAGTAAAAGGAAGGGGGTAAAAAAAAAAAAAAAAAAAAAAAAAAAGGGGGTATCTTTATCTGTTTTGACATTTTGTTTTTCTATTCTGTTTTCCATTTCATTTCACCTGATTTTTTTTTTTTCTTTTAATCTCTCTACGTGTACACACTTTTATCCCATAAAAATAGCAACCTTGGTAATTTTTGAACGAATCATACACCGTGACTCTTGGCAAATACATCATCATACTCGCGTTCACTCTTTTCATTACCATTTTTTTGTAAAATAAGGAAAAAAAATTAGCCCCCTTGTATGGCATACACTAAAATGAATACTTATTTTTTAGGTATATCCGCTTTCTAGGGTGTGATTTTTGTTGTGCTACTTTTTTTTAATATGTGTGTGTGTGTGTGTTTTTTTTTTTATTTTTAACGTGAACTGCGAGTAAAAATAAAACAATTCGACACCATTTCTACAAACATTACATACCTTTTTTTTTTTTTTTTTTTTTTAATTATGGTTATGCCATTTCTTGGTGATTAAATGGGTATACATTTTTTTATATCTTTCTCCATTTAATGTTTCCCACTTTTACCACTCCTATGGTATAACACGAGGTATATCTTTTAGTTGTTGATTATCTATGCATTTTGTGCGGAACCATCAAAAAAAAATTTATTTTTTCAACATGTCTAAACAGAAATTGAAGTTCAATGGGAAATTTGCCATAAGAGGGTGAAAATACCTAAGCGCTCAACCGTACTAAGCCACATGTTGTTACATGGTTTTTAGAGGTGAACCACACTTAATGATTATCCTGTTTGATCATATTATATTATTTCTTCTCCTGTCCTAAGCTAATTTGTTTAAAAGGGAATTATATGACCAGAAGAACAAGCTGTTATACTACCACCCCACGTATTGAAGACGAAACACAATTCTAGCCTGTATGACAACAACATTTATAAATATATATATATATATATATATTTATGTGCAAACAGAAGAAAAGGGTAAGAAAAATGGCCACGTCGTACACACATCCCATAATTGTGTTTAACTTCACTTATTATGGGAAGAGGAAATGTTCCTATTATACACGTCAAAATTCCATGCTTTAGTATATTCATGAAAAAGAAGTTTATTTAATGTCGTTCAATTTAACATTCAAGAAGATTTGAAATTTAAATTTAGGTTCTGATAAGATGACGAAAATGTCTCTTTACATTGGAACACACATAACCGCTGTGTATATTAACAGATATGTACGCAATGTTTACATTATAGAAATAAAAAAATAAAAAAATTACACTTGTGAAATATTTGAAATGGTAAAGGATTATCATATTTTCATAAACGACATCCAGGTATATATATATATGTATATTTTTTTTTTTTTTTTTTTTTTCAACAAAAGTACAAAGAACTTGAACTAAATTAACATTGAAGGGATAGAGAGCATTATTTGCCTCTGGAGGGATTCTACGAGATTTTGCGCGTGTGTGGATGTGTGTTTTTTTTTTTTTTTTTCTTTTTCATTTGTGCAAGTACCCACATAGTTGAACAAAGGTAAATGTTTTTTAATTCGTTTATTCATTTGCTCATTTATGTATTAATTATTTTATTTTCATTTATTTTTACTTTATTTTTTTTTTCGACTCTATTAATTTCTTCCCCCAAGACAAAAATTTAAATTTAAGAATTTGCACAACTATAAAAAAGTACTTTTGTGTTATGATGTATATATATGAGCTTATCATTTAAAAAAGCGAAAGGATAAATTATTAACATGTGACATAAGCGCATATATTGGCATACAAAATGATATGATAAGTGTTCCAACCAAGGTATGTATAATGTCCTATTTGCTCTTAACAGCTAGGTATATAAATAAAAAAAAAAAAAAAAAAAAAAAAAAAAAAAACATACTTGTGGGGTTGTGTGTGCTTCATTAGAGGCTTGTACGAAGAAGATTTGCATGTGAATCATGATCTTGTAGGGTTGAACTAGCCATATGGACCATACCAGGCATTCGGTACCACGATGACTCAAATGAATATGAATCCCATGGGCACACACATTGATGTCACATCGCTTCCTTTTAATTTTACGCATATAACTATATATATATATATATATATATATACATGTAAATATGTATAAAAATATACTACGCCTGCATACATCTACAGATCCTTAAATCCTTCAACTTGAAATTTTAGCTGGCTCATTATAATCTCTTTTGTAAATAGAAAAAATAATTAGCATATTTTAAGCTTTTCCAAGAAAAAAAAAAAAAAAAAAAGTTAAAGTATAATGTACGTATGGCATTTACATATCATATGACATTCTTCTAGTAAAATACATGTACTATTAAGTAGAAGAATAAATTTCTTAAGTATCATAAATAAAAAAACGTTAACACTTATTTTTCTTTACTGTTTTTGTGAATAACATTAAATGTATTTTCCACATATATGTATATATACATAAAACACAAATACTTATGCTTACACTTTTTTCTTTTTTTTTTTTTTCACATATGGACTTCATATATATGTATAGGCATAACATTGGCAGAAATTACAAATTCGTAGAAAACCCTTTTTTTTTAGTGAACTTTTTTTTTTTTTTGTGACAGAATGTCAGGTATGTTTAAGTGCATGTGTGTGCAGGATGTGTAAAAATTCGATGTTGTTTTTTTTATTTTACTTTATTTGTTTTTACACAGCACTCCATGAATTTTAGTATGTTTCATCCATTCAGAGCTACTCATGTTGTTTTTCCCTTTTTTTCTGATATTCTATACACAGAACAAGAAATAATTGCTGAAGATACCCCCAACACAAATGCCGAATCGGAAGTGGATGAACAGATGGGTAATTATAAAAACATGAAAATATTATAGATCCACTTTTTTTTTATTTTTTTGGAGTATTATTTTTTGTATGTTTAATTGGATAATAGAAAAATTGCATGTATGTCTGTGTGTATAAGTGTGTGTGTGTGTGGTGAGAGGGAGGGGTATACAAGGGGGTCCATTCTTTGGTCTTATGAATAAACAGAGATTGTATATATATATTTCTTGTGCTCTATTCCACCGTAAGGAGAATTATGCTTTATGTTCACGCTTTGTACGTGAACCAAGGAACATGCTTCTTTTTCTCCTATTTTTATAATACACATATATGTATATATAGATACACTGGTGAACAGATGTATAGGTGTACACATGTATAGATATCCAGATACATAATTAGATAGATATGTTTACATTCATTTGGATTCCCTTTTTCTGCACACCAACAGAGCTGCTTGAAAAGAAAACGGCGCAAGAATTATTCGACATGGGAACTCTAGAATTCAAGGAAAATAAAAACTTTGATGTTGCTTCAGAAAGATTTTCTATGGCTGTGGAAAAGAAGTAAACATTAAAATTTTTTTCAATTCATCCCTTTTTATCATGTTAAATTGATATAAAGATTTATTCGCGCCAATTCGTTTGTAGTGCGAACGAATATTACACCTGTACTTGTGTCTCTAGTTCTGTGTGTAATTTATATATGTACACTAATCCCCCAACGATTAACCCACCCATCCCTGATAATACTATCGAACGATGATTCTTTATTCTTAGAGTAAAAGAGTTAAACATCGAAGGAAATATCCATGTTGACTTACGGGAATATTATTTATCCTTTGCTGATTCTTTGTTGACGAAGGAAGAAGAAAAAAATGATCTTTTTGAATTCTTGAAAAAAAGTAAACTCAAAAAATGAATTAATAGGGTTCACTCGTTGAGGTGATTAAAAGTTCAGTGGCACAGTCCGATAGAATTCATGTGAACTGAAGAAGTTAATGGAATATAAATGATCTTTTTTTTTTTTTTTTTTTTTATCTATTCTCTACAAAAAGGAGAATGATTAGGGAAGAGAGAATTGGAGGAGTGATAGTGAGAATGAGAGACATGCTTTTCCATTATCCTTTATTCCTTTCGCAACAATTTTACTTTTTTTTATACTTTTTCTTTTTTTTAGAAAAAAAAATTGAAGTATCCGACACAGAGGAGGAATCAGCTGATAAGGAAGAAGTGTCAGACGAGCAGGTATTTCAAATTTTGTAACTTTTTGTGCTGGATCATTTTTATAAGAATTTTTTTCATTTTTATGATCATTTTGTTTCTTCGTTTTTTCATTGCGTGTAATTTTTTTTTTTTCCTTTTTTTGTTGCATGTATAAAATTATTTGCATACGAGGGATGGTTCAACAATAAAAAAAAATTCATATGTCCTGTTCCCCATTGTCTCTCCTTTTTATATCCCTAAAAACAGCTGGCCTTTGAGATGTTTGAATTTTCAAGAAAATGTTATGAACTTTTAATGGATGAAAAGAAGGAAGAAATGTCAAAGAAGGATATCCTCAATTACACCTATGTTTTTATAAGACTTGGGGATATTAGTTTGTTGAACCACTTTTTTGAGGAGGCCTTAAAGGTTAGTTGATTTTCATTAAGGAATATCATCAAGAAAATGGCAGTGAACAGTTGAAAACTTTTTTTTTTTTTTTTTATAATTTAGCAAAAGTGCCATCTGAGACTATCTCCGTTTATCATCATTTTTTTTTTTTTTTCCATTTTTTACCCATTTCTCTTTCATCTATATGTCTTATCGCCCCTTCCTCCCGTGTAGGAATACCTAAAATGTGTGGAGTTAAGAGAAAAACACAAAGTAGGAGATGAAAATTTAATTGCTCCTCTCATATCTTTATCACAAAGTTACATGTTTTGCGGAAAAAGAAAAGAAGCTGTAGATTCTTTTGAAAAAGTAAAGAAAATACTTTTAGATGTGAGACAGAAAACTACACCTCTACCTCACAATACGAATGAGAAAATTATAAGGGATACGTATGATGATGTTCAAATACAAATAAATGATTTGAAAAGGCAAATAGAAGAGGAAGGAGAGGAAGGAAAAGAGTTGGGAAGTCAAACCATTGCTAAACAATTGGTGGTCACGACAAAGGTAGAAATATTCAATATTTCGTATGTTTTTGCATAAAAATCAATATAGATTATATTAATTACTAATTTATACATATATCTTTTACAAACTGATGAAAAATGAATTGTCCTCTTTTCATACATCAAATTTCCATCACCTCAAATTACAATTTCAATTACAAGCACGGCCTTTTTTTTTTTTTTTTTTTCCCCTTCTTTCAGTCCGAATTTGACAAAGCATTATTGAACAAAGAAAATAATGAAGTTACTAAAATAACTGTTTCAGCAGTAAATGATGACGAACACGGATCCAAAAGAAGAAGGATAAATTTATCAAATTATAAAAATTAATGAAAAAACAAGAAAAAAAAAAAAAAAGTGTCACACTTTGTGCACAGAAAATAGTATACAGAACAGATAAAGCAGATTACGCATTCATCTGACTTGTGTTATATGCATACCCAGCAAATGTGTAAAATCGCACTTGATCTTTGCATTAAGAAATTTCCATATTTCTTCAATGGGGAATAAAAAAAAGAAAAAAAGGGAAATGAAAGGAAAAGAAAGGATAAGAAAGGAAAAGAAAGGAAAAGAAAGGAAAAGAAAGGAAAAGAAAAGAAACAATAGTAGAACAGTATCTAATGTTAATTCATAAATAGGGACTAGAGGGTTAAAATTTATGTATGACGTGTCATCTGTGTGCCTATTTTTTTTTTTTTTTTTTTTCCCCCTTTTCTTTTCCCTCCCCATTTATCTTGACTCATAATTTTTGTCTAACTTGATTTTTTTTTTTTTTTTTTCAGTGTGTTTACTAATACACACATACATTCAAACGTACATATATATGTCTACTTTTTCCTACCTATGAACACACATACATGGGGAAAGGATGTACACAAAATGTATGCATAAAATAAACATTCATACATTTATATACGCACATAATTATATATATAAATAAATACATTCATACATACAACTTTTATGTACACAGAATGGGGATGCACTTCTTTGTTTATCGCGGTCCCTTTCTGCATATTCCATTTCATGAAGCCCTTGGCATATTCATCTCAATCATCGCCTTAATGAATGTTTATTCTTACATCGTTCATATGCATCAAAAAAAAAGAAAAAAAAAAAGGTATAGAATAGAATAGTACAGAATAGTATAGAATAGTATAGAATAGTATAGAATAGTATAGAATAGTATAGAATAGTATAGAATAGTATAGAATAGTATAGAATAATATAGAATAACATATAGCATACATAAATCGAAAGAACAATCCATAAGAACTTATAATATAAAAAAAAAAAAAAAAAAAAAAAAAAAAAAAAAAAAAAAAAACTTATAAAAAAAAAAAAAAAAAAAAAAAAAAAAAAAAAAGATGAATAACATATGATGGCACGCAAAAAAAAGAAAAAAATGTTTAACTACAAAATATCTCTTTCGGAATGCGGATAGAAGTAGTGTCTCATCTCTTGTAGGTGTGTACTTTACATGATAAAAGGGGAAATGGGGAAGGATTAGTTCCCTGAGTTTTGTTCTATATACATAGGAGTTGGAAATTGTGTTTTATGTACCTTTTCGTGTGACAATTCTTTTGACAATTATTTATAAAAATTGTCATTAATGTTGATCACAAATATCTTATCTAAGACATTAGGGTCTGTAGCAAAGAAAACGAAAAAGAAAAAAAAAAAAAAAAGAGTCATATATATAAATATATGCATGTTGCATATATTTATTTCGGTGTTTATAAATGTATATATATATATATTTTTTTTTTGTTAAACTTCTTGCTGTACATATGTTTGTATTTCGTTTTATTATTCATCAGTTATTTTATATGTTAAAAAAAAAAAATTTTTAAAATTGAAAAACTAGGAGAAAGAAACGATTATCGTTTTTGATGCGTGTGCATGCATGAGCATACGACTGCTCATATTGGGGTTTATGTATTTGGCTTCTGTATTTTATTATATGTTTGTCTATATATATATATATATATATACATATATATATGTATAATATGTACATGTATATATGTACATAATTATTCAGAATTATACATACATTTGATCATTTAAAAAAATGTACGAGAATCATTGTCGAAATAGATAATTATTGCACGTCGGGCACACACATGAGGCACTCACACATGGAATTATGTACATACGGGAGTATATACCAAAAATTGTTGTGTGTTTCATTAGTTTTTATTTTATTTTTTTTTTTATACTACATTGATTATGCAAAGGAGAGGGGGGGAAAATAATGTCGTAAAAATGTACGATACAACTGCAGAAAATATATATTACTTTCAGGAAAATACACTTAGGGGTGTGATACATTCATGCGTCCCGTGTATACATACGCATATATATATATATATATATATAAACATAATATATGGTTCATGCTTATACAATATGCATGTAAAAAATAAGTGATATACAAAAATCGGTATTCACAAATTTATATTAAAATTTATTATAAACTACATACACGTACAGTCGTGTACACTACAAGGTAGATTTTTTTTTTTTTTTTTTTAAAATATAACGTGAGGTGCCCCTCTCGCTATGTATATATTTACATACTTCTTTCGATGGTATATTCGAAATGCATATCTTAAAAACTAATATCCCATGAAAGTTTATGCATTTAAATCTTATAAATAACTAATTTTATGATATTGCACATTATTATCCATATTGCGGAATAATAAAATGGGGTGTGTGGGGGGGTGAGATGTCCATGTTGTACTTAACCGGATTATTTAAATATAAATGTGGATTGCTTGTGAATATTTCTGTAAACATGTGTGTATATGTAAAACATACACACACGAGTGTGATTTCTGTTAAATTTCTTTACAAAAATGAGTCATATACTATATATATATATATATAGGCATTGCTTGATCTATTCTGTTTCTACTCTTAAAAGGCATTAGTCTGCATTAGTACAACAATAAAATGGTTTAATAAACAAAGTGCTCAGTTTATACGCACAAATTTATACGTTGGAGTAGTTATTATACAAATGTTTTTATCCTTCTCTCCTTTCAAAAGCAGAATAAGCAAAAAAAAAAAAAAAAAAAAAAGAAAAAAAAAAGGAAAATTATGATGTGTTATTTGTGCATGTATATATATGGTCTTCTAGGTTTACACTTCTTTTTGTGTATTGTGATGTGTTACATTGTATTTTTATTTATTTTATTTTTTTGTTTTCTGCGTTTAAATATGCCCGTGCCTTTTACATTCGCATAAGAATACATTATACAAAGCACAGAATCTTCTTCCTCTTCATCTTCTACTCCATCTTTTGTGTGTGTGTGGCATAAAATCGGGGTTAAATAAATCATATTACCGATACGTGTAATTCGGGGTGCTGCGGTGCATATATATATAAAATCTGCAACGAACTTTACTTCCATCCCCCAAGTTTCCTGTGGGTTTACGAACGTATGATGAAGGATATACGACATCATTCATTACAGACGGTTGTGTACTTGAACGCCTGAATATATATATATATATATAGAGAGAGCGAGAGAGAGCGGGCGAATGAGGGGTTACTAGTGTGGAAGGACTACATGTTTTGTGCACCGATGGACTGGCGAGAACAAAATATACAAGTGGTTGGCTTCTGATTGCATTTACTTATTCATCTTTAAGGAATAAAACAAATTCTTGTTATCACTAATACTGCAATATTGGGAATATAAAATTTTTTTCGTGCTTTCATTATCCTCATTAACATCATCCGCTCCAGCATCATCCACAACAGAATCATCCTCACCAGCATCATAAACATCATCTCGTCCTACTGTTCTTCTTCCTGCTTCTCCAATTTGAGTAAGGGAATTCAGATGTGCTGGTAACAGTTCTGTGGGAAATATATTTAAAGAATTAATTTCTTTTGTTTGCACATTAGAACTGTTTAGCATATTCAAAAATTCTTCATTGTCTTCTAAAATGTGTCTTCGATTCATCATAGAATGTTCGCTGAAATTTAATCCTAAGCTGATAATGTAATTATACATTAATCTAAAAGATTCAATTTCGGTAAATATGCATGAGTGAGCTGCAGGCGTGTTAATATTTTTCGTGTACACATTGTTATCATCTAGATCATCCTGTTTGGAATTCCACTTAAAAACTTCATTTTCAATTATGTTATTTCCTCTTTCTTCTTTCTCTCGAACGGTTGTGTAATTATTGTTTGAAAATGTTTCTGAGTGATTTCTCTTTTTCTTTATGCCAGTACTCGTTCTGTTGCAATTCCTGTTAATTCTGCTGCTCATGTTATTACTATCAACAATGCTATTGTTCTCATCCAATATATTCAATTTTTCTCCATTCATAGAATTCCAATGGACTAGACCATTGCGTGCATCTTCTACTACTTCCATGTTTCTCTTGTTACTTTTCTTCTGTGGGTTCATGTTCATCTTCTTCTCATAATTATTAACAGTTCTAAGAAAATGTTTATATGGGATGATAATTTCACTCATCTTAGGCTCCTCTACCACTCGCATATTTATATATTTTCTCAAATCTTCGTCATTATCACTATCGTTTTCCTCTTCGTGATGACCATCGTTCGCTATGTTCTCAGCAACATTGGCAACAGCACTAGAGTTATTGTTTGTTCTTTCCCTATCATTTGAACCATCATTTGATAAACCATTTCTACTTTCGATTTCTTCATACGATTTTTGAAACAAAATTTCTCTATTTGCCCCTTCACTGTTGTTCGATAAATCATTCTGTACACTAGTCGAAGCTATTTGGTTATTCTGAAAACTGTTACCACCAGTTTCTAAATCTAATAATTGCCCACTTCTGTATACATTCATATGATTTCTAATGGTACCATTATTGCATCCTTCATTATCTGCATTATACACAAATGGGTTTGGCATTCTCGAATCATTTACATATATGTCATTACTGCTAGTGGATTGCAATAAACTACATATGGAAACTTCATCATCGCGCACACCTACAAAATTACAATCATGGTAGCACATATTGTTATAATTGCTTTCTTGGCTCATCTGATTTATTTCTCCATCATTGTTATGCACATGATTATCAATTCGGGAGTCCCTGTTGAATATGTCGTAAAAAAGGTTTCTTCCATCGTGGTATCCATTCGTCTGATACTCACTTTCTCCATTCTCCTGGACACCATGATTTCTCCCACCCATGTTATCGTTGTAATGGTTCTGATTATTGCTGTTGCCATGATTCCCACTGTTCTGATTTCTATTCGTATCATTTGCATGGCCATTATTGTTTGCTCCATCATAGTCATAACTTGTAAAATCATTATTTCCATTCTCATTATCGCTGTTCTCATTGGATCCATTAAAGCTGTTTATATTGGCATTGTTTCCTTCACCGCTCATATTCCTATGTTGAAGATAATTGTAAAAGTACGTATCCCTATTGTGATTGTGGTGTTGATTAATACCCATTCTATTGGAAACTACGTTATTACTGCTTCCATCGTTATTGCCTCTTCCATTGTTATCATTTCTCTCCATTCCTCTTCTTATGTCATAAGGATCATTGAATTCCACATTGTACGAACTACTGTACCCCATCCTGTTATCTCTTGGTAGCGTTTCATTGAAAAACCAATACCCTCCTCTTCCTCCTAGCATATTATTCTCACCCTGCTGATTATATGGTTCTCTTAAGTTGTATGCACTAAAATCTTCTACACTACTATTGTCATTACTACTAATTTCCCTGCTTTCTCCACACGTAACATACAAAAGATTTTCACTCATGAGAGCATGGTTGCCCTGATTGAGAAAATGATTTCCATTATTGTTATAATAATGCCCACTATTATTATTGTAATGGTTACTACTGCTACTACCTTGACCACTTCCTCCTTCGTTTCCATAACCTCCTCCCCCTCCTCCTCTTCCATTGCCATTGTTGTGATTGTTAGAATTGTTACTACCATTGCCATTGTTTCTTGAATCATCATGGTTATGTCCTAAATTTGGACGATTGTTCGTATTCAGTAACGAAAATGATCTTGCTGGATTTTGCGAATGTTGAGAATTCTCACGAGAGCAAACTTCAATTTTGCATTGTCCAGCTTTAAAAATAGTACCCACAGGCAATGGAACGGGTTCTGAAAAGGATGGAATTTTCAAGAATGTTCCTAAAGTGCTAGTGTCTCTTAATAACCATCTTTCTCCTATTGGCTTTGTTCCATCATAGTATATTAAACAGTGTTCTCTAGATACATAACCATTCGAATTGGTAACTGAAAGTTTTTTATAGCTAGATTGAGCATATGGACCTCTGCCTAAGACTACACCCTTGGGATCGATATATTCTGTTTTCAAAGTAATTTCATCTTTTACACTACCAAAATCGAATTTTATTAATAAATTGGATTCAATAATTTCACAATGCGATGGAATGTTTTCTTCAGTTATGTTGATAAAATTTTCTTGATTTTCTCCTCTCTGTTCTACCATTTGTTCTGATCTATTATCAATTCTATATTCAGATCTGTTTTCCATTCGTGATTCTTCTGTCACTTCCTCTTTTTCATTTGTTCCACAATTTTCATTCTCTCCTCCTTTTTTTTTTCTTTCCCCTTCTTCTTCATCTTCTTCTACTGCTGCTTCTCCTTCCTTATCTTTTTCTTTCATTAGTTCCTTTAATTCATGTCTATCTAATACTTTATTTGATTTCTTATCCCATACATATCCTTTATATGGCATTCCAGCAGTATTCTTATCAATCGACACCGTAACTTCAAGTCTGTCACCAATATGTATAATATCACCTTCTTTTAATACATGATTGTTGTTAACTTTTATCATTGTTCCTATTGTTGATCCACAATCAACAACACCAATGTTTTCATTTTCTGCTTTCACAAATATCAAATGAGATAATGAAACAGAGGAATGTGGCATGTGAATTAAACTCTTAACATGTCTTCCACCATCCCATGGTAATCTATTTGGTAAGGTAGATGAATCAAATAATTGGCTATCAATTTTGTGTGTTCTGTCTTGAATTATTTTTAAAATAATTTGTTCATCTTTTCTTATACACATAGATGGATTATGTGTAATGTAGTTTTCAACCCAAGCATGTAATCTATCATTTGTCATTTCTTTATTATCCTTATCGTACCCAATAAGTTCGCTAAATATTTTACAATCATTAATATTAAATACCCACTTTGCTTTAGACCATAAATTATTAGCAGTAAAAAAATCAACAATACATGCAGTTAAGTCATCAAAAAATACTGGTACAGATATCATGTCTCCTAGGAAAATACGTAAAAATAATGGTACACTAACTTGTGCTTTTATAAAATTCTCATTCCACCACATTTCATCTACAGTGTTTACAATTTCGATTGATTTGTACACCTTAATACATTTCCTTCTCAAGTTGTATATACGAACTAAATTTGAAATTATAGTGTTAATACATACAGTATGGCCCAATGCTTGTCTACACAAAGGACAATTTTTTCCATTCAATTTGTTATGTCCTATACAATATCTACAAAAAGTGTGTCCACAATTCATTGTAACAGGAAGGTAGAAATAATCCAAACATATGGGACATGTCAATTCTCTTTTTAAGGATTGAATGAAATTTTCTAGTGTTAATCCTCCAGTAGATGATAATGGTACTACTCCTCCTCCTGCTCCTCCTATTACACTATTTAATGTATTCAAATGAGAAATATGCTCGAACTGATTTTCGTTGTTCAGTATTGATTCTACTGCAAGGTCGTCATTTGGTGATATGCTTTCAACTGCATGTAAAATGTTTCTTTCTATTTCATCATCTTTCTTTTTCATATTTTCACCTGTTCTAACTTCTCCTCGCTCAGAATCTTCATTTGATGGCTCCGATTCGTTCTCTTCGATTATTCTATTCATTTCTTCAAACTGTCTTTCCCTCTCATCATTTTGTTCTTCCCTTTCTTCCCTACCATCTCCCACTTCATCCGCATGGTTACTCTCCGCGTGAATTACGTTCTGCATAAAGTAATTGCTAGATTCATTAACAAATAAGTTATCTCTTGTTCCCCCATTGCTAATATTTGTGTCGTTCTTCTGATTTTCACATTCTCGTGCTGCTACGTATGAGGCTACATTTGCTCCTACACCAATGTCTACACTCATCATACCCATGCCTCCATTATTTCCAACTAAATTTTGATTCAAGTAATCTATTCCATTGGGATTGTTCTGCACGGGAAATCCAGTATTCACTTGAATTCCTCTGTTCATAGTCCTATCATAACCCATTTGGATGTTATCACCGTTAAAGAGGAAGATGTTATTTTCAAGGTTACTCGCTATGGTCTGCGTTGTGCTGTTTGGGATTGCACTATTTGGAAGTGCATTATTTGGAAGTGCATTATTTGGGAATGCACTATTTGGGAATGCACTATTTGGAAGTGCACTATTTGGGAATGCACTATTTGGAAGTGCACTATTCGGGAGTGCACTATTCGGGAGTGCACTATTTGGGAGTGCGTTATTTGAATGTGCGTTATTTGAATGTGCGCTATTTGAATGTGCGCTGCCTGGTAATGCACATTCTGATGGAGCTCCGTTTATGAAAACACTAGAATTGCTTCCTTCCTCATGCCTATTAATGTACTGCTCATGGGAATTCTGAGCATGCGACATGTTCAAACCACGACCTAAATTGGATCCACTAACATTTTGTGATTCACGTCTTTCATTCGCCATATTTTTATTTTCGCTTCTATTTAATCTATCAGTTCTTTTTCTTCTTGAATTTATATTTTCTTCATCGTCTTTTGGAGTAATACATTCATCTTCTAATATATTATTATCATCGATGAACATACCATCATCATTTACGAGAAAGTTATTATTCTCGTTCCCCTGGATATTTATTCCGTTGTTATTATTGTTACTTCTTCCAATTCTTTCTGCGTTGTTTGGTATATTCATTTTTTTGGTAAAAATTCATATATTTAAGTAAATTCCCCCCAGGAATTTATGCGTGCATACATATATTTTCACTTTTTTATGTGTTAATATATACATATATATGCCACGAGAATTGTATCTCTCTTGGTCAAGACATCGATATGTCGAAGCGGATATGATACGGGGATGATTTAACTGCTATGTTGTATATACTATATACAGTGGATGATGTATCATGCAAGAATTCATAAGAGGATATATACAATTCGATTTATGAAGGATAAAGTACAATGTGTGAGTTTATATTGTGTATTATACATATGAAAGTGTGTGCTTCTGCGACTGATTAGAATGCTGTTTCGATTGTGACGTGATTCTTATTTATGCAAGCAAAAATATGTGTATATGAAGGTATACTTATATACACCTGTTACATTATGTAGATATGCACTAAACTTATTCCTTTTTTATGGTACATATCAATATGCGTGAAAATCTAGTATACAATTGTTATACGATTTTACGCATGCACATGTACAACGCACATGTGCACCACAAAAACTGCAAGAAATGGAAAGGGTTAAATATGCTATACAACGGAGGGTAAAATTTCCTCTTCCTCTTTGATTTTACATAAAAAGAGGGTTCTCGTCGTACTTCTTTATGTGAAGGTAATACTGTAATCAGTGTTTTTACACAAGATCCTGTATTTACATATAGGAATATGCGTCACGATGAAGTAAAATAGATAAATATTTATATGAGTGTACCGTTTTATGTTCATGTATTTATTATATATGCATACTTTTTCATATATATATTATTCATACATGGGGTGTGTTTTATACATTCGTATAAATATATATGGCTCGTTCTAGCTTTCGATATGTACATAAATTCATGTAAATTCATACAATCATATGTTATCATGTATTTATGAAAATGGATAATGAATCAATTATATTTTTATGACGTATGCATATACGTACATGTAAGTATATATATTATTCATATTCAACTTCATAACTTCGTGTTCATGCATTCTTCTTAAGTATTTTTATTTATTTATTTATTTTTTTTTTTTTTTTTTTCAAGTATGCAATAAAAATATCATTACTTCAACTTCATTTAAAACAAATATTTATTTTTCATTATTTTTTTTTTTTTTTTTTTTTTTTAAATTACATTAAAAATGTATATTTTGTTTGGGTAATGTAATATATACAAAAATGGTAGGGCGTGGTGAGGAAAAAAAATAATGAACGGTATACATAAAATGTATAAATATAAAATATGCACGTATTTTTAAATGTGCGTTATAAGAGCCTTTTTTAAGAATTAAAAGGTTTCTTTTTCATATTAAAAAAATAAAATAAATAATTATTATTTATGTTTGTTTCGATGTATTTATGTATGTATATATTATACAGTTACGTAATAAAAAGAAGTTCTTTTTTTGAGTCCCTTTTGGGAGATGATAATACGCAAAAATTTCTAGGCGCTTACTATTTTTTATACATGTACTTTTTTTTTTTCTCTCCATGCCTCACTTATATTATTATTACGGTATGCTTATTCGCAATCCACTGTGAATATGTAAAAATGTTCACTATCGATGTTTGTTATGAAACATGGGGAAAAGGTATATGTGCGATTATGGATGCGTACGTGCGCATACGTAAAAATATGTAAGTGTAAAAAGGTTATGTAAAAATAAAAGTACGTATAAATATATTACAAAAATATGTATAATTATGAAAAAATGCGTACAAGTACGTATTAATATACCTATTATACTAGTGTTTAAACAAGTGAAACTTATATATATATATATATATATATATAACTTTGTAAGCATTTATCAACTGCAAGTATGCACAAAGCTCATGTAAGAATGAGTCAGCCTATACATATAATATTATGTATATATATATATATATATATATATATATATATATATATATATATAATACTTACGTGTGGCTAAGCATGTAATATGGATTAAGGACGAATAGGAAAAAAAAACATATGTTTTATGGATAATAATGAAATAATGTTTCTTATAATAAACTTATGGAATGTACATTTATTGGTTCTTACGTAACATTTAAGCATGTAAAAAGAGGTGTTTAAACATATGGTGTACATGTATACTTAAGTACAAATCATGCAAATTACGTGTATACCAATTAACGTGCTTTTTCCTTTTCTTTTAACAAGGAAACATTCCTTTTTCCTTTTTTTGCTTCTGTTTGTTTCTTTTCCTTATTATTTTGCTTTTCTTTTTCAATATTCTTGCCACTAACAGTGGAGTTTAAAAATAACTACTTTTGAGAAATATTTACTTTTTCAAGAAAAAAAAAAAACGTTTACTGTTTATAATTTTTCTCTCTTTGCTTTGTACTTGTTCAACATCAAATCTCACAAGTTGGTCTTCATTTAAAAAAAAAAAAAAAGAGTTAATGGAAAGGTATAGGGCAAAAGGCAAAAGTAGAATAAAAGAAGAAGTACAAAAGAACGGGAATTCTTAGTGGAATTGATGAGGTATCAAAAGGAGCAAAAAAGTGAAATTGTAAAAATAAAAGAAAAAAAGGAATAAATGTTGGAATAAAAATGAAAATACATATGGAAACTAAAATGGAAATTAAAATGTGAATAAAAATGGGGATATAAATGTGAATAAAAATGGGGATAAAAAATAAAATAGAAAATTAAGTACAAAATTAAGTACAAAAAAAAGTACAAAATTAAGTACAAAAAAAAGTACAAAATTAAGTACAAAAAAAAGTACAAAATTACGTGCAAAAAAAAGTACAAAATTAAGTACAAAAAAAAGTACAAAATTAAGTGTAAAATAAAAAATGAACACAAAGAATTCATTCAAATTCAACTGTCAACTTTTGACAGACAACCATATCATTTTAAAAAAATGAAAATTGTGTTCTTCTGTATATATTTATTTCCTCGAAAATGAAATTGAGATGAAAGGGGATGGAATTTACAAAGAGGTAAATATATGTCTAGGGGAATACCATCAAAATTTAGAGGCATTTATATATAAAACGATTCGCATAAACATGTATGCCATTAAATCAGTACGCATGTGCATAGTCTCAAAAATAAGTTTGCATAATAAATATATATATATATATATATGTGTACATATCACATATACTATATCGCATTCACATTACTTTATGGACCGCATGCACATGTAGATAAATCCAATATATAAAAAATCAGGTATGAGTAATGCATATGTAGGTAAGAAAAATCATACGGATTAAATTCAAAATACAATGCACAGTGGCTGCAGTGTGAACCAGTTGCACGAGCAGTTATAGGGCATATATGTGACATATACATAAGAAAAGAAAAGTGTATTTTACACTAAGAAAAAATAAAAGAAAAAAAAAAAAAAAGTACGTTATTTCACTTTATACATATACTTATTTTGTTCACGTCATTAGTGTATATGATATGTATTTATATATATGCATACTTGAATCACGTCATTTATTTTTTCTGTTGGTACATTCAAGGAATGCATGCATTTACCACAAATGTGTATTATTGAAAGTTCAAAACCCTGTGAATATATATTCACCTTTGTTTACAACAAAATAATTTTCACGTTGTTTTATATTTAATGATGTTAACGACTTTAACGACTTATAGAAAGAAAGGACAAGAAAAATGGCGTGCAGGAAAAAAAAAAAAAAAAAAAGAATGCAAAAAATTATTATGCATAATTTCACAAAGGCACATAATGAAAAAAAAAATATAAGCACACATGTATATATACATACAAACACGTATGTATGGTTTATTCAGGTTTGCACAAACAATTCACAAAAAATATGATAAAACGGAACGGGGGGAGAAAAGAAAAAAAAGCACATATTTTTATTCCTGAAGAAGTAGTGAATATAGCGAGAGGATAAAAAAAAAAAAAATGCAAAACAAGAGGTACTAAATTATTTTCCCTTCGTTTGTACATTTTCCAGTTTGTCCTCTTCACTGTCGTAAGCATAAATAAAGAATAGCTTCAATGGTGAATCGAAAATAATAATATAAAAGCTGAGAAGTGAATAATACAAGGAAGCTTACACGTTCCAACATTAATTCAAATGTTCTTTTTCGAAAAGAATAAAATAACATATATATATATATATACATACATACGCATGTTGTGAATCATTTAGGTTTTACAATTTTGCGCACTCATAAGCGTGCATGTGAGAACGATTGTGCTTCTCTTGTCAAGTAAACATTCCCCACAGGGACACTTAAGGAGTGTTTATACAGTTGTCACACATTGTGGCACGTCTCTGTGTGATATTTTTAATAATCATGTATACGTTTCTTATGTCCCAAATCATGTTACGTTCACATGAACATGTGGTATGAATACTTGATGCGAGCATGTACACATATACTCTACTGTCCCTATATGCGATATTTCTGTTCAGGAAAATTTGAGGGAAAATAAAGGAACACATGTACTATGCAATATTGTTGTATTGTATTATATGATATATTATAAATACACACACATATACACACAAAAAAAAAAAAAAAAAAAAAAAAAAAAAATACTTTCATGCAAATTTGTGGACACGAGGGCATGCTTAATGGACCTTCCAGTTCCACTATGTTATTGTCACTTGGGGAAAAAAAAAAAAGAAATACACAAAAAATAAATTTATTAACAAAATGAATAAATAAGCATACAAACTAACGTATAAATATACGAATAAACTTTTCCCAGTAACGGGGAAGCAACTGATTACTTATGTCTTTTAACAAAACATAGCACTAGCAGTATTTTTCGAATTATGCATTTTTATTCGCCTGTACAACATGCCACATCAAGAAAAAGTCAAAGCGCAAATTATTTTTTGTGGCGTCGCAGGCAATTCAAACAAGGGTATTGCATATAAATAATGTATATAAACATATATAAATATATATATACATAAATAAATGTTTATGCTTGCACATGAATAAGTTCGTACATATATTTGCAAACATATATATGCAATAAGTAAAACATGCACTTGTTCCTGCTTATACAAGAAAAATATGCACCTAACCACACAGCTTATTATGTAGAATAAGTGCACATGATGAAAAAAAAAAAAAAAGAGAAAGTTCAATGTAGCAAGGGAGTACGGTTCTTGCACAGAAGGACTAAGAAACGAAAGACTTATGAATAAATGATTAACGTTTTATATTCTAACCTAGTATTCGAATTGGTCATATTGATGAGGTGCCGTAAAAAGATATTTAGTACGCGCGCTCTTTATGTTGTAATATAAGCACATTCTTGCTTTGTAACATATTACCAAAAACGCAAGTGTTAAAAAATAAAAGAAAAAAAAAAAAAAAAAGAAAAAAAGAGCATATTATTCATGCAAAATTGAATCCATGTTATAGGTTTTTTTATTTTTTTTTTTTTCTTACTTTCTTTTTTTTTTTTTTTTTTGTCAAATTTGTTCTGCTCCTTTTTGGCAATACCGCATGAGTGGCTGTTAGATTTGTTATTCTGTTCTACCCTTTTTTTTTTTTTGAGTAGAATTTTTTTGTATTAGCTATTTTACTTTCGCAAAAAGACCAAAAGCGTGAACGTAAAAGGGATGAAGCGAAATGATCTTTTTTTTTTTTTTTTTTTTTTTTTTTGACTGCATATATAAGTACTTATTCGCTTAATTATTTTATTTTTTCGCATTTGTTTTTATTCGCGTTTCTTTACTTTTGCATGGCTTTTTGCAACACTGAAAAACACATTTTTACGATTCATTAAAATAGTGCTTACTAAATAATAATAACAATAAAAAAAAAATATTTTATTTATTTTTTATTTTATTTATTTTTTTTTATGAACTAAGGGAGAAGGAAGTCGGTTTTTTTTACAAATAGAAAAATATGGTTAGTTGCAAAACAGAACAATTCTTTAGCCACGTATTTTTGTTGTTTAAATATGTACATATATATAAGAACATAATAGTGTATATATATATTCGTATATATGCATATATATATGCCTGAATATATTTCATGATAAGGCAATTAAAGGGTTGTTCAAGTGACATGAGCGTATATGTTTTGCATATCTTCGATACATAATCGCATAAAAATGTGCTTACTCCCAATCGACATATACAAGTGTGTGCATGCATATACACAAATACTTATATATATACTTGTGAGAACGTAAACTTATTCCTTCCCCTTGACGATCCCTAATAATTTATTCAACCTATTGTTTAGGAATTTGAAGAAAAAATAAAAAAAAAAAAAAACTTGCTGGCATGCAACAAAACAGTGGTAACCTTCACTAGTTGTGAGTTGTATATATATATATATATACAGAGAGAGAGAGGTGAAGTGGTTTTTCTTAATAGTTATTTTTATCTTCTGCTCAATTCGCAGCATCTATATAAAAATCTATATCAATGGTTATAATATGTATGAGACCTCGTAAGAGTGACTAAACAATAGAATATATTTTATATTTTTATAATCCTTTTCCGGCAGTTTTTAGTTTAGTCGTCTCGAAGAGAGGGCGCGTGTTACGCATACATAAAAATATATATATTTAATACAGAATTTTATTTGTAACTTTTAATGATATGGATATTTGTTTTTTTTTCCCATTCATTTCATCCTTTTTTTTTGCACATTCATTTCATCCTATTTTTTCACACTCATTTCATTCTTTTTTTTTTTTTTTTTTTTTTTTTAAATAAAAAGGAAAATGCATGAACGGTATAAGGTTGCAGATCAAATTTGCCATATAGTTAAATATTATATATTAAATTTTGTTCGATCTAACGGGTGCTTATTTACTAATTTCCATTTTGGTGAGGTAACTACCTATGTGCCTTTACATGCAAAAGAGAAAAATGTATACGAGTAACAACGGAATTAAAATATATAATGCACATGTACTTGTGCAAAAGGATAATTTTCATTCCTTTTCGCTTTCTACATATTGGGGTTTTTATTCAGTAGCTTTTCAGGTCATACGCTCTTCCTTGTATGGTCTCTATTCAGATTTTCTCGTTTCGATGCAGATAATGAATGCGTATAAAAATATTTTCTTCTCGATAGCAGGAACCAACGTATGGTGTTAAAGTGATCATTCACTACACTATATTAATAAATAACACATATAATATATTGTAGCAAAATTTCAATGTTTAAATTATGCGTGTAATAGAATTTTTATAAATTTCTCGTGTTCTTAGGTATAAATGAATGGCATATTGGGTGAATAAAAACATTTTTTTTTTTTTTTTTTTTTTTTTTAATCTCTTTTTTGTAAATCGAATGAGAAAAAAACGATTGAAAAATTTACAAACTGACGCTGTCCAAAGGGTCTAGAAATAATATATATATATATATATATATATATATATATATATATAAAGACCGATTTGCATCATATGCACGTCTTAATCCTTCTGGGCTACTTTCAAAGAAGAAATTCAAGTTGCACCAATGAATATGTAAATTGTTCATCCAGTTTAATCATTAGGTAAACGGCATACTTAACGAGATATTATCTATTTTGGAATAAATGTAACACGTGCATGTGCAAAAAAGAGATGACAAATGTATGCTACATTTGTATATGAAGGCCATCGCTATATAACATACACATGGATAATAATACATGGATGGCAACGCTTCCTACATATACACAGCACAAATTGATGAACTTGAAGAGTTGAGGAGCACCGGTATTGTTATGCCTCTATCCCTTTAGCACTTGAAATTTATGAATGCTCATAGTGGCCAAACACATGGGTGTGCATTGTACCGAACGAGCGCAAAGGGATTAAAAAGGAAGGGACAAACGGGTGAAGAGGCAAAGAGGGGTAGAAAACAAAGAGGGGACGAAAACAAAGAGGGGAAGAAAACAAAGAGGGGAAGAAAACAAAGAGGGGAAGAAAACAAAGAGGGGTAGAGAAAACAAAGAGGGGTAGAAAACAAAGAGGGGAAGAAAACAACGAGGGGAAGAAAACAAAGAGGGGAAGAAAACAAAGAGGGGAAGAAAATAAAGAAGCGAAGAAATGGAATTTCATTGAATATAATAAAAACAAGTGGTTTGGTCTATAAATTCACGAGCATGCATAAAATTAGCAAAGGTTTGTTCCTCACCGTTTTTAAAAACCACTTAAAGTAAAAGAAAAATCTTCGAGATTATGCCACACATCGATTTCGCAATTTTGGTAATTCGTATTTACCATCTTAAGGTTTTTTTTCTCTTTTTCCTTTTCTTTTCCTCTTTCTTTTTTTCTTTTTTTCTTTTTTTTTTCTTTTTAATTTTTCTTTTTAATTTTTCTTTTTCTTTTTCTTTTTTTTTTTTAATTTTTTTTTTTTTTTTTTATATGCATAAACATTAGAACTTAAGAAGGTACATATGCATTGTATATACTCATATACACAAGTAAAAAATACGTGACACTTACAGAGCTGCTACATAATATGCTGAAAAGCGCACGAACGAAAAAAATTTAATGAAACGGGGGATTTTAAAAACCTTTTTTTTTTTTTTTTTTTTTTTTTTTTTTTTTTTTTTTATTTTTTTTTTTTTTTTTTTTTTTTTTTTTTTTTTTTTTTTTTTTTTTTTTTTTTTTTTTTTTTTTTTTTATATTTCCCTTTGCATGTGAAAATAAATATATATTTTTTTAAAATTTACTTATGCTTTAGTACATAGGTGTGAATATATTAAAAGAAGCTTAACCAAAGTATAAGAATAGTTTTTACTTTATTTTGCTTCATTTTATTTTATTCCATTGTTACATTATTTCATTGTTTCATTGTTTCACTGTTTCACTGTTTCATTTTTTCTTTTGATGGCATTGGTGCTTTTACAAGGAATATCAATGCTACGTAAGCACCCCAAGCATAAGTACGCATTCGGATTTGCATAAACCTTTGTATGCATAGTTTCTGTTCTCACACTCTAAGGAACATTAAAATTTTTTTGCATATGGGAGAAGACATCAAAAGTTGTGCAGAGAACACAAGGAGAAAACGTAAGTGTTCGAAGGGCACAACAATAATAGAAAAATTCTAAGCATCAATCCTGCAAAGGTAACTGCGCAATTGATTTTTAAATTAAAAAAATAAAAGAAGACAAGACAAAGAGAAAAGAGAAAAGGCAAAGACAAGATTTACTGAAACTACAGGGTGGAACATTAAAGAGAACATATTAGAATGTTCCTACGAACAGCCATCCACACATTTGTATGTGGTCGTCCAGATTTATTCATCGTTAACTTAAATTTTGTCTATCGAAAAATGTAAGTATGAATATTATCAACTACCTTTATAACAAAAGTAAGAGCATATACAATCGAAATATTAATGCGTATAATTATAACAATATAGAGAATGAAAATTTGATTAGCAATTTTGTCGATATCAGCAATGGGTACAGTAACAATAGCTGTTCGTCCAAGTCTTCTACAAGAACGTTAATACTAGGTGATAGAAATGTAAGGAAAAATAGAAAAAAAAAAAAAGGAAGAAATGATCGATCTTCTGTAATTAGCTTAGCGAAAGGAACAAATATGGGGGGAATAGTGAATATTACTGGAAGGACAAATTACCCATTTGGCATAAACAGACATAAGGAGGGAAATTTATCAAATCAGAATATGGACGAAGTCAATCAGATGTGTATCAAACAGATGGGCTTCAACCAAACGAGCTTCAATCAAATGAGCATCAAACAAATGAGCATCAAACAAATGAGCATCAAACAAATGAGCGTCAAACAATTGAACTCTAAACAGGTGAACTCCAAACAGGTGAACTCCAAACAGGTGCACATCAACGAAGATGAAGGGACGAAAAAGAAAGACATTTGCGAATTCAACGTTCATAATATCGGTTTTGATGCAAAAGTTTACAAAAATAGATGCGATGGCGTATGTGTTATCAATGACAATATATACATATTTGACAAAATAAAAAAGTGCATATATTTATATACCCCGTATAATAATGTGTGGTATATTTTTTTAAATATATATGAAGAAATATCGATAAAAAGAAGTCCAAATTTTGAAATAACGAATTTTTATATAAATAAAAAAGAACAGAATATTGAAGGAAGTTTCAGTCACTTAAATAATATTTCTTTTATAAATTATACAGACGTTGTTTATTTGAATAATTGTATATTTATTATAAGTAGCAATTGCCATTTTTTGAATATATGCAAAGTCAATGTACTTAACATGAACACCATTTTTGGTACTATCGTTGTAGAATCGGCTCAGAATGATTTATCTGATTTTGCACAAGTATTGAAAATGCTGAGAACTAATTCTAAGAATGATATCGAAGGGGGTGACGAGATAGAATCTGTAGAAGAGGAAGAGAAGAAAATAGAATCACGTTCCTCTTGGGATGCAAATCCTGTTGCATCTGTACAGAATGAAAGTAATCCTTTTGTATGTGATGAAAACTTGCAGACAATTCAACAGCCACATCTAAAGAATGCAACAAGACAGATTGAAATAAAAAAAAAATATTCTACATCCAAAGAGACAGGAGCGAATGATCCGTTTATGCTCCTGAATAAAATGAACAATGCAGGTAACTCAGGTGACGAGGGTTATGTAGATTGTGGAAATTCTGAGGGTTATGATAACGGGGATGACGACTGTGATGAATACATCAACGGAATTTCTGAATTTTCTGAATTTCCAGAGTTTTCAGAGTTGTGTGAATTTACAGAATTCTCCGAATTATTTCAGAACGAAAAAAAAACAATTTTTAAAAAAATGAAAAGGTTAATAAAGGCACGAGATCTTTTCTCAATTTGCAGTGTTAATGACAAATCCTATTCATTAATTTATCTTTTTGGAGGAAAGGGAAGTACTGTAAAAAGAGGAAATGAATATGTGGACATAATTTACAACGATTTGTATGTGTACGACTTTTATCGAAATAGGTGGATGGAATTATATCAGTACAGAAGTGACGAGGTTATCCAGAGTAAAAAAGAAAAAGATATGCATAAGGATAAATTTGATAATAAGGATAAATTTGATAATAAGGATAAATTTGATGATAACGATAAATGTGATAATAACGATAAATTTGATGATAATAATAAATGTGATAATATCGAAAAATTTTATAATAATGATAAATTTTATAATAAGGATAAATTTTATAATAAGGATAAAAAGAATGAATGCGAATGTACCATTAATGAAAAGATAAATTCAGACATCAGATGTGAAGAACGTGACCTGATGGACACATATTTAGATGCTTCCATACAAAATTCAAAAAACAAGAATCCCCTTCCTTTTAAGCGAGATGAAACATCTTCCCTTATATGTACTGAGAAAATAATTGGGATGGAAAATTTTACACAAAATTCAGATGAATATTTTAAAGACAGCTTTTTTTTTGAACCCCCCAAGGATTCATTTAGTAATGAATATAATTCTGTTCAATTGAATAAGTATAAAAAGGACACTTCTGTGCAAAATAAGCAGAATCATGAATGTCGTAGTATAGAAACGGCAGATAGCATAGCCACTGTTGCTACATCTACTGTGGCGAATTTATTGCAAAACTGTAATAATGACAAGAACAGAGATTCGTCTAGCTACACTTACGACTTATGGGATGATAATAAGAAATTTAATACGAAGATCGAAACGGATACTGGAAAAAGAGAAGAAGGCACGTTCGATGATTTGTATGACCATATTTTTGGAAAATGTGGTGCAGAGGCCAAGGGTGAAGAAACGACAAATGTAGATGCAAAAGATGAACAATACAAAAGTACACATAGTTATATGACTCAGGTAGAAAAAACTGAACTCAATAAAATTGCATCCTGCAGACATACAAGCATATACCACGAGCGAAATGATTCTATTTGTGAAAATTGCGTTAAGAGGAAAAAGTGCAAATATATTTGTGCATTAATAAAGAATGGAGTAAAGATACGAAGAATTAAATGGCTGAGAAGACGAGCAGGACACTCTTGTACATATTATAAAAATAATTTATACATATTTGGAGGAATAAGTTTTTATAGCTTTAATAGCAACAAAATAAATTTAAAATTTTGTAATAATTTATACTTGTATAATATCGAATCAAATAAATGTTTTGAAATAATGGCAAAAGGAAGTATACCAGAACAAAGATATAGACATGGTTGTGTCATAATTAATGATTATATGTTCATAATTGGTGGAGAATGTAAAGGTTCTTCTTTACCCAGGAATGATTTGTTCTTTTACGATTTTAAAACATCTGTATGGTCAGAAATTGTTATAAATTCCAAGGTCGGTTCTCATTCTCTGTACAAAACTGTATGGCTAGAAAACTTCGGATCAATTTATATGTTCGGTTCCTCTGTTCTACGCCTAACGAAAAAGAACTTCCAGTACACACCTTCATATAAGAATAATCAGAAGAAGATTCAGAACTGGCGCGTTTGAGCTGGATATTTGTTTATAATCCTCTTGGACTTAAAAAATATGAATGTCAACATATATACCTTTAAACATTGGGGGCTTACATATTTTTATCTTTACATTTTTTTATATAAACGAACCATTCTCTTCCACCGCCTCACCGAATTGCCCGTCTTCTAACTCACCTTGATCCGGAAGCATCCATTTTGAATTTTACTTCTCTACCAAGAGTTCCCGTGCATAACCCCTTATTCGTTTTAATGATTTGAATGATACTGTGTACATGTAAAAATGTGTACATATATATATATATATATATATATATATATATACGCAATCACGCGCGTGCAGGCAGGCATGCATGTCCTTTTTAACACTACTCTGTTTTTCTAAAGTTTGTATTCGCTTCATTCCATATATCCCCCACCCCTACACTCATTGTACAATGTGTTTAATACACTTTTGTGTTGTTTTAAAAATAGTTTTTTCTATTTTCTTTTTATTTTGCACTTTTTTTTTTTTTTTTTTTTTTTTTTTTATTACATCGGTTTTTGTTCTCACGTAAAACACACACTAACCATAGTCATTGTTTTTTTTACCAAAATCAGCTGTAAAAATATACAATTATTATTATATTATTATTATTTTTTTTTTTTTTAAATATAAATAACACGTATCACCGTGGTATATTTATGTCATATTTACGTAAAATTTGTAACATTTGTACATTTTTTTTTAATAACTAAACTTTTATTGACCTGTGTGATGTATCGTCTATTTGACCCTAAAAGACACATTTCAATCCCCTTGTTTGGGAAGTATTCAAATGTAGCATTAAGAATGCCTTAATTTTTTTTTTTTTTTTTTTTTTCTTTCCAAAAAATGTGTAATAATGGCGTGGATAAATGTGCCATTTTTATACTGCTTATTAGTAACAGAGTAATCTTTTTCTTTTTTTTCTTTTTAAAATACCTATTTAAACGTGAAGGATTTATGAACCCAGCAAAGTGATAAAACACCGTCAATCACACATAAGCTACTATCATGTACTTTTTTCCTTACACCTACTTAGCCTGTATCTGTATAACTCCAATTTTATGATAATCCTTTCGTCCTAGAGAAAATTTATATCATTAAGTAATTCACATAATGTGAAAGGTTATTAACCCTTGGCTCAGGGATATGTGTATTAACGAAAATTGAAAAAAATTGTATCAAAAGTTGTATTCGAAAATGATTATAAAAAATTACAAAAAAATTGACAATATATCACGTCTTAAATTTAAAAGAAATGAAAAATGAGTTATACTTTGTGGCCAACAATTTCAGTCAAATATGTGGACAAACACATATTTTTGTAAAAAAATTTCTGCAAAAAAATGGTACGCATTATTGCATTTATGTATGGATGTACATATATATGTTTTATGCACGATTATGTTTACATTTGTATAGAGACATACATATATATATATATATATATATATATATATATATATATATGGGTAACCCCGCTTGCGGATAAGGCGTACTGGATGATTCCCTGCCAAGGGGTGCAGCCCTGTCGTTCTGCATTATTGGTTGTCAAAATATTCCTGTCTGTTAATAAAAGGTGGATCTGGTTTCATTTAAAATTACTTTTGCTATTCTTCATCTTTCCCCTTAGAGCATCTAGCGGGTTCATGTAGCAGTTGCATCTGGCAGGATCATGTGGTAGTTGCATCTAGCAGATTCATGTGGCAGTTGCATCCGAATGCCACGTCCCGTTTGATAAAGCTCGATAGATAGTCCCAGGTTGCTCCTATCACAAAAAATAGGACACACTGAACACACATCATGTGAACCCTGCGAGGGGCTATTTCTTCTCCTGGTGCATTCGAATTGTACAAGAATCAATTTTATTTTTGAACATGAACCAATCTATTGAATCTGGCTTCCTACTCCCCTTGCTAAAAAAAGACCAAAATTTTGAACCCTCTTCCTTGTGCTTATTTTTATCATATTTTCTCCATCCAATAAAAGTTTTTAATATATCTTGAGCAGTTATATATTCTTTACCTTGTGAAAAACAATAAAAACAAGTTTTCAATAAATTTTCATTTATTTCTTGATGTTGAATGTAATTTTCAACCTTTGTACGTATATGTGGAGAGTCTACATTTTTGCTTAATCCTTTTTCGAATAAAAAAATGTTATATGTTGGAAATAGGGAATCTTTTGGCCATTTAAATTTTAAGTGTAATAAATGTTTTTTAAAATCTGTAAAATTCATTTTCCCATATTTTAAAAAATACCTATACCAGTATATCTCCTTGCGTTCATTTTTATCTTTAAATCTTATAAGTGTAAAGAACTTGTCTATCCAGTTATTATTTCCTTTTTTATTTTCCTCACTACGATTCTTTTCTTTTCCACCATTGCTTAGTCGATTTTCATTTTCAGTTCCGTCATTGCTTAGTCGATTTTCATTTTCATTTCCCCTATCGCTTATTCCATTTTCTTTTCCTTCTGTATCTTTACCCTCGTTCGTCATACCATAAGTCTTTTCTCCAGCAATTCCCTCATCATCTTTTATGTCAATAATAATGTTAAGTGATTCATAGTATCCGTGTTCAGCAAATCTTCCATACACTTTTATTACATCAAGGACGTCATAATTTAAAATGGGATTGTATGTATTGTATACAGGCTCATTATTGTAATATTTGGAGTATATACAATTGGTGTTTTTTAAATAATTAATTTTTCTTTGATGAATATGCAAGTAGGGATGTTTTAAATATGCATATACATTGTTCCTTTTGTGATGTCTGGAATTGGAACTTGTAATTTTGTTAAAGCAGTTATGCAAACTTTCATTAAATTTTACATGAAGACTCTTCATTTTTACAGAGTGTACTGGTATTATGCCTATATTTACACCGATAATCAGCAGAATGAGGATTTGCACTTTCTTTAACATATTCAGGAGGGTTTTATGAACACGCATTTGTGTGCGGCGTTCTGATTGTGTCCACGTATGAACTTCTAACCTTCTAATTTTCTAATTTTCTAAACTTCTAATTTTCTAAGCTTCTAAACTTCTAATCTTCTAAACTTCTAATCTTCTAAACTTCTAATCTTCTAAACTTCTAAACTTCTAAAGGTATGAACATGGGCACTAGTTCGTGAGCTTATATCCACGAACGTACACCTCGAGGTGGAGAACATTTATTCCTCGTTCACGTGTCATTTAAGTTTCAAAGGAGATGTAGATGGTCTTACCTATGGTTCTATATACACAGCAACATAAGTGGCAGAGGATGTGCACACAAAAGGAATTAAATGGAAAAAACTGCTTACTTCAATATAACCACTCTTAGCATATCCCTCCCCAGTTAAGAACACAAGCAAAATCTCTTTCGTTGCCTCTAAACTTTTCGCATTGCCTAAACCAAATTGGTTACCATACCATTTGTTGCCTTCTTGATGTGGCAACAAAAAAAAAAAAAAAAATAAAATAAATAATAAAAAAATAAAAAAGTAAATAAATAAAAAAGTAAAAAGTATAAAACAAAAAAATAAAAATTCAGCTAACATATACCCCAAAATCCTTCCGATTCGGGAGTGTGTACCTAAATCCGTTCTCTCCCCTTTTCCCTATGTTTTGTTATGTCCGCTCTCTTAAAGAATACATAGTGAATAAGTGAATCATAAGTACGTTGTTCTAGTTGAATCAAAAAAGAGATAAAGGGGCACACATGAAGTTCGCGCTATTAGTGTGCGTCAATTCCGAAGCGACATTTTTTTTTTTCACCCTCCTTTGTTTCATTTGTTCATTCATCAATTAGTGTTTTCATGATGTGGTAACAATTCGTTTTGCTTCTTTCTTTTCTCATAAGTTATTTTTATTTTTTTTTTATTTTTCCCTTCTCTTTTAGCGGGCTTTATAGCCAGCTGAAAATCGTGTGAGAAAAGGAGTTATATAAAATTGCATGTAGGTAAAAATAAAAAAAAAAAAGTAAAATAAAATAAAATCAAATAAAATAAAATCAAACGAAATAAAATAAAATAAATAGGCCTTTTCATGGTGGCTAAAATGTGTAAATGTACAAAAAAATGCATAGGAAGCGGATTGATGTTCTTTAACCCAGAGCAATTATAACTTTGTGAAATTGTCCATAATTACAAATTGTCACATATGTAACACATTCATATATATTTGTTTTATGTGTGCATATTCGCTTGGGGCTTGTTGGTGACTCGTATGTGATAAGATAGTCTTTCGATAATATTAATCACATACCTGTTGCAGTTATGTTGCATATTCCATTTGAAATTTTAAATTAACTGTTCGATATTATTTTACTTTATTTTTTCCCCCTTTTTAGTGGAATTACTTTTTTTTGATTTAAAAATGTGCATACGGGGATGACTGAAGTGTAATCCATGTTATTTGGAACCAAAAAAAAGAAAAAGAGAAAT